TTAGCAGTCACCCCCAACAAGTTTCTCATCCATTTCAAGTCGGTCCTTTTGACGATCGCCCGGTCTTCTGACCGTGACATAATGATCGCCGACCGTGACATAATGATAAATCGCCGGGTTGTTTAAAATGACAAAAGTGCTTACGACAACTGCAAAAGCTCAGGACAAATATTATTGTGTTCGGGTCCCAACAATCGTGAGGCAGGTTGATTTACCCGCGTTTTTGGAAAAGGTTCAGGAACACCACGCTTGGTATCCCACCAACCTTACAAAAGTCCAAGGCCAGATAGCAAGAACCACTCCACAATACAGGCACAACAGTTTTGACGAAATCTTTCTAAATTTGTGACTGAAAGGATCAACCCAGCCCCAGATTTGAGAAGTTTAATTATAATCATGTTCCCTAACGTGGCGCACTTCGACATTCCCCCAACTTTCCTCTCGCAGTGTCGCCAATTCTTTGTCGACAAACTTCAAATTCATTCAGTGAAATACTGGCACGTATACCTTATTAATGCTTGCTATTTAACTTCTGTGAACAATTTCGGTGTCATGAAATTTAATCCGAAATTCAAAAACGGTGGCGTCCGGAAATTGGGCACAACATTTGCTTAAGTGTTCTCTGACGTGGCGCACTTGAATACATCTCGGAAAATTCCACATTAACATTTAAGAATTTCTGTAAAGTAGATAAATTCTGATAAACCATCATTATCTTTACTTACATACCCAACTAGAGGTTTGCCAGAAAATTGTTACTTTTGGGGGACATTGTCAAAGTACTCGTACTCGGAAGTACAAGTACTCGTACTCGGTAACCTAAGTACTCGGCAGTACTCGGAACTGAGAAATTCTTCGACTACAACACTGATTTGGGGGTTGTTATTTTATATTCATAAATACCTAAGACAGTTTACCCATTCCCGTTGGTCGACAGCCCATCACGTGGGTGGTTTGTAAAACGGTTGACTATAAAACACCGACTGACTATAAAACACCCTTTTTCCCTGCACCGGTACCGCTGCCTTCTGCGCCACATCGCGCAGTGCGCGCTGCGCGCGCCGATTTCCATTGTGCGAGGCATATACCATAAACATAGCTAGAGGGGTGTTTCACAAAACATGAAGTAAAATTGTTGAACAGAATCATTGGACTATAATTTTTGATTTGTCATAAGACGTGTTGACTGAAAGGTATTTATGGATGGGAATAAATGTGCTTGGCCGGTATTAAACTCGTTTTAAACTGGCTAGGAGCCTAGCCGATAAAGGGCCCTCGCCTTCGGCTCAGGCCATTGTCCCCGTCCAGGGCCCTAGCTGGTTTAAAAAGTACGTGTTTAAAATTGGCCAAGCACATAGTCCCTTAAAAAAATTGGTTACACTGACCTCTTTAAAGTTGAGTGTTCATAGGTGCTGGGGAAAAAACAAGAAAAAAAACTGTTCTTGTAGTTTGGTTCCCTGACGATACGGAACAATTTATAAACGTCGGGAAATTATCAGGTCAGCGAATCAGACTGGCTGGCTTGCACCCGCCCACGGATGTGTAACCAATTGCAAACAAAATATGGAATAACTTCATTTGGTAAATTGGGGATAGTATTTGGGGGAAAAGCAGTGTTTTCCCACGATGGGCGGTACGGCTGACCATCGTTGGAAATCTCTGCCTTTCGCCAGAGCCTATTGTGAACTCGCCCTGGCCTGGTTTTTGACCAACCTTGCATTCCCAAACTTTGAAACTGCGCGACTGATTTTAAACTCCGTCACGCTTCAATACAATCGGCACTCTTCCACACATAAATTCCCTCCAACTCGCCAGGACTTTTAATCGAAATCAACACACCGAAAAGCAAAGGCCGCGGGGACTTTTGGGCCCATCAATGCCAAGGACCTTTCTATTCATTTCTGTGGTATCTTCCCTGGCTTGTCTCTATTGAAACAAACTGGCACTGACATATGGCAGATAGTTTCGAATAAACCCAAACCCCCTAGGCTGGGGCATACCAAGACAGGTCAATTTTTGGAATCATCGGTCTATCTAAATCTTCGCTGATTGATGATATCTTTAACCGGCAGCACTATTGTGTGCAAAAAGCAGGTCGGTGCGTAATTAGAAGTAGGCCCCTAAACTATGGAACGCCAAAGCCGCCTTCTATAGTTCGATTTCATTCCATAATCAATTTCATTATTCCATTCGGCGATTTCATTATTCCATTCGGCGATTTCATCATTCCATTCGGTGATTCCATCATTCCATTCGGCGATTCCATCATTCCATTCGGCGATTCCATCATTCCATTCGGCAATTTCATCATTCCATTCGGCGATTCCATAATTCCATTCGGCGTTCATCCTTCGTTCATCCTTCATTCGTCTATTTCGCATTTGATTTAGCCATTCCACATTTCATTCAGCAATTTCGCCCCTTTTGCACTTCATGCTATTCTGCATTTCGCTTTTCATGCAGCCATTTCGCATTTCATGCAACTATTCCGTATTTCATTCGGTCTGGCAGCGTCCATCCGTACGGAAGCGTTAAAGGGACATAACACAAAGTAAAAAAAAAGAAGTCATAATTAGGACTTATTATTAAGTCATTGTTATGACATATCTTATAATAATGACTATTAAGTCATAATTATGATATATATCATAATTACGACTTAGTAATTGTTAAATCATAATATGACTTATATCCCATAATTATGACTTATTATTAAGTCTTATTTATGACTTATATGTTATAATAATGACTTAATACTAAGTCGTAATTATAAGTTATAAGTCATGACTTAATGATAAGTCATTATTATAAGATATAAGTCATAAATATGACCTAATAATAAGTCATAATTATGAGATTTATATCATAATTATGACTTAACACTAAGTCATTATTATAAGATATAAGTCATAACAATGACTTAATAATAAGTCCTAATTATGACTTTTTTCTCTTTTTTTTACTTTGTGTTATATCTCTTTAACGCTTCCGTACGGATGGACGCTGCCGGACCGAATGAAATGCGGAATAGCTGCATAAAATGCGATATAGCTGCATGGAATGCGAAATGCAGAATAGCATGAAGTGCAAAAGGGGCGAAATTGCTGAATGAAATGTAGAATGGCTAAATCAAATGCGAAATAGACGAATGAAAGGATGAACGCCGATATGGAATGATGGACTCGCCGAATGGAATGATGAAATCGCCGAATGGAATGATCGAATAGCCGAATGGAATGATGAAATCGCCGAATGGAATGATGGAATCGCCGAATGGAATGATGGAATCGCCGAATGGAATGATGAAATCGCCGAATGGAATAATGGAATCGCCGAATGGAATGATGGAATCGCCGAATGGAATGATGAAATCGCCGAATGGAATGATGGAATCGCCGAATGGAATGATGAAATCGCCGAATGGAATGATGGAATCGCCGAATGGAATGATGAAATCGCCGAATGGAATGATGGAATCGCCGAATGGAATGATGAAATCGCCGAACGGAATGATGGAATCGCCGAATGGAATGATTGAATCGCCGAATGGAATGATGAAATCGCCGAATGGAATGATGGAATCGCCGAATGGAATGATGGAATCGCCGAATGGAATGATGAAATCGGCGAATGGAATGATGAAATCGCCGAATGGAATGATGAAATCGCCGAATGGAATGATGGAATCGCCGAATGGAATGATGAAATCGCCGAATGGAATGATGGAATCGCCGAATGGAATGATGGAATCGCCGAATGGAATGATGAAATCGGCGAATGGAATGATGGAATCGCCGAATGGAATGATGAAATCGCCGAATGGAATGATGGAATCGCCGAATGGAATGATGGAATCGCCGAATGGAATGATGAGATTGATTATGGAATGAAATCGAGCTATAGAAGGCGGCTTTGGCGTTCCATACTAAACATGCTTCGTTGATCGATTGCCGTAGGCAGTCAGCCTAGGCAGCCTCTATTTCAGTGATACCTTGAGTCCAACACTTTTGCGGTCCACTTTTGCGACCCCATAAACTCGAGCTGTTTGGATGCTATAGTTGTGACTTCATTCGTAATAAAGTGTTCGCCTTTTGCGGTCGTTGAAGAAACCAAATTTTTTCGAATCGGTGATTGGTCACCGCTGTTCCCAAGACACACAACGTGTGTATCGTACACTGAAGAACGACACGAAAAACGTATTCAACCACATGTTTGAAATAGGATAAGTCGATAAACAATCCAAAACATGACATTTTCGGGGATTTCAGGACCTAGTGCCTCTTTAAACCGGCCACGAGACGGGCTCCCGACCAATAGCAGTGCGTAAAAACTGTCTTAGGTATTTCTGAATGGAAAATAAAATATTTATTGGGATAGGATCCAAACCTATCCGTACTTATAAGGCCAAAAAAAAGTCTCCGGTTTCTGGTATCCGCGCGCGTCGCCGTAGCCATGCGCGTCGGCAAAATGAAAAAGTTTTTTTTCAATGAAAGATGATGTCTCAAAACCGCCAAACTCACTGGTTTGACTGGAATCCTGCTGCTGCACAATTTTAACGTTTTTTAGATTGGGTTATAGTCGAGAATAAGCTTTATGTGGCCTCTCTGGACTCCCATATATTTGTACTAAGTTTAGTCGGGCACCATTATGCAGTCGTCAGCCAACATTTGAAGCAAAAAAAAATCAGGTAAAAAAAAAAAAACCGCGTCAAAATCGTTTCGCATTCGCAATCGCATGAAGTATGAACCGGGCTTGAAACGTCATAAGTTTAGGAATAATCTAACGAACATTCAACTTCTTGCCAATTGACAATTAAAATAACAGATTTACAGCAACAATTTTGTTACCAACAATAATTGATAGGGAAAAATATTGTGTGCACGTGTGTCGGCTTGCTCTTACTGTTCTCTGAATTGGTAAACACTTAAAAATAAGAAAAACTGAAGTCAAGACTTGTTTTAGTCACTGAAGTCATGGTTAGCGAGGAAGATTTAACCTACCTTCACCACAGTTGAGCCACAGCAGAGCGACCATCAAGGTCAGAAATGCCGAAAAATGACAGATATCTTTCCTTCCTTCGCCCGTGGCCATGGCGAGGTCTAGTCCCCCAAAAAACTTCCTTCCTCACCAGAAAAAAAATCTTGAGATTTGATCCTTTATATAGCAATCACAAAACATCAGCAAATAAGGGGACTGCACCTGCGAGTTGTCCGCAGGTTCAAGTTCTATCTGAAGGTTTTGTCATTGGGGAATTGCATTTATGGTCATTCGTGCGGTTCATTGCATTTATGGTCATTATTCGTGCGGTTCAGTTGTCATTGTAAGGACAGGCACGCCCACAGGGGCCAAGTTTGCGCAAGGACTATAGTTGACCAATGGTTAACTAACGTTTGCCCGAACTCTGTCTAGTCGACGGTGGTTGACTATGTTAGTCGACTATTTGGAATCAGCCTACAAGGGTTGGTTGCTTCGCTGGTAACCAACAGCCGCGCGCATTCATAACGCTAGCAGAGAGCCAGGATCCAGAAGTTTTGCGATGACATTTTGACCAGCGTTTGACTAGAGACGTTCGCACGTTGCTATCAGTGCGCAGGCGTAAGGTACGTCACAAATCAACCACTAGTCGACTAATGGTCCTTGCCCGAACTTGGCCTAGTAACTAAACAAGTTTCAATGAACCGCGTATACTGTGCCGAATGGTGGCGCACTTTACTAGTGTGTTGCTATTTTTAATTCAGTATGTATAAGCATGCGCATATGGGCAAAGCCAGGTGGGCGCGGCTTCGAAAATGTCCGGCCAACATTATGTTGATATGAAAAAGGATTAAATAGCTTGGGGAAGTTTCTTTTTTTCCTCTCTTCTTGTTTTCCTTTTTTTCACACAATAAAACAAGTTTTGGTGTCGTCAATTTGGCACCTTGTGTCAACTGAGGGCGCCCTACATATTACCGTTCATAATCGGCAAGTGTTTTTGATACCCCGATTTCGTTTCAAGTTTGGCTTCATCGCTGGCATCGGAATTGTTTACTGCCTTTGATGTCCACACGCAATTTATTTTTAAGAAATACCGAAAATGTTATCCTTAAAACCAAGAAAGAACTCGATAGTTCTGAAGCCGAATAAAGACCCATGTTGAGCAGGAGTATTCGTGTCAGTGTTTTCAAATATCTGAACCCAAGCCGCAACGAAACCGAAGGTTTTTAAAGGTTTTTTTTGTAACAGCTTGACGTACCGCCCACGCAGAGCGCCCTCTATATTTGTGAGTTAGCATATTGCGCAAAACAGCTGTGTTGATAATTTTATTCTGCAGAGCGCAGTTTCCAGTACGTAAGTAGGCCTATCAATGATTTAATATTGTTGGTATTGTTATGTAACAGATTGACCAAGTGTCTGATCTATTACTGTAGTATTACATGAGATGCTATTGTTGATATCTCGAAACAATTCTTAGAAAATGCACTCGACTTTCCACTACTTTCATGACTTTGTAAATTGTAATTTGTACACAACCAAACTAGTCCCAACATGCCTAGCTGGAGTTACCCAGCCCTGAGTTTTATCATTGGGTTGTCTATTAGGGCTGGAGCGCATTTTTCTCGTAACTTGTAGTATTTGCAAAAAAAATTTGGAAAATGTTCAATTTTGTCCCCGTTACACACTAATTGCAACTGCAACTCACCCCAAACTTGCCTGGAATAACCATTACACAGGTCCTTGAAGTAAAAAACGATCCACGATGAAGATTCAGCCTACAATTGCAGTGAAAACAGGAGGAATAACCGCTAACTTGACAACCTTGCTGGATTGGCCAGGACCGCTATTGGTTTGTGCACAAAAAAAATTGTGTACAATGAATGGCGGTCGATTAACAGGCACAGAGAGCGATCGCCGTCAACTACTCGTTTTTGCCGGCTGCGCTGGCTGTTGGCGCATGACGTCACGCGGAAGCGTAACACCCGATGACTGTTTCATGCACTAGTATAAGGTTTACCACTCGCATCACAGCTTTGGTACTGGAACCGCAACCAATAGTGCATGAAACAGTCATCGTGTAGTTGACAGCGATCGCTCTCTGTGCGCGCCTGTTAATCGACCGCCATTCATTGTACACAATTTTTTTTGTGCACAAACCAATAGCGGTCCTGGCCAATCCAGCAAGGTTGTCAAGTTAGCGGTTATTCCTCCTGTTTTCACTGCAATTGTAGGCTGAATCTTCATCGTGGATCGTTTTTTAATTCAAGGACCTGTGTAATGGTTATTCCAGGCAAGTTTGGGGTGAGTTGCAGTTGCAATTAGTGTGTAACGGGGACAAAATTGAACATTTTCCAAATTTTTTTTGCAAATACTACAAGTTACGAGAAAAATGCGCTCCAGCCCTAATAGACAACCCAATGATAAAACTCAGGGCTGGGTAACTCCAGCTACAACATGCCCAAAGCATTCAAAGATAGACATGATCTGGATTCTTTCCAAAATAGTCTACATTTATGTTCACCTTGCTATGTTCCCCAATACCGATGTTCCCCGAAATCGTTAGGATTTATTAGGGTTAGGGTCAGTGTTACACAATATTATGTTTCATCAGACCAATGTGACGTCGGACCAATGTGACGTCGGACCAATGGGACGTCGGACCAATGGGACGTCGGACCAATGGGACGTCGGACCAATGGGACGTCGGACCAATGGGACGTCGGACCAATGGGACGTCGGACCAATGGGACGTCGGACCAAAGGGACGTCGGACCATTGGGACGTCGGACCAATGGGACGTCGGACCAATGGGACGTCGGACCATTGGGACGTCGAACCAATGGGACGTCGGACCAATGGGACGTCGGACCAATGGGACGTCGGACCATTGGGACGTCAGACCAATGGGACATCAGACTATAGAGATGTAACCATGAGTACTATAGAGATGAACAATGAGTAGTCGAGTACTGAGAGTGAGAGTAGTACTTATGCGCCTATCAATTGTTTCCCCCACCCCTCCCCTCCCGGGCTGCCCCACCCAAGACGTGGGGATTGCCACTTTTGAAGTGACAAAATCCCCACCCCTCGGGCAAAATTTAAGTGACAATCCCCGACCATGCCCCGACTTACATACGTGGGGCGCACTAGTGATTGCCTTTCCATTAGTACGCCAATGTTAACAATATAACTTGAGTGACCAAAATCCCCACCCTGGGGCATGAAAAACGTGATGTGGGGGGAGGGGACTTTTGATAGGCGCATTAGTACTAGCTAGGCCGGAATTTGCTCTACTGAGTGGAGCGTTGAACTACGGTACCGTAGTTCAACGCTCCACTCAGTAGAGCTAGGCCAGAATGAATTTAGTCTCCAGAAGTGCACCACTTCAGTGGTTGCGCTCAAAGTCTATGGACATGATGGGGAGTCAAGAATATTTTCAAAGAACTTTTTAACAAAACTGGAAATGTTTCTCAGTCCAAGATTCATGTCTTTGCAATGATGACCTCCATTGATGTATGATTGAACAAACACAGTATTGAGAGTCCCAAATTTCCGGACTTAAGTGACTCCCCTAAATAGGGGGCGATGACCCATCTAGACCTTTCAGATTATCCCATGGACACAACCAAAAACCTTGACAGCGTCTATGTTGTTATTGTAAACAATTAGGACAATTCTTGATAGTGACCCACATTGTAATACTCTAAGGTCAACAAATATCTGTGCAGTGTTTTCTTTTTGATAGTTACGGTAACTCTTTGGATTACACGGATAAGAATGGGATAAGGGTGATTAAAGTCAATGTGCAGTGTTTGTATACATGTACATGTATGGTACATACACTAGCTGATAAGTGTGGGTATTTAAGCCGGAGATGTAATCGAGTCCGTTACAAGTCAATCACAAGTCAGTTGCAAGTCAATCACAAGTCAATCACAATTCAGTTACAAGTCAATCACAAGTGGGTCACAAGGCAATCAAAAGTCAGTCACTAGTCAATCACAAGTCGTTACAACCGGTCCCTAGTCAATCACAAGGCAGTCACAAGTCAGTCACAAGTCAATCACAAGTCAATCACAAGTCAGTTACAAGTCAATCACTAGTCAATTACAAGTCAGTCACAAGCCAATCACAAGTCGGTCACAAGTCAGTCACAAGTCAGTCACAAGTCAATCACAAGTCAGTCACAAGTCAGCTACAAGTCAATCACAAGTCAGTTACAAGTCAGTCACTAGTCAATCACAGGGCGGTCACAAGTCAATCACAAGTCAATCACAAGTCAATCACAAGTCGGTCACAAGTTGGTTACAAGTCAATCACAAGTCAATTACAAGTCAGTCACAAGCCAATCACAAGTCAATCATAAGTCAGCTACAAGTCAATCACAAGTCAGTTACAAGTCAATCACAAGTCGGTCCCTAGTCAATCACTAGTCAATCACAAGTCAGTCACAGCCAATCAAGCCACAAATCAATGATAGTTGGTTTGGTAGCCCAACGCCGGCGCGCGCGTGACTCTTGTTTTTTAAACAGCGTGGCTTGTCCAATCAAGGGCCAATGAGATCCTGTTCCAATGTAAGCAGCTCATTTCATGAACATAGCCGCAAAACCCTGAAGTTACAGAGTAATCAAGGCTGTGATCCTAAGTGAATCTCACATGTACACACGTGTACCCAGGATGGGACTACATGGGCCATGGGGGCCAGTGCGTGAATACATTGTGGGCTTCGCGTGCGTGCGATCGGATCGGGGTTTCGCCGTGTGTGGACGACCGTTAGAGGCTGTGGCCAGCTCCTTGGCCTGGGCCAGCTATGGCACCCTGGTACAGCACACACACAGGTTGCATTGCACTTGTAACCTGACTTGTGATTGATTAACCCTAACTGCCCTGAATCCTTCAAAATCCTTTTGCCAAAGTGGAGGAATTTGGAGGATTGAGGTTACTGAAGTAACGTTACTGAAGTGCGTTACTGATTTCATGGGATGCACTTTGTCAAGGTCTTGGGCCGGACTTGGAATCCTCCGTACTGCTCCAGGTTGTCACTGGCCAAGCCTCAACATATTGACAGTCACTGCCGCAGGATTTTGCAGGATTCAGGCAGTGGTCACCCCTCCACAGACCATATTCAAGAAATAATGGAGGAATTTGCAGGATTGAGGCTTAGCTATTTTTCCATGAGGCCAATTGGAGGGTTTTGCTGGAATGAGGCTACATCCTGGCAAAAAGGCCTAGGGAGTTAGGATTAAGAATGACTTTTGATTGACTTTGAATGACATGAAATGACTTGCTCTTGACCTGTGATTGATTTGACTACAATTCTGATGAAGACAAACATTACAAGTGTCTGATTTTCTGACAGTTTCTAGACTAGCGAGCCATCATGGACCCAGATGAGCCTAGTGACGATCAGGACGTGAATGTAGAGGCCACAGCACCGCTCATACAACATGAAATCTTGCCTGACAAACAGGATGTCGTCCCTGTGCCTAAAGGTATGTTTTTGCACATAAACTTCCTCTTAACACCCCCCCCCCCTCGGCCCCACCTGCACACCTCCCATTCAACAATTATATTTGGCATAATGTCACACATTTACAAAAGAAGACACGGGGCCTTTTGCACTGTTTCAGAACGATCAATTCCAATAGTGGTTCTAGTCCAAATAAGTAGTACTCAATGAATCAGAGTGTCGTGGCCTAGCGGTTAAGGGGGTGACTGCTCTATGTTCCGACACCCCTACGTTCTGACAACCTAGATTGTGTTACTCCCGGTTAGGGTTAGGGTTAGGAATATGTGCAGTCGGAACATAGGGGTGTCGGAACATAGAGGTGTAACCGTTAAGAGCACCGGACTCATGCTCTGGTGTTTCAGAGGCAACAGCGGCGTGGGTTTAAGCCCACCGGGTGGACACTTGTGCCCCTCAAAGCTGCCATTGGATTGTGGCTGCTGACAACAGTGTGCGTAAACCATACTAGTGCTGCACGCTGCGTCCGCGTGCCGCGTGCTACGCTCTGTTGACTGGTTGACTGTGACTTTCTACGCTCTAGATTGTGCAGGAACCAGTAAAAATGCCCAGATGACTGCAATATCAATAATATTGCAGTCATCTGGGTACAGTTTATTGACATAATATTGCAGTAAGGCCAAAAAAAAAAAATATTCGGTCTCTGGTCAGACCAAAGTTCCGGAATTGACGCGGCGACGCGGCTTTTTTTTTTTTTTTTTCAAGCTTGGATTGTAGAGACAAGGTGGGGTACTATTTTGCTTTTTTGGTGTCCTCATGTACATTGGTGTCCTCCATAATTTGCCTTGGTGCTCTCGATCATTTGCCTTGGTGCAATTTCCCATTCCTTGGTGCTCTTTGTAAAAAAAAATTGAGGAGGTGCGGCAATAGAGGGCGCTGTTGGAGTTACCGCGGAACATTTTGGAGAAAAAAAAGATTGACGCGCATGATTAAAATCGACGCGCGCGCTGACCAGAGACCGACTTATTTTTTGGGGGGGCCTAATCCAGGTACTTTTTACGAAAGCATACAATACACTGATGTATTTTTACCACTGGAAGTCTGATATAAATAATAATCACATATAATTATTCGTCTGTTTTTAATGTTTTTGTCATTCCTACAGTTCCTGGTTGCATATCAGCACGCTACGCTCTCGCTCTCTTCAGCTTGCTGGGTTTCGTCAACGTGTACGCCATGCGGGTCAATCTAAGCGTAGCCCTGGTTGCCATGGTGAATCACACGGAGACCAATCACAGCGTCACTGCCTGCCCTGCCCCAAACGCCACCGCAATTCCAAAGGTTTGAACCACATCAGTGTTAACAACCCTGATCAGCCCAGAAGATGCTTCAAAATCTGCCACGATTTTTTTAGGCTTTGTCAGTATCGGTATTTTTTTTTTTTTTTTGGATCGTTTACTAATCCTATTTAAAAGGTCTTGTTGAAAGGAAACTAACCTAATGTCTCACCGTGTCGAGGAAAGACAAAAAAGGCAGCTGTTTACATGGGATGGGCGGACATTTTGTGGTATACGCATACGTATTTCCAGCTGTGTCAATTTAATGTACAATTGTACAATATGTACATAACCCCCGAGGACCGACACACAAAGGGAGAACAACAGATCCTTTCAGTCCTCCGGAGTTGGGTCTTTTGTTCAAAACGGTCCTCTGTAGTGAGTTTGTGTGCTTAGTCTATGGGAGAGTGTTATATTGCCGGGACAAAGGGAAACACAAAGCATTGTCCTTGGGAGTATAGTAAAACAAGAGTGTATGCGGGGTGTGTGCGACACATAATACACAAATGTTGTTTCTCGCGCATCTGCAAAATGCGATGCACTGTGCGGCAGGATTCACGACCAGCACGCAACAGCTCGATTTTTGAGAGTCAAAATTGTGACCCCCAAAATTTGTTTTTGCACGGTTCTCGCAAGAATAACAGAAAAACGCCCAGTTTTTTAAAAGGATGGTTGTGTAGACGTTTATATCCTACTTTTTAATGCTCTTTTCCAATTAACATCATTTTGTTTGAAACAAGTTTTGTAGCCCAATTGGGCATATTCCAGGATGGAATGCCCCTTTAAATTCACAAGAGTACAAAGCATTTGTATTGGTTCCTGCACAGTGATAAGTTTAGAAAGACTCGGGAATTTTTCTAGCAAAACTACCAGGGAAATTTTGTTTAAATGCTCTCGTACATTCTCTGTATTTCTAAAAATAGCAGTTGTCTTTACCTGGTCCATGGTAATATGTGTCTCTCTTGATCTTGAGTTCACTGCACTGATTTCATCAACTCATCGAACTCTGAAATAAGAAAAATAAGCAGAAAATTAGGCCCCCCAAAAAAGTCGCCGGTTTCTGGTATGGAGCTTGCCCTACAAGTGGTGTGGCAACACGTTTTTGTTTTGTTTTTTCCCCCCCCTACTTTTTTTTCTTCAAATGTCGGGGGATGTTGCAGATGACACTTCGATCCCCTTAAAACTTCCTTCAGGGTGGAGCTTGAGGTGACCTCAGTAAGGCCATAAGGCTTTCGAATTCTGCACCCACTTACGATCTTGACCGACACGAACATTCTTCGAGAAATTTGGATAGTCAAGACAAAAAAATTAGAGAAAACGGTAACGTCAGACAATACGCCTTATCAGAATATTTTTTTCAGTTTTTGCATTTATGTAAGGCATGCTCCTATAAGCTTCGGCTTTTTAAAATCATGCCTCCATCTTTATATAATATCTTAACCCTAACTCCCTAGGCATTTTTGTTAGAATGCAACCTCAATCCTGCAAAACCCTCCAACTGCCTCGATGTATAAAAAATTGCATACAGCCTCAATCCTGCAAAATCCTCCGTTATTTCTTGAATGTGGTCCTTGGAGGGGTGACCACTGCCTCAATCCTGCAAAATTCTCCAGCAATCACTGTCAATATGTTGAGGCAGAGCCAGTGACATCCTGGAGCAGTGTGGAGAATTTCAAGTATTACCTAGGCCGAAATTTATGCGCGGCTGAGCACAAACAACACGAGGTCCGGCCCAAGACCTTGATCCTGCAAACTCACTTGTACAATTGTATGTTAATCTTTGTTTATCCATTGGAAGGAGAATTTAATTGCGATTAGTGCAGGCAAGGTCAGATTTTAGCGTCAAATTCTTCCAAACTCATTCGTACAAAAGTTTGCTTATCTTCGTTTATCCATAGCAAGGAGAATTTAATTGGGATCAGTACACCCAAGGTCAGATTTTGGCATCAAATTCTCCCAAGTTCACTTGTACAATTGTATGTTAATCTTCGTTTATCCATCTACAGTATATAGGAAGGAGAATTTAATTGGTTTCAGTACAGCCAAGGTCAGATTTTGGTGTCAAATTCTTCCAAACTCATTTGTCCAATGGTATGTTAATCGTCATTTATCCATAGCAAGGAGAATTTAATTGGGATCAGTACACCCAGGGTCAGATTCTGGCGTCGTTCTTCTACGGCTACATCTTCACGCAGCTTCCCGGAGGCTGGTTGGCGGATCGTTACGGAGCTAAGAAGCTCTTTGGTCTGGGTGTGTTATGCACGGCAGTCTTGACGCTCGTCACGCCGTTTGCTGCCAGGGCGGGGTACCAGTGGCTGATTGCGCTCAGGGTACTGGAGGGTCTAGGAGAGGTAACATCAGATACGGACATGAGATTTTTCTGACTTGTGTCGAAAATCAGACTTTTGAATCTGAGAAAAAGACATTATTGGTATAGAAAGAAATAAATGTACAAGGTGAGTCAAAAAAAGCGGAACCCAAACCCCCAAAAATATATTTCATATTCAAAAAAAATATGTAACACCAAACATTATGACTGGAAAGCCAGTTTCACAAGCCACTTTTAGAGTTCGCTTTTTTTTTGGAGACACACTGTACGAGTCACACTGATGGAAAAACTTACTGAAGGTCCAAATCCAAGATACTAACTACTACCTAACTACCAAGGACTCTGTATTTTATACGACATCTTGTATTTCTTCCAGGGCGTGACCTTTCCAGCAATGCACGCCATGTGGGGTCACTGGGCTCCGCCCCTAGAACGGAGTAGACTGATCACTCTGTCATATTCTGGTGAGAACACTATTTTCCAATTAACTCTTCAGATTTATAATTATTTGAAACAAATTGAATGAATTTCCATTTTACCTACATGTACGAGCATGTCAGTTATGTAGACCAAACATATTACAATGAAAATTAGAAGCTAATAGACTACATAAATTGCACAGGTCTTGATTGTGTAGAAGACTTCATAATTACTTTAACCCTATTAACTCCCCAGGTTCTTTAGCTAGGATGCGCAACCTCAATCCTGCAAAATCCTCCAAATGCTTCGTAAAAATTACACACAGCCTCATTCCTGCATAATCCATTGTTATTTCTTGAATGTGGTCCTTGGAGGGGTGACCACTGCCTCAATCTTGCAAAATCCTTCAGCAATCAATGTTGAGGCAGAGCCAGTGACATCCTGGAGCAGTGCAGAGGATTTTAAATAAATTCTATGCCTAATTTATTCACAGCTAAGCATAAACAACGAAAGGTTCAACCCAAGACCTTGACACAGTGCATCCTCCAAAATCAGCCTCACTTTTTTTTCATGTAGCCTCAATCCTGCAAAATCCTTCATTTTGCAAAGAGGATTTGGGAGGATTTGGGAAGTTTAGGATTTATCTATGCTCATTAAATAATTATATCAGCCGTGCGAAGCACGCTGGTATACTGTGATCGTCCGATTTCTTTCTTTCTTTCTTTCTTTCTTTCTTTCTTTCTTTCTTTCTTTCTTTCTTTCTTTCTTTCTTTCTTTCTTTCTTTCTTTCTTCGGGCAAACGGTCACGTGACCAATGAAAAAATGGCCATAACTCCTCAAATATTCAGCCGATTTCAAACAAACTTGGTCAAATTAAACCTTGACACATGCCCTACCTAGCCATGTTCGTAAAATCCGGCCAATGGTCATCCAATGGTCAGTAGTGGTCATTTAAGTAATATTTACAAAATGCTTCTTCTCCCACAGTCTTGACTCAATTAATGTAAAACTTGCTCAGTTGTATTATAGGACCAAGCCTCACAAAAAAATGTTCGCAGAATTTGGCCAGTGGTCACCTACTGGTCATTAGGGGTCATTTTATGAAAAAAAATCAAAAAGCTGTTTTACATTTTAAATCTTTGCAGTCCTGTTCAGTGTATTTTTTTATGTTCATAGTAGTTCTCTTACATGCTTTTGCCTATCTCAGCCACATTTAGCAATGGTCACCTTGTGGTCAGTGCGAGTCAGTATCCAGACAAACCGTTAAAACGGCAATTTAGGCTGATATCCGTGCTTCGGGAAGCACATTAGCTCTAGTTAGATTTTTGATTGTTTCTTTTGCAGGCGCTAACTTGGGCACAGTCATCTCGCTACCCATATCAGGTTTACTATGTGGCTCAGATTTCCTGGGCGGTTGGCCGTCAGTCTTCTATATCTTTGGTAAATAATTGTTCAAGTATTTATCTGATAACATGATTGGAAATCAGAAAATTAGTGTACATTGTGGCAAGTAAGCTACAAGGTCGAGGCCAAAATTGGTCATGGATGATTTTTTTTTTCAGTTGGTAATTTCACATGTAAAATGTATTGAATATGTTGAACTGAACCAGCTCTAAACCAAGGTCAAAGGTCATAAAGATGTTTTTGGAACTTAACTATTGAAATTTTGCCCTTCGCCTTGTCGAGTGTAGCCGAGTGGTTGGGGTTCGTGACTCGTGATCAGAGGGTCATAGGTTTGAATCCAGCTGCTGGTCATATTTTGTGTCCTTGGGCAAGCCACTTCTCCTCAACTTGCCTCTCTCCACCCAGGAGTGTAAATAGTACCGGCATTATAGCTGGGGAGTAACCTGCAATGGACTAGCATCCCATCCAGGGGGAGTAGAAATATTCTCAGTAGTTTCATGCTACTGAAACCAGAGATTAACGCCGGCCTGATGGGCCATATTGGCTCCTGACAGACTTGACAGGGAGATGAAAATTTAGTGTTTGGTCTGACCTTCAGCAGGGATCACAGAGGTTAAAGGGAACATGCAGTGGTAATTTAGCTCATCTTGTTACATTACTATGTGTTGCAACAATACATACAAGGTCTTAATACTTGTTTTCATTTGAAGAGACAAGAAAGTGGTACTTATTAGCAAATCTTTTCATCAGTACATGCAAGAGGGCGCTATTTTGCTTTTGTCACAAAAGGTACTCCTTGTCAATAGTGCATATGAACAGTACACAAAATAAGACCTTCAACATTACCCACAAAAAAGTTTTGAAGCCACCGATATGGTCCAAACAAGCTGTTTAACATGGTAAACAAGCAAAAAGTGGAACTTACTCCAAAAAAATGAAGAAAAGTTTGGTATATATTTGTACACAAAGCTATGGAGACACTACTGCTCTGCCTTGAATGACATCACGCTTTGGCTCATGAATATGGACATGTTCATTTGTATAAAAACTAAAATGTTAAAATTTCGCCCTTTTACTGCTACAAAGGAGGTGGAAAGTCATAGTAACATGGAAAGAAAGCTGTTTTAAATGTATTTCAGTCATAAAAATCCTACTGCATGTTTCCTTTAAAGGGAATGTACAACATTTGCAAACATCGAAAAATATAACTACCAAGTTTTTAGGAAATACCTTACTAGGATGTTGGTAAATGACAGTCTAAAGCATCCTGTAAAATTATGGCACCTGGTGTGAAGTCATTTTCAAGAAAATGGTATTTTTGTATACACAACTACTGCTCCAAATTTACCTTTTTTTCAGTCCAAATTTTGTTTGGTATTGGTTACATGTTCATGAACGGGTGCAGGCCAGCTAGACTGGTTCCCTTACCTTACAATTTTCTGGAAACTATAAATTGATCCATTTCATCTTTAGTGGAGTCAGGGAACCAGACTACTTGAAAAATTTTGTTTTTCTTGGTTTTTCCAGCATTTTCGAACATAAAACTTCAAACATGTCAGTGTAACAATATTTGATCTATTATACTAACCCCTCAAATACCCCATTTCTGAAAATTACAGCAAAAGCCAATGATGTACATTCCCTTTAAGGGTCAGATAATTACCAGCCTCACTCCCACCTACTGATCCTGCTTTAAAACTTCTCAAATCAGTGATTCTTAGTATTGAAAGTGATTTATTTTCATATGATGTCAGGTTCTGTGGGAGTGGTTTGGTTCGTAATGTGGATGATATTTGTACATGACAAGCCTTCTAAGCATCCACGGATATCGGAGAAAGAAAGGGTCTACATAGAGACATCAATCGGACATAAACAGAAGGTGAGTTTACTTCCAACTCTGAAGCGTTTTACATTTACATATACAGAATGCACCTGGGGAATTGCGTTGTGAATTTAGGACTATACAATGCTGACTCATTGGTAGTATTGCGCATGCCTGCGTGAGGATTGTGAACGTTCAAACAATAAAACGGTAAGAGGCACTGGATTTTTAGGAGTCCAAATTTCATGTGACACTGGAAGAGTGTTTAAGACCAGCTAGCCATGTCTTTATCATCCGTTTAAGACCGGCCATGTGATGGGCTCTCGACCAATAGGAATGGGTAGACTGTCTTAGGTATTTATGAATATGAAATAATAACCCCCAAATCCATCCATTTCTGCGAATTACAGCAAAAGCAGATTTGTATATCAGTGTTCTCCAACTTTGAAAATTAAAGGTTGGCGCTGGGGTCGGCGGGGACTCCTGCGAGCGCGAAGCGCGAAGCCCTTACGGCGTGGGGTCCGGGGCCCGCTTAAGGGCCCCGGAAAATTTTGGATTCTAGATGCTCTGTGGTGCAATCTGAGGCGATTCTCCAGGCCAGTTCCCCCGATTTATTTAGCATTCAAAAATTTCCTTTTCAACCTAAAGCAGACTTCTCTCCGATCAAATGACACCTTTTTGTAATTTTGAAAAACAAAATGGGATACAAATTACGTTTTTTTAACGCGATTTTATGGGTGGTGCCGGTGCCGTGCGATCGTCATCTTTATTTTCATGTTGCGTTTTGTCGTTGTCAGAGTCATTTTCCCCCCAAATTTCCCTCTATTTATGACCTACCTGTATGTTCTTAAATGTCGCCAACTAGTTTGGTAAGTCAAATAAATTAAAAGTGGATTTTGTTCTCTTAGGGAACCGGGCCCATACACGATCGCCATTTATAACTTTTGACAATCGCCGCGGCATGATCGGAACACCATGTGCACGCGCAGTGGCGTACGCAGGATTTTTTCAAGGGGGGGGGGGTGTTTCAAAATAAGATGTCATCATTTATGACGCTAGAAATGAAGATGGTAAATTGTGTTGGCGCCAGAAATAAAAGATAGTATCAGTGGGCTAAACTTAACGCTAAAATAAAAGTCGGGAGTTTGTGTTGGCGCCAAACATAGTAAATCGAAAAAAAAAAACATGTTCTGTGTCTTTAGAGTAGGCATAATTATATGATGAACATATGAGTAAAGGGGTCAATGTGGGCAGTCCGCTCCCTCAACAGCATTTAAACAAAAAAAGAAGAAATTCAAGAAAAAAAGTGACACGGGCTGCGGAAGTGCTAGGATCTGTTCTTGTAATTTGCTAAAATTACTCAGCTTCGTCCCCTGGATCTCATGATTCTCATCCGTTGGGAATCTAATTCTTTGTGTAAACCGCCCCCACCCCTAAGGCCAAAACTCCAGATACAGGATACAAATGCGCTCTGGTCACAGGGGCGGATTAGGACTGCCATTTGCCGGGGGGGCCTAGAATTGTAATGAAGGGTCCAGGATACAGGATACAAATGCGCTCTGGTCACAGGGGCGGATTCAGACTGCCATTTGCCGGGGGGGGGCCTAGAATTGTAATAAAGGGTCCAGTCAGTACCTGCGAGCGCGCAGCGCGAAGCCCCTACGGCGTGGGGTCCGGGGCCCGCTTAAGGGCCCCGAAAAAAAATTGGATTTTAGATGCTCTGTGGCGCAATCTGAGGCGATTCCTGGCCACTTCCACCGTTTAGAAAACGTTTTAAACATCGAAAATTCCATTTAAATTTGTTGTTTTTTTGTTCTTCATGAAGTTTGTTATGTACTCAAAGCTGAGAACCATGTTCCATCTCCGTATTTTTTCACAATTTTCTATTTTGGAAAGGGATTTAGGCCACTTGTAGTCCGAGCCTCAGCCATTCGCTGATGAAGGTACAAATAAGGTGGGGGCACCGCTAGGGTGAAATTAGCATAGAGGGAATTTGGCCGGTGTAGTAATGCGAGCGCGGAGCGCGAAGCACTTACGGCGTGGGGTCCGGGGCCCGCTTAAAGGCCCCGGGAAATTTTGGATCGTAGATGCTCTGTGGTGCAATCTGAGGCGTGCAATCTTTTCCCCTGATTTGTTTAGCAGAAGTTTTTAAAATTGAGGGGATATTTTGTTTCATTTGTTTCAAATACATATAGGCCTATATATTCTTGCTCTTATGAAGTTTCTTCTGGAAAGCTTAAAGTTGAGAACATGCACATAATTTGTAATTGTTCCGTGCTCGGTCACATGACTCTCTTTTCCCTCCATATTTTTACATTGCAAAGGGGGGTGTTTAACAGCCAAAACACCCCCCCTGCGTACGCGCCTGTGCACGCGTGTTTTGGCTTCGAGCTCGTTTGCCTCGTACAAAAACATCAATGCGTATTGTGTACCGCGCGTGCAATTGCACTGAGAAAAAGAAAGTCGGTTGGCTGCACGTAAGATCTGCCGTACGTACTCCTGCTGGTGTGTGTGTGTACTAATACAGATATCTATTTTTGCGGCGGGGTTGTCGCTACTTGAAGTATCGGCACACTCCGGAACTGGGATTCAGTTGTCAGTGTGTACGTGTGTACATCGCGCGTACCTAATACTAAAAGTGCATGGGGAATCGCTGGTGTTTGCACGGCCGGCCGTGCGTGTGATTGATTCAGCGAGATTTTAAGACAACCCCGATCGGGCTGGGATGACATCGAAATACATTGTTAATGTGTGAAAAAACAACTGAAATCAATTATTTTAGTTGTAAATGTAGACTGTAGAGTCAAAAAAATTAAACCTGGCGGCAGGATTTTAAAGCTTGGCGGGGACTTCTTAAACATGGCGGGCGCCGCAGAAAGCATGGCGGGGCGCCAGGTTTGTTCTACATGTTGGAGAACACTGGTATATTACCTTGAACAGCACCCTCTATACTCAAGGATGTAGAATTTATAAAAGTTTTTCAATCAAATATATTTTAAAGGAAATATACAACATTTGCAAATATCGAAAAACAAACCTACCAATTTTTTACGAAATACCTTACTAGGATGTTGGTAAATTACAGTTTAAATCATCCTGTAAAATTATGGGACCATGTGTGAAGTCATTTTCAAGAAAAGTGGTATTTTGTATAAATTTCCAACGGTGGTCAGCCGACCACTGTTGGAAAAACCTAACTATTTTTCAACTACAGCTCCAAATTTACCCTTTTTTTTCAGTCCAAATTTTGTTTGCTATTGGTTACATGTTCATGAACGGGTGGAGGCCAGTTAGACTGGTTCCATTACCTTACAAAATTTCCGGCATCTATAAATTGGTCCATTTCATCTTTAGTGAAGTCAGGGAACCAGACTACTTGAACATTTTTGTTTTTCTTGGTTTTTCCAGTTTGTTTAACACAAAACTTCAAACATGTCAGTGTAACAATATTTGATCTGTTATACTAACCCCTCAAAATAGTTCATTTCTGAAAATTACAGCAAAAGCCAATGATGTACATTTCCTTTAAAGAGGGCCTCATCCATTCTACTCGGACGTAACATCTTACTGAAAATTTAGTGTCTCTCTGATCACATGTAATACATTTTGTTTATTCAGAATTCGTCCGTGCCGTGGGCAAATATACTATCCTCTCCCCGTGTGTGGGCCATCGTCGTTGCTCATTTCTGCAACAATTGGGGATTCTACACGCTACTGACCAACCTGCCGACGTACCTGAAGGTTGTTCTTGGGTTTGATTTATCGCAGGTAAGCTTCGATCACCAGAAAATCATTCTAGTGGGCTCACAACATGAGGGCAATGTTCCACTACAGGGTTGATCCAAAAAAACAAAACCCAAATGTCAGGACCATTAATTGTTTTAGTGAAGTTCTGCATGTAGCACTTTCAGAATCTAGGATATGAAAGCCCAATTCATAAGCTTTCGTTTAGTACAAGAATCATTCAAATCACTCATGTACTTTTCAAGTTACGGAGTTTTAAACACAACCACCGTTTTAAGGTTCTGTCCACGGATCACAAAAAAGTTCAGTGTTAATTTCTTTCAACAAATCGAAAACGAATCACATAGGGATGTGTGTGAATTGTTTTCATTGTGCTGAAAGAACGCACACTTTTTTGTGATCTGTTGACAGAACTTTAAAACGGTGGATGTGTTTAAAACTCAGTAACTTGAAAAGTACATGAGTGATTTGAATGATTCTTGTAATAAAATAAAGCTTATGAATTGGGCTTTCATATCCTAGATTTTGAAAGTGCGACATGCAGAACTTCACTAAAACAATGGTCCCGACATTTGGGTTTCGTTTATTTTTTTACTCACCCTTTAGAGGAATTTCCACTGCCATTTCGTTATTTACAATTTAACACCTTTGCTGGCTTTTTATCTTTGTATAATCCCTTCTCCAAACTACTGCTTGTAATCCTTAACCAAACAAACTGGGATCTGCAGCATTTATGAGCACTCAAGTACGAAATGGCATTTGGTACATCAAAGTGCTGCTGCATATTATACAAATATTGAGTGGCTCAGCGTGGAATGGGAGGAATATTTAAATCTGGACTTTTCCATTTCACGAGGCAAAGCCAAGTTAACTGGAAAAGTCCTGATTTTACGGAGCGATAATATTCCTCCCATTTCACAATTTAAAGCCACTCAATATTTGTTTGATATAACTGACATATAGATCCTTGTCATTTGATATATTTGAACTTTTATTTCAATACAAAACTGGAGGAAAATGTATTTCTGTTTTCCAAACCACCCCTTCACGAAAATGTTTGAACCCAACGCTGTAGCGCTGGCTCTTTGGAACAATACACGCAACGCTGAACGCGCACACCAGCATGCATTTGCACACAAATACTGCGTCATGGAACAAGACAGATCCTAACTGTTCAATAGTATTTCCCATTCCCCATGGGCGGATAGTACTTTTTGAGCCACGGTGGAATGGGAGCAATAACAAATGTCACATGATGTGAGTTCCACCAATCAAATGACAAGGATCTGTATGTTGGTTATATAAACTGTACTATTATATAGATGAAGATTCCAGTCAACAAAAGATAAAACCACTAGTGTCTGGAGGTTATATTGATGCAAAATATACAATGTAAACAAAAGGACACCCCAAAAAGGGCAGTGCTTTTTATCTCCCTGGCTGTAAGCATGAGGGGGCTAGATATTGTCATCGCATATTCGTTCTGTGTGTCTGCATTTGTTAATGGTGTAAATCGAGGACACACACATGTGCAACATCATCGATGAATTGAGGACAGGAACCAAATCGAGGACTCCGGTCCTCGGTTAGAAAACATGCACCAAACCAACGAGAACTGTTGCAAAAAGGAAAAGGGAAGAGGAACATTAGAAAATCCTCGATTAACATTATAAACAAACATGCTTGGGTGAGCTTGTCTTACATACGCAGTGTGGACTTCCGAACAAAAGACGTCCACATAATGTAGGTAGCACCGACGTTGTGTGGACTTGCCCCACGTCCACACAGTGTTTCCCCATTTCTGGAAAACAGGTTTAGAGGCATTTTTGGGTTAGGTTTATCTGTAGCAGAATGAAGAGAAACACTAAAGGGAATCATAGAAAAAAAATTGGGTTGAAAGAGTTTTCACAGTTTGAGAAAAATGAGTTTTTTCACTGGTTTTTCTTAACTACACGAAAGCAATGGAAAGTCCACACTAGTCATGTGAAACAAGTATGGGTGTGTATGTATGTGTGTGTGTTCCATTTTGGTTAGGTTCACTGTAAGTTCAGTCATCAAGCTCAACCAAACTTGATATGTGGTCATTGCTCATCTGGTAAAGTGATTAGACTCGGGCAACAGCTCATGACCTCTGTCAGTCAGTCTAGTATGAGATAACAGAAAAAATAACAACTAATTGCCGAAACAGCCATGTGTTTGTCCACAAACATTTAGTTTTTCTTCTTCTTTTTTCTCTGTTTCATCAGAGTGGGTTTCTGGCTGCCGTACCCTACCTTGTATTTTGGTGCATCGCAATCACTGGGGGCCAAATTGCTGACTTTCTGCGAATGAGTGGGACATTAACTACAACCACCACAAGGAAGGTGTTCACATCTACAGGTATTAATAAGGTTCCGTTGAACATTTTCATGTAATGTAAATTTGTCAAAGATGGTCTGAATTTCTCAGGCCTTGCGATCCCTAAATTTCTTTTATTTGTTCAAGCTTTTGTTTCCCTGAAATTGACTGCGTACGGGAACAGTGCGCAGGACACTTTTTGCGTGCACATTGGTTCAGGCGTATGCCACAAAGTATGCATGAGTACTTTTCATCTGAATATGCAGAACTTGTCGCGTTCGCGTCAGAGCTCGGCACACGATTGTGCATCAGGTCGTGTTGACCAGGCCAAACCGACCCGGAACATTAAAAGTATGAACTGAATCTGAAACAAAACCGATCTGGACTCCCCAAATCCAGCCCGACCCGACCAGACCAAAAGTCAGGCAAAACCGACCCGAAACCAAACCGACCTGAAAATCTTGCTTGGGCAACTGTGTTGGGCTTTTCGTGCCTGAACTTACCCGCACCGCGTGAAAATCGTCGTCTCTTAGTAACAGAATCGTACCGTACGGTATACGGCGAAGACCCATAACGTGACCCACTGGTGATCCTATACACGTTATAGACTGTGTGTGAAGACCGTATATACTCATGCACATTTGTGCGGTGGGTTGACGTTGGGCAAAACAGGCACAGTAGCCCTGCAGTCATATTGCATTGCATGAATTTCCAAACTGTTCAAGGGAAAATACAACATTTGCAAACATCAAACAATAAAACTACCAAATTATTTTGAAATACCTTGCTGGACTGTTAGTGAATGACAGTGTAAAGCATCCTGTAAAATCATGGCACCTGGTATACTGTCATTTTCAAGAAAAGTGGTATTTTTGTATCAATTTCCAACGCTGATTGGCCGATCAGCGTTGGAAAAAACTGGCTTTTTTTCAAATACTGGCCCCAGTTGACCATCGCACTTGTTTGCAATCGATTACACACCTATGCACGGGTACAAGCCAGCTAGACTGGTTCCCTGACCTTACAATTCCCCAATGTATGTAAGCTTCCCAATTCCCCAATGTATGTTTCTTCTTAAATGGAGTCAGGGAACCAGACTACAGGAAAATGATTGTTTTTCAAAAAAATTCAGTGTAACTATATTTGCTATATATTTCCAACCCCCCAATTCCATCTATTTCTGAAAATTACAGCAAAAGCAAATGATGTATATTCCCTTTAAGGTTTATTTCAGTTTATTTCGGGTTTTTCACAAGATGGCTTAACCAAACCGACCTGACCCAAAAGTCGCAAAACCAAAACCGACACGGCCCGAAAATCGCAAACGCAAAACCGAAACCGACCCAACCTGACTGAAACGATGGACAAACCAACCCGACCTGACTGGTAGTCTGTTTCGGTTTTGGGTTGGGTTTGCACGACATTAATTCCAGTGTCTGTCATATCTCACCCTTTGTGACCCTCGAAAGGGTACCTGTGCAAGGAGTCTATGTGCGTGATTAATAACAGTTATCGTTTTCAATCTGTCTGACAGGTTTCATCTTGCCAGCAGCGTTCCTTGTCACCACAGGCTACGTCGGCTGCGATCACACCCTAGCGATAGTGTTCCTGACTCTCTCCGTAGGCTGCTGTGGAATCGCTGTGTCAGGCTTCAACGTCAACCATTTAGACCTGGCACCCGACTATGCCGGTTTGCTGATGGGCATCACTAACATGGTAGGGACGGTGCCGGGATTCCTGGGACCTCTACTTGTAGGAGAGGTGACTGAGAATCAGGTACGTACGTTCACGGAGTCCCCCTTTAAGGTAGAGTACATCATTTGTCATTTGTGGGTATGTATCCCTCTGGCTTTTCAAGCCGGCCAGGGGGATATTGCGATCGCGTATTCCTTCTGTGTGTTCGTGGGTGTGTGCCAGTTTGGTTAGGTTCAACTGTAAGTTCAGTCATCAATCTCCACCAAACCTGAAAGGTGGTCTGTGGAAGGAAGGCCGACGTCAAAAAAATCCTTTCCATTATGGATATTTACGAGGTCTCTGGAGAGCTCAGCTTAGCTAATGACTGTAACATATGTATAAACCCTTCCAACTATGCTATTAATGTACCTTCATGGAGGTCCCCTTTAAAGGTAGAGACGGTGCCAGGATAACTAGGTCCTAGGAGAAGTGACTGAGAATCGGGTATTTAAAGACCATTCAGAACACGCTGTCAATGTACGTTCAATGGCAAAAGGCATTGTTCAGATAATCCATTATTGGGCAGTTGCTGGTACAATGCTTGCACCATTGATGGAAGCCTCCGCACCTTTTTTCAGGGGGAGGGGATCCTTGGGTCCTGTTAATCCATATTTTTGTGGCTTGTCTTTTAGGAAACCTTTGAACGCTGGCGCATCATATTCTGGACGGCGTTTGGGATCTACATATTTGGAATGTTGACATACGTCATATTCGGATCGGGAGAGAAGCAGCCTTGGGCAATGGACAGCACCAAGCAGCTGGATCCGATAGCCCCAGTCGATGACAGCACTCGCAAACAAACAGACAAACCACCTATACTAGCTATCAACAACTCTTAAAGGTAGCTTTCTGACTTCAATTTAGGTCAGGTCACCAAGTATAATAAGGTCAGACACTGAGACTTTCAGTCCAGCTCCAATTGGCAAGACTGATCTTGTAGTAGGCATTGAAGTGTTTGCTTGAAGGTGCACAAAACATTTACAAATACAATAAGGGAATAAATATGTGCTTGGCCGGTTTTAAACACTCTGTTTATGACCGGTTGGAGTCTGGATGCTGATAATTACCCGAGCCGACGGCGAGGCTGAGGAGTTGTCAGCATCCAGACTCCAACTGGTCTTAAACAAAGTGTTTATTACCGGCCAATTACATATTTATTCCCATTCATAAATACCTTATTATTCATATAATCAAAGCTTTTCAGTTGAAAAGTCAAAACAAGTGAAAGATTATAAATGTCCAATGAAATTGTTCCACAGTTTTACCCTCTAGCTACATTATGGTATATGCAGTCTGGTAAACAGCTCCTTATATTGATATTGGCAGGCGCACTGCGCGATGTGGCGCACAACGCAGCTGTGCCAGTAAATTGTGAAATTAGGACTCTGAAATCTAAATATATTTGAGGCTGTGTCATAGTTTTTTTTTAGGTTACATAACAAGGTTGATGCATGTGGTATTTCGCATGAAATTATATTGTGCACATATTACACCCTTAGGGTTTTAGTTTAAGTATTATGCCATAAAGAAAACTTTTCAAATTAATGCACTTTTCAAATATGCAAGTTATTTTCAGAAAAGACCACATCCAAGAGGATAAGACAAATTTAATAATTAATAATCAAGAGTACCTTGTTTTATTTTAATGACCTCATGAAATATTATCACTTTAGGCCTATACACAATGTATTTGCATTTTTAGCTCAAGCATTGGGTAATTATGCTACATTTATCTAGACAGTTGTCAAGCAATGACCCACTTTATAACAAGGCTGTGCAGTGGAACGCTGCTATACTGAACACCGCTTTACCAAACATCGTCCTTGGCTCCCGATTTTTGTGTACAAAACGTACCGAACACTGTTGTTGAAAAATGTCAACAGAAGAGTGACAAGTGGCTATAATTTCCACAAGGAATAGAAGGGGAAAGCCACCCATTGCTGTAGGTAGTAAGCTCAAAAATTGTGTAATTACATAATTCTGTAGTCGGCATGTGTTCAAAGTCGTCTTTCAGTAACTACCAGGGCATGCAGGGTGAATTTATGAAGGGCGCCATTTATTGAAAAAATAGTACCGGAGCACCAGCAGCTTAAAATCGCTATACCGAGCGATCGCTATTACGAACAATTTCTGTGGCTCCTGCGATGTTTGTTATAGCGGCGTTCCACTGACATGACTTGTACCACATTGTTTGCTTGAACAACTTCAGGAGAAAATAAACTGGAAGAACAAAATGTTGGGACGAGACTCGGAAGTAGGAGGGAAACGAACATACCAAATCCTAAACTTTGCTATAGGTATATTTACTCTTCAGTAAAAGTCATTAGAAATAAACTGCTCTTTTTCCCTGGAAATTAAATTTCATTGATAAAAAAACATCAAAAGTTCTCAGGACCAAGAAAGTATGCTGTCTTCACTAAAGGATAAACATATTTTTTTTATGTACAGGTACATGCTCTCGAATGCTGATATTGCTGTTCTTAATTTTGCCCAGTCAAAGTTTATAAATTGCTATACTGCCAGAAGATCTCTTGAAATTAATACACAACATTTGCTTTTGCTGTAATTTTCAGAAATGGATGGATTTGGGGGATGGTATTTTATAGCAAAATATTGCTACACTGACCTGTTTAAGTTTTGTGTTCATAGATGCTGGAAAAACCAAGAAAAAAAATGCTGTTCTTGTAGTCTGGTTCCCTGACCCTAATTGTCATGTCAGGGATCAGACTAGCTGGCTTGCACGATTCACGGATGTGTAACCGATTGCAAACAAAAAAGTGGACTAATACATTTGGTAAATTGATGGCAGTATTTGACAAAAGTCATTGTTTTTTACCGACGGTGGTCTACCGAACATCGATTGAAATTAAAGGGACACTAGGTCCTGGAACAGCCCAACTGGGCTTCAAAACGCGCTTTGAACGAGATGATGATAATCGGAAATAACTTTTAAAAGTAGGATATAAACATCCACACAACTATATCTTCAAAACTGGGCGTTTTTGTGTTATTCCTGTATTTTTAATTTGGATGCTAGTTGTGATTTCATTTGTACGCGTAAAGTGTTCACCTTTTACGGACGTTGAAGAAACCACAGTTTTTGCATTGGTGATTGGTCACCGCGCGCTGTTTCCGAGACACACAACGTGTATAGCGTACATGAGAACGAAACAAAAAACGTATTCATACTCCGTCATGTCCGATGTAAACAAGCGGGGTTTTTTTTTTCTTTTCTCGGGAACGGTAAGACATTAGGTTGGTTTCCTTTCAACCAGATGTTTGAAATAGGATAAGTAAACAATCCAAAACATAACATTTTCGTGGATTTCAGGACCCAGTGCCCCTTTAATACACAAATTCCACTTTTCTTGAAAATGACAGCACACCAGGTGCCATGATTTCACAGGATGCTAGAGACTGTTATGCACGTACAGTCAAGTGAGGTGTTTCATAATAATTTGGTTGTTTTGTTTGTATTTCCAAGTACAACAGAATAGTTCCTTTTTTATCCCCCTGGCTTTTAAGCAATAAACGAGGATATTGCAATCGCGTATTCCTGTACGTGTTCATCTTTTCAAACCATGGACGAAAAATACCAGAGAACAAAAGATTCCCAGCTTACATCTGCGATTGGGGTCGTGTACAAAACCAATGGAAGTCTTCCTAAAAAGTTAGAGTACAAACAAAAGAGGGACAATAGGACGTCCACGATCGACGGTGAACACACTTTTGCGTGTGTGTGTGCGCGTGCAGTACTAACTGCAGAATTGAGCATGCTAGCTTTGGAAAGGTTCACTGTAAGTCAGACATCAATCTCAACCAAACTTGAAAAGTGGTTATTGTATATGGTAAAAAGATTAGACTCGGACAACAGTCACTCTATTTCTGTTGTCACTCTGTATAGTAAAAGGCCCTTTATAGATCCTACGAGGGACCTACGAGGCACACACGTGACGCAACACTGCCCGAATAACACAGCTGCCCACCCATTTCTTTGCTAAATTTGTGACCTGTCACCACGAAATGAGCTGAAAGTTGGAGATTGCCATTTTGAAGTACAGTGGGGCAAAGCCAAAATTTGAAGGGGTGGTCGATTTTTTGTTTTCAGGTGAACCTCAATCTGTAAGTCCTGTGCTACCTTTCTCCAATTTTTTTTGTTCTGTCAAACATCTTTAAAACCTACTTCCTCCCGTCTGTTATAAGTTGACTGTGCATTCACTGTCACACAACTGCAGGATTTGTAAATGCCATTTTCTCAAGAATCAGTTTTTCAACTTCAAGTTAGTTGGTGGTCTATATTTCTGTTACTGAACTCAGCACCCCTTCATGTTGTATACCATTTGAAAGCCCTTTTTCGGCAGAATCCAGATATATGAATACCTCAATTCTTGAAAATTCCTACTGTAAGCTCAATTTGTGATGACAGGTCACCCTTGTTGCTAGTTATGACACATTCCATTTTGGTTAAGTACACTGAAAATTGTCCTTACTACAATAACTGCCCATACATGTATACAAACCGCCAGCATGCCAGGGGGATCGCGCGAAGTTTTACTTGCAGTATTTTTTTCAATACTAGTACTTCTTTAAAACAAGGCATGTTTTGTCCAGAAAAAAAAAACTTGATTCTTACCGCTTCCCTTGTCTTACAAAACCAATTTTTAAGAGACTTCTTGGTTCAGACAATGGATAATCACATACTATTCGTAAATACGCAGTATTGTATTTAAGGAATTTATAAAAATATGTAACTGTCAAAGTATAAAAATTAGAGCTATTGTTTTAATTTATACAAGATATATATGTTCAAAATACATGTACCTCCCTAACAGTATTACCTTCCATGACAGAATTATTCTTTACTATTTAAACTCCAAGTATATTTTCATTGTATGGTACATTTAATTTTCGATCATTAATCAAAATTTGAGTTAATTACATGTACTTTTGGCAGTACTCTTATTTTATTTTTAAATATACGTAATCTTTCTAATTAGCCGTGTAAAGCTCCACTGCCCTATGGGAGTATTTGAACAGGCCTGAGACCTAATGACATCACGCTTTGTTTACATGTGCGCTTTCCTATGTAGTAGACGGTCCCTACTTAGTCTGGCGTCCGACTCACTCACATAGGAAGGCACATATGTAAACAAAGCCATTAGGTCTCGGGTCTATTCATACAAAAGCAGTTGATATTTCCCTTATTATCTTTATCATGAAAAGTTACAATTATAGTACAAATTGCGATAATTGTATTATATTTTTTTTTTTGCATTTTTGCTACTTACATATATATATTTCTAATTCGAAATAGCTTGCCGAGCTCAACTGTACAATGTGAACTCATGGAAAAATTTTTAAAAACCAGATAATTGAAAATGTTCACTATTATATACAAGTACCGTATGCCAAAAAAGCATGTCCTACTTTCGATCCTAAAAAACTCTGTAGTTTACAAATGGAATTAAACCAAAATTTCAGATCATGTGAACAAGGCATGATAAAGTTTATGGAGCGAGTTTAACAAGCTTTGTGCAAGAAGGTGAAATGTGAACGCCATACACAAAAAATTGTCACTTTCAGAATGTCGATACAGCGCTGGAGACGGTGGCGGAAGGTGTGTGCTGCATTTGAAAGCTTCTGAAGGAATGCAGGATCACCCCTGATGTCACACTTCGATCGTGTGTTGCGTCACACTTCGATCGTGTGTTGCGCCAAATGATTGAGGTGTGCAATGACATCAGGGGTGATCCTGCATTCCTTCAGAAGCTGTTAACCGAAGCGCGCACCTGCCACCACTGTCTCCAGCGCTGTGTCGACATTGGAAGACGCCAAGTCGAAAGTGGCAGATTCAAAAAGTGAGTACTTTTTTCATATGGCGTTTAAATCTCACCCTCTTATACAAAGTTGATAAAACTCGCTCCATAAAATTTGCCGTGCCTTGATTACCCGATCTGAAATTTTGGGTTAATTCTATTGGTAAACAGCCGAGTAAGTTAAGATCAAAAGTAGAACTTTTTTTTGGACAAGTAGAATTATGGCTGCCCTTTTGTTAAAAAAATGTGAAGAGGGGAATAAAAATACTACAGTAATGTATAAAAATTATTCAGTTTATATGGAATTTATTGAAATAATTACGTATAAAAGCATCATAAGTTGACCTCTTCATTGTGAACATGATGAGGAAGATGCATCGAAGACTTCAAGAACAGTGTTACAACACAACTCTATACGGTTTATGACACATGTCAGTGACTTGCTAAAATCAAAGACAGACGTTTTGCTCCTTTCAATAATAACAGTACTTGTCGTAAGAAGTCAATTGGACATAGCTCCGGATAGCGACAAAGTTTCAGTGTTGACAGTTTCTCATCTGCCAAGATTCTTGCCAGAATTTGGTTTCAAGAAGAACGTCAAAGTAGCAAACAGGATATCGTAATTATCTACTTCTGATTTCATCGACGGACAAAATTCACATACATGTAGATCTCAAGAGCAGAAGTCTCTTCCAGTGATTTCCGTGCTCTGTGGAGAGGTTTATAACTATACACCTGTTTGTTGATCATGATACACATGATTGTCATCGAATATTTTAATAAAAGTCAAACTACACTCTGTAGAATACATGAGTTACTCCTCTTGTGGCTACCTAAAATGTCTGACCTTTACTAGAGGAGATTTGCAAGGTCTCCGGAAGGGTTGGATCTTTTCTTTACAAATTTTAGCTCCGGCTGCAACAGCAGATGCAAGTGCCCGATGGAAGAGCAAGACGGGTTAGGAGTAGCTGTCCGACTTTTTAGTGCAAAGAAGCCACATCAGAATCTGCAGGGGACAACTCACACTTCTACTTTGGTCGCCATCCCTGGATGAATTTCATGACTTTCTCCACATCAAAACTTGAGAGTCCAAAATCGCTGCGAAGCATTTCCTTATTTAGAGTCATCATCAAGTCCCCGTCCACATGGTTTTTCTTGAACGCATCGATGTACTTCTCCAGATTGAGGAGTCGCAGGCATTGGCTGACTTGTGCCAGGGTTAGTCCATTAAGTTTGCTTGGGATATCTTCAACCCTGTTGAAGGTGTTGTTGGTAGAGGCAGGGGAATTGGCCCCTCGGAAGCCGCCGGGCTTGGGCCGAGGTGCCACCGGAAGGGGATTGCTTGGCGAGCCTTGAGAGGGAGACAGACCAGCTTTCCTGTTGGCCAGAATCCTCCTGAGTTCATTTGGTTCTGAATCAGTCTGTGGTTTGCCAAAAGCATTGCTTCTTGGGCTACCATTGGTGTCTGTGCCGTTCACCTTTCCACCATCCATCACATCCACGACATCCAGATCCATTCCGCGAGACATCCTCCGTTGCTGTGCCTTCTTCAGCTCATCCATCATCGACATCTGCTCGTTACTGACCTTCCGAGTAACAGGTGGTCTGGAGACAGGTGTTAGTTGAGGAGCAGGCTGAGCAGGTGCCTTCCAGTCTAAACCAGGAGGTGGGGGAGGGGGAGGGGGTGCTGGACCAGAGGGAGGTGCGGGGGCTGGGGGAGGGGGAGCAAGCGAAGGCACTTGGGGTGGGGGCGGTGGGGGCCCAGCAGGTGGAGGAGGTGCTACTGAGGTTGGAGTTGATGATGCAGATGATGCTGGAGATGAGAAGCTTGATGTGGCAGTGGGTATTGGAGGAGGAGCTTGATTTGGGATGCTGGTCTGCCTGGAAGGGATAGAAGATACTGGAGGTGGAGTGGGAGGCGGTCCATAACCAGCCTCTTTGGCCTTGGCACCTTCTGAAGGGAACTGGAAAAAGCTTTCATTGGCATCATAGTCCGGAGCTGGTATATCAACAGGCAAGGTCTTCAGATGAGCATAATCAGGAGAGTCAGTTGAGCTTGTAGAGCTGGGAGTCCGCTCGAAGGCATTGATGATTCCAGGTGAATGCTGTGTGATTGGAGTTTTCCTGACGCGACCTCTTGGTGAGACCAAGACTTGTTCAGGTCGGGATCCAACAGACGGGGACCTGGTCCGATATGCTCCCCTGGAGGTCGGTGTTGCATCAAGCGAAGGCGATCTTTGACGGTGATACCCATTTCCTTGTGTGGTCGATAACGGTGGTGGCCTGGACTCTCGCCCTCTTGTGGCCAATCTGTCGACTGTTGAGCTGCCTGTGTGATTCGGAGCTCCCATGCGCCTGGTGTCTTGTACAGGACTGCCTCGTGTAGGTCTCGCTGATGTGGGAAGAGCAGGAGGTTGTACAGGGACACTCTTCACACGAGTATCTTGACTCTGACTTCTCCTCTGTAGAATTGATCTACTTGGCATGGTTGAACTGCTCGGTGGAACAGGTCGACTGCTACTAGGAGACTCCCGACGCCCTCTTGGCTGATGTGCATTCTTAGGCACAGTATTGCTTGTCAGCGCAGAAGCGGATGACGCCTTTGCCATGTGTTTTCCAGCTTCTCCATTTTTGGTGGCTGTCTGTGCAGTTCCCGGAGAGGCACCCTTGACTCGAGCAGCTCCTGCTGAAGTGACAGGGGTATGACCCACGGTGCGAGAGCCAGTCGTCACTTGACCTGTTGGGGTTTTGCTGCGTAGTCTTTCTCTGGCCGATGTGACGTACAGGGTACCACTGGGAGATACCTTCTCATAGTCTTCTTGGCTTTCGGCTTTTTCTAATCGCTTGTCTGAGAAGAAGGTGATATCTGGAGAGAAAAAAAAACAATCAAAACAGTGGTGATCTTATCATGACTAAAAGAAGTTAGTGTATATCAGGAATGCCCTTTTTTATGTTCATCCTTTTCTTTGTGCATGTGCGCTTGGGCAAGGCGCTTTGTCACTCATTGCTTCTCTCCACCCAGGAGTAAATGGGTACTTGTGAGGGCAGAGATGATTATTGTGGTTGATTTAGCTGCTTTGCGCCTAACAGGCTGCATCGAGCTGTATACTCCCCAGGGAGCCGAGATGGTATTTGGAATGTTTCATGGGCCCAATGAGCAGGGGTAATAATGATGTAGCGCCTTAAGCACCAGTCCTGGTGGATACGTGCACTTTATAAATACCCACTACTATTAATATCATTATTATTTGTATTTTTAAATTACTATTTTACAGTAACGCTGTAAATTAAAGCAAAATGATCACCCGCTTACTTTGATTCCCTGGGAAGAGTTCAAAAGTCACATGTTTAGTAACTAGCTTCTCCAGTAAGGATTGATAGCGCCCCCATTGTTCAACAGAGTGCTTGGTGAAACCTTCAGCCAGATTGACCTCAATTGGGAGATACAGTGGGATGTTGACAACCTGTGTATCCAGATGATCTAAAAAAAAATAGCAAAAAATAAATATATGTAAAGCTTCGCAAACATCTATTACATAAAGAAAAAGGTTTTGGAGTGCTTTTGAGGAGTACATTTTAAAGAGTACATGTGAATAAATCACAGTTTTACACCTATACCAAACTTATTAGTAATTCCGTTGTTTACAATTACTCAACGCTATGATTTGCAACAGCCTGCAAGCTTGATATTTACAACATATAGCTTACGTGCTTATGTGTTTTTGTGTACGAGTATTCGAAGAACTATGTTGAATAATTTGTTTATAAAGACATATCCAAAGTATTTGTACGAAAGTCGACAGGAAAATTATTTGGTAAAGATTTTACAAGTACATGCTAATTAAGGTCATTCTATGAAAATCGCAAAAGAACACTGCTCACTCATTAACGTCAAATTGAACTGGTAGAGCAACGAAGCAGTGGGTGTACTTTGAAAATCCAGGATATGAAAGCCCTATTCATAAGCTTTCTTTTAGTACAAGAATCATTCAAATCACTCATGTACTTTTGAAGTAACTTCAAAACAAAAGTTCTTGGAAGTGCTACATGCAGAACTTTTTTTACTCACCCTGTAGAGGTAAATACATGTACAATGTACATTGTATTTTGTTTCAAATTTTCTCTGTGAAATAAAAGAGGTATCAGTTAAGTTGAAGTTGATTGGTAGAAATGTGCTGGACTTACTGTGATAGATAGCATTGCCTTGCAGATAGGATACTTCGTACATATTCTTCAAGACGAGGGGACTTAGTTTCTCAGACACGCTTCCCTTTGCGGTCTGGAGGTCAAACTGTAATTCATCACCAAGGAAGAAAGTTGCCTCTTGGGGCAGGAGGGCACGATCGATGACGTCACGCATGTACATTGGTTTGGAACCTGGCAGTGAATGGATCAACAGAGAAGTGATTAGAACATTGGAAAAGAATGTTTTGGTGTATCGGGTTGACAAACAGACTTTCCCTTGTGTTGAGTCCTATTCCTTCATCTTTCTGAAGTCAATATATCTACATGGATCCAGATAAACTGCTTAGAATTAACAGTGTCTGACAAACGATATGATAACTACAAGAGTTAACAATCGTAGATTTTGGGCCTTTCGAGAATCGAACTCCAGGCAGCTGTTTATTTCTCGTCACACAAGGACTCAAAAAAACTCCTAATTATTACCATTCGTCCACAAATATAGCAAGTTCATAAACAAAAGTTTACAATGAGAAAGAAAGCAAAAAGGTAGCTCTTACGTTTTTTACTGGTAATCACTTCGAATCTGGCATCTGCGTATCGCAAAGGGATGCTCAACCATTTGTTTTTCTTGATGCTTGCCAGAACTCGCGTTTGAGTGTGGATTTGGTTGATGCGAAGAATCTAGGTAAAATCATGAAGAAAAAGGATTACTCATACAGGGGCTATCGAGTGTAATGTATGTTGAGTTGTTGACCAATGAGGTGGTACTGCGTACGCGCGCGTCCTCAATGCTCATCCAATCGGGTTGCGAAATGCACGCGCGCATGCGGCGCGACAGGCACTCGGACGAGGTGCCACCTGGGTTTTTGTTAGTCGACTTTCTACAATGCTTCAAGCAGTTCCGCCAAACTACACCGGTTTTCGCTTTTCAATAAAAGGAAGGACATTGATTGTATCAGTTCCATCCTGAATATTTTTTTGGATAAGATAAGGAGCTATAAACTGACATTTAGAAACTTTGAGAATTTGTTGGAACATGTCAGAATGTTAAGAAGTTGACGAATATCGAATCCTGAGAATTCCTAAAGTTTTCTCACCTGATCTCTGTTCAGCGTTTCAGTCTCATCAGGCGAGACGAAGCCCGCCGAAACCTTCATGATCGCGGGGAACGTGCATCGTTTGAGAGCTTCTCTCAGCGTGTAGGAGCGTTTGGACCACCGTATATCTTCAACTTTGGACCCCATGGTGGATCAGCTATCGTCACGGTCGCACGGAAAGTGTAGTCATTCGGGGGTTGTGTGGAACAATTCTCTATCTGGTTTCCTGAATAACGATAAGGAACAAATGGTTTATAAAATCCGCTCTGTGTTCAAGGTCGATTTTAAGTTCGATTTGAAAACATAGTCATACCTGCAAATTAAGGGAATTATATTTGCAGTCCCCTTCCCGAAATCATCGCCCCATTCCAAAATAGATACACGATCTCATGTACATGTGCATGTGTCTATTTTCGGAGAGAGATGGGTGTGGCTTATGCATGAGTTATAATCCTGTATGGATGTGCTCTCTCAACAGTGAGCAAAAAGAAAATGAAAGCAAACAATGATGAGTACATCGCAGGTATTTTAAGCATTACATGAGCTTACACTTCACGTCTATACAACTTCGGACCGATGTCTTTTTGTCAAAGTTATCTATCGCAATCTTGGTGAAGCATTATAGGTAATAACAATGCCAGGACTACCTAACCATACTCGATCCAACAAGATTCATACGTAATTAAATGGCAGCCGGCGATAATTATGTTGTATTTTTTATGTAATTAACCCTAACCACCCTGAATCCTTCAAAATCCATACCCCCGTTTTGGACTATTTCGGCGGAATCAGGATACCTCCATATTATTTTAACAAACTGGGAGACTTTGATGGATTCAGGATTGTAAGCCTAGCTGAACTTAATGATTTTGATGGATTCAGGATACCGTCATATCATGCATATTGAGCAGTTTGGGGACTGTGATGGATTCAGGATCTCAAAAATTTAACTCCTTGTCTGTTTGTTTGACGGATTCAGGATACCTTCTAGCAAAAAAAGCCAAGTAGTTAGGGTTTTAATACATGTATAAACCATAGAGCTATATTAAATTACTAGAGCGCTAACTCGTCATTCTGCGCGCGGAGACGCTTTGAAGCCGTCCTGGGCGCAGACATCTTTAATTCATGTGCGTGTTTGTAGAACCATGGTAGAACATAATGAAATTAGATGGATTGAATTTTGAAAGTGTACTCTACATGCAACTCGCGCAAGTAGAACATACGCAAACGCGATTGACGGTTCAAAAAACGTGACGGCAAAAAGCATCTCCAGCGAATACGCGCACGCGTTGCGCTGTTTGCGTAGAACAAAATGACACGCTCATTTGCTGATCGTGCGTTTTGGTTTTGGGCGTATCGGCTTCGATGACGCACCGGTATGGAATACAAACGCAGATATGCAAATAGCCGTACAGAAGCCGTACAAAATTTCTAGGTCTCCATAGGTTTGTGCACAAACATGGATGCGCCCAGCAGGCATTACTTTGTACACGAAGTTAGCGCTCTAGTAATTTAATATAGCTCTATGGTATAAACCTATACGCCACACGCCTAATACATGTCAAGCCTCCATCTTGTTTAATTTACGTAAAGTGCATTATACGCGTACAATCATGTAGGTCGCATTGTTGCTTTATGCCATGCACCAAACGATTCCGAGGACGAACGTGTGAACAGAAATCAACTTCGTCACAATCACAGCATTCATACCACTAGCCTTGAACTTTCCACATCATTTACAGCACACTGAGTAATCACTGCAACTCGTGTATAATTCACTGTTGACAATATTCAATGTTGAACTATTGTGAATTGGGTCATTAAATTCAGTTTATGGAAGTCGGTTTTACTGCGAGATAAACCTGCTTTTTTAATTAAACGTCATTTGTGTGTTTATGTTAGTACCCGTTCGTGTGTCTTTTTATTTTAATGATAATTCCGTTATGATCTCACTTTCAACCAAAATATATATATATTATGTTTTGCTAGTTTTTGGGTTATTTCTCATCTTCTTTGTAAATTTATGCTCAGGGCTTCGTGAACAGACTACCCTGATTAAAGAACACAAATAAATAAATAAACAAATATATAAATAAATACTGATGGTATCAGTGGAATGACACTTCAAATGGCACAACAAAGCGAAATATGTTATCACTAGTAAGCTATAAGGCATAGTATGATGGTTATTAATGAACGGAGAAGTTTATACATGTAAAGTAAGTATAAGTACATGCATGTTTATCGTCAATAATTATCATTCCCATCATCAAAAACATGGTGACCGTCACCACCTCCACACCTATCACAAATCTTCGGACAGCTTTTGCATACTTTTAGGTACACTGCACATGACTTGAACCCGCCTATACATTAGGCATCATCAGAGTAAACTAATGACGCAATCAAGGAGGTCAAGCATAAGCGTATAACGACACCACTTAGCATCCATCACACGTCCAATTAAGCGGTAAAGGTAACTCCAATGGCAAATTGACTTAGATTGATGGCACCGTACATTAACCACGACGAAAGAGATAAAAATGACCTACTCTAACATTGTCCATAAAATGAAAGGAATATTTGAAGGAATATGAAAGCAGAAATAGGAAGTATGCAAATGGAATTCGAGGTTTTAAATCTATTTCTCCTATTTATAAAAAAAAAAAAAGGTACTAAATGCAGTCGTAAAATCTGGTAATGATAATAACAAACTGCTAAATAAGGTATATTATGGGAAGATGGGAATGCATAATTAGCCCTAACTCCCTATCATGATTTACTAGGAACCATACCCATCCTGGCAAATTCCAACACTATATGGGAAACTGCATACATATTTCTGACTTTGATTCAGGAGGTGTGCCAGTTTAGGGGTACTGTACCCATCCTGGCAGATTCCAACAAAACATGCCGTTGGGGGTTTGATGGGATGAGTTCTGTTCAGCCGAGTTAACATGAATTAAGGATGTTGATACTTCAGGAAAACATAATATATTAGTTCTTTGTATTCTTTTGTGATGATAGAAACATCTTTTAATTTGACATTACACCTTCCGAAATAACTTTGGAGATGGACTGCGTATTATAACCTATTGAAGTCATCATTTTGAAGCACAAAGCACTCGGCTGTCATTGAAATTTACTGAGGAACGAGGATAGAAGTTACAAAGAATTATTTGGAGGAAGCGTTTTCGAAAATATACAGAAGCTTTCGTAAAATGCCTCCGGGGTGTCCTCCTGAAAAGCTCATACAGTCTACCGCATGCTGATTGTCGTGCACAAAACACTGTGACCTGGCGACCTTTCAAATCCAGGACTGAAAAATGGATTGAATAGAACATGAAAACGGTTTGCAAAATTGTAAAGAATACAGCGTATTGAATTTAGCGTATGTATAACCTGCCTATAACCTGCATTTGTGCACAGGTAGTAATATGCAGTATTTGTCGCGATGTTCAGTTAATTTGTTCAAATTGTATTAATGTTATCTTCTATAATTATATGTCTGAGCTTTTTCTGCAAATTGTTGATTTTGGAAGAGACATGATTTTCATTGACAGCAAGTATCATCTCATTCATACACAAAATGGTTAGCCTATATGTGAATTCTTCCGGATATTAACTAATTTTGGTAAACAAACAAACCATCCTTTTGTCATATCAAACTGTTGCGCCAATACTTTACCATTTAAACCAATAAATTATAATTACATTGTTTATTATCATTAAACTTTGTATTTCTATATTGTTGCACCAAATGTGCTCTTGAAAAATCCCTCTTGCTTTACAAAAATTCCAAAAAATATAATGGCGGGGGAGATTTTAACATTTATCAAATTTGGGGTTTAAATTAATATTATGATATCCAGCTGTGACAGACGAGGATACACCACAGATTAATAAAAACTGCAGTGATTCATTGCATTAACATTTTCCAATATTATTTCCATTTTCAATGGCATCGCCTAGCGACCACACAGCTGTTGTGAGGATGGAGGCACTTCAGACAAAACAACAGGTGAAACTCACATGACATCGTCCATCACGTCCATACTCGCTACACGTTGATACATATTAATATGCATAATGAATCAACATACCACCTGGATATTATAATACTTTATCAGCCATGATTCAACGCATAACATTCTATTACGAAAATAATTTACTGAGGTTTAATTTGTTTCTGAACTATGGTTTTATTAAAATATTAATTGCTATTTGGAGTTATAGCAAATAATGGAAAATGTTTAAAACACTGAACGAGAACAACTTGGATTAAGTGTTTGGAGTCTGGGAACATCCTTCAACATGGCATCGTTATTTCGTCAACAGCAGTGCCGGTAGAAATCAAATTTTAGGTGCATATGTGTGCATTTAGTGTATCTCGTAATATTTTTAACTTGAAATAATGATCATTGTCATAATGTTTAGAATGATCCGTTCAACAATGAGCTAAAACAGTTAATACATTTATATCTACCCTCGGAATCTTTTGGTCGGACCGCCCAACGATATTCAACCCAAGCGATAGTCTACACTAGTGACGAGAACATTACCATATTCTCTACATTCAGATAAATCCAGGTAACTTTCCGGTGAACAAATTATAAATATAACCATCAACACACTAGCAGTGATCATTCTTGAAAATCACCGTCTCTGATCACCACATTCATGACAATCACCACTCTTGCTATCATTATCACCACAATCAACACCATATCACCATTCTGACCATCTGTCTTATTACTTTCTCCGCCCGATCTCCAGTTGGTGATCGCATGAATGATGATTCTTGACAATCACCACCACTGATCACCTAGCTCACGAGGTGATCAGTGATGGTGATTTGAAAGAATGATCATTCATGACAATCACCACTCTTACTATCATCATCACCATCATCAACACCACATCACCACTCTGACCATCTGTCATTATTACTTTCTCCGCCCGATCCCCAATTATTCAAGATAATAAGAGTGGTGATCGCATGAATGATCATTCTTGACAATCACCATCACTGATCACCTCATGAGGTGATCAGTGATGGTGATTCTTAAGAATGATCATTCATGGCAATCACCACCCTTACTATCATCATTACCATAATCAACACCACATCACCACTTTACCATTATTGCGGACAGAGTTCCATGCCTGGACATCACTTGACACCCTGTGCACAAACCCTATGAGACTGGTCTGAAAATTTCAGGTTTTTTTCAGTAAATGCTTTAATATTTTCCCTGCTAAATTTGACGTTTTAGGACATGTTATTACTTTCTGATGGCTGGTAGGTCACAACAGGGAAATATTAGTGAAGTCCATGTATGGAATTCTTCCCATTATGACTTTTTCTGTCCAACCCACAGTTATTCAAGAATCAAGATGTAGTTTACATTTTCAAGTTGTTCAATCGTACGTTCACTGAAAGTTTAGGGGCTTATCGTAATCGAATTAAACTTAATTCACTTTAGGTCGTTATTAATGTTGTCATTAAAACCGCATGGACGTGAAAATATAACCATTACAAACTACATGATGAGGAATCAAAATGTAGATACCAAGTACTTTGCTAAACGAAAGCTTTGGATCTTTACCGCAATGGTTAAGAGTTTCGCAATATTTGACCAAAGGATTATCCAGAATAATCAGAAAAGTATTTTCTGTGGGCGTACATTTGCTATGATGTGCGTACATGTACATGGGTATGTGTATCAATCATGTACCATTGAGATTATTTCATTGGTACCAAACCTGAAATAACAAAAAAATAGTAGATCACGAATTCTGCAACGTAACATCGCCTGAATATGATTGTTTTTGTTTATATTTTCAGGTAAAAATGTACACAATATAGCGGGCTGGCCTGTATATGGAAATGGAACTACATCAGTACATGTACATGTAGTTCACACAGACTGCAATTTTTACAAGTTTGTATCTATGTCAGTCTTGGCAACTTACCAACTATTGATGCGGTGTCCTATCTGATGAAGCCATCACTTCTTGCGTTTACATCTCCATCGGACGATCCCGTAAAACACCCGAAAACGAACCCAGAAATCGCGAGTTTCCGTCGATTTTCATCGTTATTCACCCAGCAATGGTTATTCCGTGTACGTCAGATATGGGCAGGACCGACAATATGGCTTCCCCTTCGAATGGAACCATTCAGATGGAAATGAGGCCTCATCCGGACGACAATAGGCTTACAGTGTGCGGAGCAAGGCGAGCGGCGCACAGGAATGCCGGTGTGCATTCATGCGGTAACTTTCACGTCAACTCTACGTGCAATCTACGGAATCACTGGTACCCGTTAACTTTACGTGTGCTTGTTTTTATACATGAACGCTCAGACACCAGTTGCCACCAGCAAAATGGGATGAAAAGTTTAATCCCACAATTTCACTTTCAAAAGATATAGGTGATGTTTATCCCTCTAGAAATGTCCCGTAATTAGTAAATAGTCATGGTCCTTGTGATAGAGTAAAATGTATTCAGAAATCAAAATCGTGGACAGGATTTGTGCCCAATCAATTAAGTGTTTGTCAATCCACCTGCTGTTGGGCGAGGCAGACCGTTGCGTGTAGGCGTACGCCCTCACAGTCCGGCTGCGGCTACTGGAATTACGCGCAGCTCATGACTCATCAACCACTAACAAAGTCGGCATAAGTTCTTACAACTGAGCTGCGAAGAACGTAGAAATAATTGCTAATAAGCATCCGGGGGGAACTTGCTCAACAAAACAGATGACAAATCAAACTGAAATTCATATAGCGTATATACGATTATAGTGGAGTGCCGTGGCCTCGTGGTCTGGGGCATTGAATTCTTGGTCTGTGGGTAATTCTGCAGGTTGTGGGTTCGAGTCCAGCCTGCATATGCAGCCATGGTGCGTGTGCCCTTGGGCAAGGCACTTTGTCACTCATTGCTTCTCCCCACCCAAGAGTGAATGGGAACCTGTTAGGGCAGAGATGGTTATGTGATTGAATTAGCTTCCTTGCGCCTATCAGGCAGCATCGAGCTGTATACTCCCCCAGGGAGCTGAGATGGTTTTGTAATGTTTAATTGGCCCAATGAGCAGGGGTAATAATAATGATGCAAAGCGATTTGATCTTAGTTAAAAGCGCTATATAAGAAACTCAAATTAGGGTTTGCCTTTCACCGACGTATAACACTGTATACTAAGTGTGTTATACAGTGTTTATACGTCGGTGAAGGGCAAAACCTAATTTGATTTACATCACGTACCCGACGCAAAATTCCATCTGATAAGAAACTATTATTATTATTATTATTATTACAGTTGATGTCGGGTTAACACGGAACTTAAATTCTACCGGGCATCCATTTTCAGCTTAGCACGCATCCATGCATGAAATCGGGTCAAGTCTATATGGTCATTTTGATACACTGTTATTTTGTATCCATGATCAAACACGGTTACTAAATTCTGAAACTGGTTGACAGACGATCTTAATTCCAGCAAATAACGCCTGTCTGGGATTAAACAAATTTAGACAACGCAAAGAATTTGTAGAAAAGTGTGGCAAGTTTTTTTTAATACATGTTTGGAAAAATCTGTTTTATTTTACGTCTCCTATACTAAATGAATGTGTTTACAAGTGTTATGTCAGTCACCTGAACTACTGTCATATACAGAATATAATTTAGATGTTGAATACAGGAAATACTTAGGTAACGACAACAAAAATCAATGTAATATATGTTGGCCAAAACGGCTTATAGGGTTATAATTTACGCCGTTAAACAGCATTCTTTCTTGACTCGGCCTTTTTGAACTTAAAAAACTCAGCTACTCAAATGCGTCTTAGGCCTTTCACCTCCTTTATAATTTTCATAATCTGGTCTGCTTTATTATTTTAGCCCAGCACAAATTGCTTTTCACATGTCACTTGTTGGCAGATCTCGTTCATTACTATTTCTCTGTGTATAAAATATTTCAGTAGTAAACAGAAAACATTACAGGTTTCAGCTAATGTATCTTCTAATATTCTACAAATATCAACGAAATTACACACTGGTATACGTTTGAACATTTGATGAACGTTTAAAGAAAGAGCAATAGTGATATTTTAAGAAATATAAGTGCTATATAAACAGCGCAAGATATAGTTTTATTGAAAAGCTATTTCATTGTAATATTTTTTTTACATTTCAGTGACATATTTCAACTACCATTAAGGTACATAAAGTGTTAAGTTTAAGCAGAATACATCAGCTTTTTGTCAACCGCGTCGTTAAGAAAGCTAATTTTAAGTAAATTAATGTAGCACTTAAACATCTTCTGTAGGGCCTCTAAACACATAGAGAGATTCCCAGAAGTCAATATAGCATCCTTCTGTAATAAACAGAACATGCATGTGACGTGGCTCTAAACTTGAAACCGTTCGAAGGGTCTTCCAAACGTGCCAACAATTTAAACCGCTTAGCGCTGTCCATCATACTTCTCAAATGTCATCCTTTGTGAAATTTCCAGATGAAGAGTCTTGAGATTATCAGAATTTTCAACGGCCTTGGAAGAAGTTAACCTTGCTTCGACTCGGGTCACAAAAGACTCTGATTTTGTTTCAGATAAGCCGGAAAACATTCCCATGTACAAAATGTACAACAACAACAACAACAACAACAACAACAACAACAACAACAACAACAACAACAGATAGTGACATAGACCCGATTACAAACACAGGTTTGGATTGCTCAGAGCGCGGTGCGGTGCTCCGGAGGTCGGAGGTTCGACTCCCGATCAAGATTAATGTTTACAAGTCCGTAGATTGATCCACATCGTCCAAGTCATCCTCCATATCCTGGCCGCTGTGCACCGATCTGCCATCAGGGTGACCCCGATGCTGTGATGGCAGGTGCCGTAAGTCCCCCAAGATTCTGTCAATGTCATTCATGCTGAGGCTTGTGGCCGTGCTAAGCTTTCTCCCAGTACCTGCTTTGATGTCTCTCCATCTTCTGCCGGTGTGTCTGGGGTGGTCGTCGTTAACACCCGGACTCCACAAGTCCGGTCGAAATAGCCTAGACGCCGTACCGAAGAGAGCCTTTGGCTGGTATGCACCAAAACTCTCGTCTGTAATATCGCTCACATCTTCGTCAAAATCGGCTTCGGTTTTCGAGTCTTCGCTGGTGGGCCAAGTGAAGACGCTGCTCACGTCGTCCACCGTGGATTCGGAGAGGCTGGTGGCTGACGTCGAGGTGCCCGAGATGGAGACGGCGTCGGCGCCTCGTTTGCGTCTAGCCTCGTTGCGCTTGAAGAAACGCCGGTCTGTGCCCCTGACGTCTGTCGTGGGCTTTACGTTGCGGGACAATGACCCCACGTTCCCGGCTACACTGTAGGAGCGACGCCTAGTCTCTTTCTCGGTCTCTTTTCTCCGTAGTGTGCCATAAGCTCGGCTCAGTGTCTGCTGTCCTGTCTGTACCACAAGTGTCGTCTTGGTTGATTTACTGATACTTTCATCTTCCATCTCTGAGGTATGAATCGTGATCTCTGAAAAGAGAAAAAATTATACTTATAAAATCACCAAGAGATAGGCCCCGGTATATTAAATCGTACCCCAAATGTTGTTTTCAGGTTAAAAATGTATTACAATGTATTACCAGACAAGCAGTTTTGTAATTAAATTAAGCGACAGCATCTGAACTCACTCTGGTTTCCCTGGACGGCTTTAAATCGCACTCTCACGGCCACCACGTTGTCAAGTTCTCGCATGAGTCGTTTCCAGTTCTTCTCCCCACTTGCCAGACCTAGAGCCAGTGACATCTCCATGTCATGGTGCACAGGGATACTCAGTATCGAGGGGTCTAATTCACCTGCAATGATACAGAACATGTGTCATCAAACATGTGTCATCAAACAGGTGTCATCAAATAGGTGTCATCATTCAGGTGTCATTTATGCATACTAGTGTCATAAAGGTGCCATGAAGGTGTCATGCAGTTGTCCTAAAGGTGCCATGCGTGTGTCGTGTCGGTGTCAAATGAGTGTCATCTGGTTGTCAAGCACTAACATGCAGGTGTCATGGGTGAGGTGTCATGAAATGTGTCATGTAGTTGTCGTAAAGGTGCCATGCATGTGTCATGTATTTGTCACATAAGTGTCATATAGTTGTGAAGCAATGTCATATGCAGATGTCCTGGGGTGAGGTACCGTCATGAAATGTGTCATGCAGTTGTCATAAAGGTGCCACGCATGTGTTAGTAGTTGTCATGTGAATTTCATATGGTTGTGAAGCACCGTCATATATGCAGGTGTCATGGGGTAAGGTGTCATGAAATGTGTCATGCAGTTGTCATAAAGGTGCCATGCATGTGAGCGTCATATGGTTGTCAAGTACTGTCATGCATGTGTCATGGGGTGAGGTATCATGCATGTAAGGTGTCATGCAGTTGTCATAAAGGTGCCATGCATGTGTCGTGTAGGTGCCATGTGAGTGTCATGTAGGTGTCATGCAGGTGTCATGAAGGTACCAAATTGTGCATGTGTCGAAATCTGCAGCAGTCCGAAAAGACAATCCAATGTAACAAGATCTAACCATCTGAGTCTTTCAAAAGTCATCAAAATAACTTGACAGCCCCATAGTTTGACCTATACTCACCAAAGTTGACGGCGTTTCCACTAAGATAGACCTCCTCGTGTTTTCTTATCAATTCAAGTGGTTCCATTGTCATCCTGACCCCAAGACGATCGCCCTCCAGAGCCTGATTTGGGGTCAGGTGACTTGAAGAGAAACGAACCTTCTTGGGAAGGGCGAACTGGCGAATCAAATCAGACAAGACCATGGTAACGGTCTTTCGTTTGGACACTGTGAAATAAAAAATAAAAAGTCAGGCTATTGTGAAAATCTCTGCACACAGAAATACGAACATTATATACACCTTTTAAAATGTTGATGGCGTCAAGCATTATTTGATGTACTTTTGTTACTAGGACCTACGATTGAGAAAAAAAAACCTCTACAGGGTGAGTAAAAAAAATGACACCCAAACGTCGGGACAATTTTTTTTCAGTGAAGTTCTGTGAATTGTTTTCGGTTTACTAAAACAACACTTACCTTTTTTTGTGATCCGTGGACAGAAATTTAAAACGGTGTTTGTGTGTAAAATTCCGTAACTTGAAAAGTACATGAGTGATTTGAATGATTCTTGGACTAAAAAAAAGCTTATGAATTGTGCTTTCATATCCTAGATTTTGAAAGTGCTGCATGTAGAACTTCACTAAAATAATTGTCCCGACATTTCGGTTTCGTTTTCTTTAACTCGCCCTGTAGATCCAAAGAAGTTGAAAACTGGTATGAGGCTCCCCTTCTGTCTTTAGTTTAAGGACACATCTGCAAAAATTTGTCAGCCTTTTCTATGGAACTTCCTAGATTTATAAAGATGGTTTATAGCATTTGAGTTGCTATAGTAACCGATCGACTCACGTGATCTTTTTCTCTCGGGGAGAACTTCAAACGGGATGTCAAAGTCGAGAGGGATGCTTAGATACCGCCCTCTGGAGTCAACAGCGATCACTCTCTGCTGTTTCAACCAACGATGGATGCGAATTACCTAAGGAATGGTTACAAAAAAAACAAAATCTTGAAAATGTCTTCCTAACTGGTACTTTATTTAAACTTTATTTTATGCCGGTTCTTAGTTCGGAAAGAATGTAAAGTATCAAGGCACCACTTCTTTGGTTGTGCATGCAACGTCTGAGTCAAGTGCATGTTCAAAGTATTTTCGAACAAAATTGGAAATGTTTCTCAGTCCCAGATTCCTGTCTGTTCAATATTTTTGCAATGACTGACCTTCATTGAGATAACATATGATAAAATGTGGCGTCAGGATGCAACATTCTTTCCCTTATGGAAATCATTGTTAATATGTGACATGTATGGTACGAGGTTATGAGCCAAAGTTGCTCTAAGAATAACTACACATAAACTACAGTGAAATCTCGATAAGCCAAACTCTGATAACTCAAAACAACTGTTCAGTCAAACAAAGAATCCATTGCCTTCAGTAGTACAGCAATGATATACAACCCTGCTTAACTCAAAACTCTGCTGAAGTCAAATTTTGAACCTGTTCCCTTGAGGTTTGACTTATCAAGATGTATCCCCAATTTTGAAGTTTTTGTTGAGATTTTTTAACAACACTCATATTGCAGTGCATGGAGTTGTTGTTTTTTAAGCCACGACACAAATCTTTTCAATTTTCGTGAAAGTATACTGTACACAATATTGTTATTAACAACAGAGTAATACATGTACATGTATTTGACGATCATACATGAATTTGACCTGAAAATTACCAAAGTCATGACAAGGCCAATTTCTTTGTGTCTTTCCTTCTTGTTTGTGTGAGTTTTTGCACTTGCAACACGGGCCTAGGCGGCCGTAATGCCAAGGATAGGAGCACCGCATAAACCAGAATACTGGTCCACTGATCCGACGGAATTTGGTTTTATTGTCGCGATATGACCCCGTCGATATTCCCATGATCCCTGCCGCTGAACGGTCCCTAAGCCTTTCGCAAAACACAAAATTTGTTTATGAATACAATCCGAAGTTTTCTTTGCCGCAGATATGCTAGTATACGCCCGTGGTATGCCATTGTTGCGTGACAAAGACGGGCACCGTGATAGACCGTGATTCTACCTCGTTCTCGATATTCACCTCGAGACCACGTGAGATAGCGCGGCGTGACCAAGCGTGTTCATTGTGCTGCTGAACCTCGCGACGTTCAGACGTGACTTATTGTCCGTGGCGAATAGTTTTCTATATTTTACGCACAGCATGGCTGGACAACCGACTGAGCACGGCGAGTTGACCCTGAGCCCGGAGGATGAAGATCTGTTTGCTTTCCTCTCACCATCCTGTAAGTTGAATAGTCCTCGGGGCTCAGGGTCTCTTGACGGGCTCTCTGGGTTTCCACCCGCGCAGCCTGGTGGTGGCCAGGAATGGCGCACAAAAACAGGTAATACTGTTAATAGTGAAAGAGGGAAGTTTCCTCAGAATAAAAAACGAAGCTATGAGGAGAACACGAACGAGTCGCAGTTGTATAATTCCGAAACTGTACAAAAATGTTCCCCAGACATAATGGCTTTAGGCCAAATGATGAAAGGTGCAATGGAATCAATGCAGACAAGCTTCACTAAACAATTCCAAGAATTTACCCAAATGTTCATGGCCGTGCAGCCACAGTCTAATGACGAGGCTGAGAGCGAATCTGCTCACAAAGTAGTGTCGCCGAAACGGCGAAAAATGGATGGTGGAAATACTAGCCACTATGACCATGAGTCTAGCGTTGCAAGACTATTTGAGGAAACAAACCCTGATACCGCCAGCACAACTGCTGCAACATCAGAAAATAATTCTGAACAAAACGAGTTACTTGCAAATATTGCACAAGATTTTCAGATAGATGAACAAACTTCTGATGCAGTACATGCCCAGTTGGCATCAATTGCAAACTCTATAATGCGGGACAAATTGTCCGACGACAAAGTAAAAGACATGTATAAAACCTATAACAGACCAAAGAACTGTGAAAAGGTGATCCCAACAAAAGTGAACAAACTCATTTGGGACAATATGTCGAGCAGTACCCGCTCCCAGGATGTCAAATTTCAAAAAATTCAGACATCCGTCATTAAGTCAGTTGTACCTGTGCTTCAGCTTTCGGAACAACTGCTTCAAGCATCCAAAAAGAAGGAGCTTGATAAACTTGACATAAAACCACTGCTGCGTAATGCAACAGATGCGATCGCACTATTATGGCTAATGCCAATTATCAGTTGAATATGCGACGCAGGGAATTTATCAAGCAAGATATTAATCCCAATTTTAAACATCTTTGTGATACTACTGTTCAGTTCACTGAACAACTTTTTGGGGATGACCTACCCAAACAAGTCAAAGATATGTCAGAAGTGAATAAGATTGGCTTAAAATTGGCAATCAGTTCCCGTGGGGGACGTGCGAGAGGTCGGTCGGGGCACAGGTCATATGACAGAGGTGGCCACCAGTACCGGGGCGCAAGAGGCGCTGCAGGCCGGGGTTTTTTGTACTCCCGCCCGTACAACAGCCGCCAATCTTGGCACAGCGGCAAGCAGTCGAACAAGAACAAGTAAAACAGGAGGTAAGACAACCTTCAAATCAATGCCAAATAGAAGCCAATATAGCAGGTCGTTTAAAGGACTTTATTTCGTCTTGGAGGAATATTACCTCAGATAAGCAAGTTCTTGATACGGTTCAAAATTGCCATATTGAATTCGAGGAAGGGTGCCGCCCTTTTCAAATATGGCCGCCAACAGAAATTAATTTTCATGAGACGGAAAAAATAAGTCTTGATTTGGAAATAGACAAGCTCATTAAAAAGGGTGTTATAAAACATTCCTTCCATGAAAAGGGACAGTTTGTCTCCACAATTTTCCCCAGACTTAAAAAAGACGGCACTTATAGAATGATTTTGAACTTGAAACAGTTTAACAAATCAGTTGCTTATCATCATTTCAAGATGGATACACTAGTCTCTGCAGTGCGACTAATGAAACGCGACTGCTACATGGCCTCTATTGACTTAAGAGATGCCTATTATTCGGTGCCAATTGCCCAAGAGCACCAAAAATTCTTAAAGTTTTCATGGCGAAATAAATTGTATCAATTTACTTGTTTGCCAAATGGCCTAGCGTCAGTCCCAAGAATTTTTACAAAACTGCTGAAGCCAGTTTATTCAACCCTAAGAAAGAAGAGCTTTTTATCAGTTGGTTATATTGATGACTCCTACTTACAGGGAGACACAAAAGAAGAATGTACCGAAAATGTTCGGCATTCAGCCTCATTGTTCACCAATCTGGGGTTCCGAGTCCACCCCGACAAATCCGTATTCGAACCAACGCAACAATTAACATTCTTGGGATTTATTCTGAATTCAAATAGTATGACTATTCAACCAACAATTGGCAAAGTTGAAAAGGTCTGTAACCAAATTACATCTGTGTTGAGCAAAAACCTGATTACCATTCAGGATGTTGCGTCCACTATTGGCGTCCTAGTTGCCTGCTTTTCAGGGGTTGAATACGGACAATTGTTCTATAGGAGCATTGAAACAGACAAAATAAAAGCTTTGCAAAACAGCAAAGGTGATTTCTCTGCGCTCATGCGGTTGTCTGAGAAATCCAAGGAAGAGTTAAACTGGTGGCTTACTAATATAGGGGGCAGTGTCAAACAAATTTCTCATGGAGAGCCAGACTTGGTTATTCAGTCAGATGCATCCAAACTTGGTTGGGGTGCGGTCCATAAATCACTCCATGCAGGAGGCAAATGGACAGCCACTGAGGCTACTCAGCATATCAATTATCTTGAATTGCTAGCAGCATACTTGGCTTTATGTTCCTTTTGTTCCTCGTCAAGGAATGTCCATGTGCGTATCCAGATGGATAATACCACTGCAGTTGCTTATGTAAATTCTATGGGTGGTATAAAATCTAAGCCATGTAATGAACTCGCACAAAAACTTTGGTTTTGGTGTATAGATCAGAATATATGGGTATCTGCTTCTTATCTCCCAGGATTGCAGAATGTTGCTGCGGATAAGCAGTCCAGATTATTTAATGATAGGACTGAATGGATGCTTAAACCCAAGATTTTCAATCGCATTCAATCCCTTTGGGGCGATATAGCAATTGATTTATTTGCATCCCGACTAAATAAACAAATCTTGCCTTATGTTTCATGGAGGCCAGATCCGGGCGCTCTCTTTGTAGACGCCTTTTCAGTGTCATGGAAACCTTATTTTTTTCTATGCGTTTCCTCCCTTCAGCATGATCGCCAGGTGCCTTCAGAAGGTAGATCAAGAAGAGGCAGAAGGGGTGCTGATTTTCCCGCTCTGGACAACCCAATCGTGGTTTCCCAAGCTCATGGCGATGTTAGTAGACAAGCCAGTACTGCTGCCAAGACAAAGGGATATGATGACCCTACCAAGCAGCGATCAACTTCATCCTCTACGGAACAAGCTTCGGCTGGTTGCCTGCCACTTATCAGGAAATCCTTCCAAATGCAAAATGTTTCTCAACAAGCAACCGAAATCTTCATGGCCTCATGGCGAGAGGGAACCCGAAAACAGTACTCTGGCTACCTCGAAAGATGGCTTCGCTTCTGTCGTCAAGGACAGGTTGATCCAATATGTCCCCCTGTGAACACAGTTTTGGACTTTTTGGCAGAATTATACCATTCTGGCCTTGGCTATAGTGCACTTAATACCGCTCGGTCTGCACTCTCAGCTACGGTAGTGACTAATAATTCCACTACTGTTGGTAATCACCCTTTAATTTGCAGATTTCTTAGAGGTGTATTTCAGTTAAGACCGCCCCAAACACAATATACAGAGGTTTGGGATGTAAGTATCGTCCTAAGATATTTAAAGAGTCTTTACCCACTACAGGGGTTGACTTTAAAAGAAGTGACTTTTAAGTTAGTTACTCTAATTGCTTTGGTCTCGGCACAAAGATGCCAAACTTTTCATTTGATGGATATTAAGAATATGACAGTAACTGATTCGGTTTATACCTTCTTTTTTGCTATACTTAAGCAGAGCCGTCCAGGTCTGCCCAATGTTAAGGTTATTCTGAAGCCTTATTGACTGATACAAGTCTATGTGTAGTTAAGACTCTGGAAGAGTACTTACGCCGAACAAGGCCTCTCAGAGGAGAGGAAAGTCAATTGTTTATTTCTCATTCTAAACCTCATAAAAAGGTTACCAAGGAAACCGTAAGCAAATGGATTAAACAAGTATTGTCAAACTCTGGCATTGACGTGTCAGTATTCAAACCACACAGTACCAGATCAGCTGCAGTGTCTGCGGCAAAAAGGGCTGATGTTACTATAAATGACATACTACAAACAGCAGGCTGGAGCACAGAAAGCACGTTTGCTAAGTACTATGACAAAGCTATTGTCATCCCAGCAACTGAGTCATTTGCCAGTGCTGTACTTCAATTGTAGAGAATTACTTCCTTGCAATAATAGTCCAAAAAGTCTGTTTAATATGCAGTTTTATTTATTTGAAAACACATTTACAACCTTCATGATGAATGTTTGCATAATAACGTTGTCGGTGTTGTTATTGTAAGAATGTGTAATTAGTATATGCTTCAATAAGCTTGAGAGATTAATATAGTGGAGTGATGAAAAACAGTAATTGTAACAAAAGCACTGAACGAGAAATGCTAGTAAAAGCAGGTGAATTCAATAAAACATTGCAGCAAGATTTCTGCTGAACTGAACCAGTATGAAGTTGTGTGAATACAAAGCTTCTTTCCGCTGTACCTGGCTCATGCATTATCCTGCTTTGAAATCTCACGTGGTCTCGAGGTGAATATCGAGAACGAGGTAGAATCCTAAAATTAAACGAAATGAAATTGAAGTTTGATTGGGATTCTATCGAGTGATCGATAGAACCGAGGGATCACGTGCCCTCCACAAAATGATAAATCATAATTATATTCAATGGCCCCACCCTGGTTGGGGGGGATAATGTATTCGCCGTTAAAAAATGAACACGCTTGGTCACGCCGCGCTATCTCACGTGATCCCTCGGTTCTATCGATCACTCGATAGAATCCCAATCAAACTTCAATTTCATTTCGTTTAATTTTAGGATTTGTTTGCCAGTTTAAGCACGGAAAACACTCAACCAAAAAAGAAGCCCCCCCCCCTTAATACTTGTTTGTCTAACTCAAAAACTACTTGGCATATCTTGCTCAAATTACGACTGATCAGTACAGAATTCCTTAGCAATCCAGCCATACTCTTTGTTTGGCCCAAAACAGTGAAAATGTCTACAAAATTATGCAATTTATGACAAATGGTACCAAGAAAAAGTTTTGTATATACGTGCAAGATGAGTGTGAACCACAACTTTCACGTATACAAAAAGTGCAACTGTTTTCGGTACGTACCATTTGTCGTAAATTGCATTAATAATTTTTACACATTATCACTGTTTTGGGCCAAATAAAGAGTATGGCTTGATTGCTAAGGAATTTCTGAACTGATTAGTCGTTCTTTGAGCGAGAAGTGCTCAGTTGTTTTGGGGTTAGACAAAACAGTATTGGAAGGGAGACTTTTTGTGGTTTACAGTACTTCCTCAAACTGATGGATCCATATTTGATTTATAGAAATAGTAAAATCTGATTCAATTCCAAACAGATTTTTCCCCCTTAATGTAAACAAAACTTGTCTTGTTGGTCTTAACATCACGCAAAACAATCAAGGAACAAAAATCGATCTTGGGTGTCTACTTTCTTCGCTTTCAACATGATGTCACAATGCACAATGTAGTTTTTGGCAACTTTAAAGGATTTTCATAAGATGGAATTTGCGTCGGGGTGAAGTAAATCAATAATAGGTTTGTTTATTCTTTTTAAAGTTTAATTGCGGTACCCGCTGCTACATGTTCATCAGATTCGAACCAGCTAATTACTGATCCCGTTAGCTCGGTGGTCGAGTGGTAAGACGTCTGCACTGGAAAGCAGGAGATCGTGGGTTTGAGCCCCACCCGAGTGATTTTTTTCCAACTTTCACTCGGGAGGCAAGACACTAAGTCTCCCTGAGTCTATAAAATCACAAGCCAACCACAAGTCAAATCACAAACAATTAGAAGTCCACCACAAGCCAAACCCAAGCCCATCACAAACCAACGACGGGTCAATTCACAGGCTAATCATAAGTTAAATCAGAAGCCAATCACAAGCCAATCACATGTCCATCACAAGCCAACGACTGGACAAATCACAAAATAATCACATATTAAAACACAAACCAATCACAAGCCAATCACTAGTCAATCACTGGTCAATCACATACCAACGTCGGGCCAAATCACAAACTGCATATATTAAATTGCAAGCCAATCACAAGTCCATTACAAACGAATGACTGGTCAAATCACAGGCTAATCTTAAAACACAAGCCAATTACAAACCAATCACAAGTCCATCACAAACCAACGACGGGCCGAATCACACGCTAATCATAAACCAATCACAAGTCCATCACAAACCAACGACTGGTCAAATCACAAGTTTATCATTACATAAAAACACAAGCCAATCACAAACCAAGCACAAGTCCATCACAAACCAATGACTAGCCAAATCACAAGCTAATCATAAATTAAAACACAAGCCAATCATAAGCCAATCATAAGCCAATCACAAGTCCATCACAAACCCCAAAATGCTGGTCAAATCACAAGCTTGTCACAAATTAAAAACACAAACCAATCACAAGCCCATCACAACTCAAATCACAAGCCCATCACAACTCAAATCACAAGTAAATCCACAAGTAACAAGAGACAAGAAATACCTTTGTCAAAGTTGATTTGAATAATTTAAGACTTGACCGGAGACTAAATGACTTGTGTATTGTGTTGATTTGTGGTCTATCACAAGCACAAAAACCTTGCCACAAGTCGCAAGGATGAGCAATGAGGCGCGTCTTATGACTGAACTTGTGAATGCTAGACTTGTTGTCAAGGGCGTCAATAGCTTTTCAAAAGTGGGGGTGGGGGGGGGGCATACCTTGATCACTACTAACGCAAGTGCGTAGTGCGAAGCCCAAACGGCGTGGGGTTCGGGGCCCATAAAAGGACCCCGGAAAATTTTGGATTCTAGACGCTCTGCGGTGCGATCTGAGGCAATTTCTTACCACTTAAACCAATTTTCATCTTTTAAACAGCATTTTCGAGTTTGGAGTCATTGAATCAGCTCATCTGAGCTATAGAATCATCATGTAGACTACAATATTTATTTAGGGATGAAAAATGTGGGGGGGGGGGAGATAAACGATATGATATCCCCCACTTTAAACAGTTGGGGGGGGGACAAGTAACACAGTAGGGGGACTTGGTCCCCCCCCCCCCCGTGCCCACCGATTGACGCCAATGCTTGTGATTGATTGGTAAAGAGGAGTTCTGATTTCTTCTTACCTGTCCTTGACTGAGCGAGTCTTCATCTTCCAGCCCGCAGTGACCCTGAGTCACTCTCACCAGGAGCGGAGCTGGGCAGTTGAACCTCAGATCACTCGTGCTGTAAGACTCAGTCGACCAGTTGATGTCATTCACGGCTCGGGAAAACATGGCTTCTGAAATATCAAATCGTCCAAATATCAATCAGTAAAACCAGTTACTTCCATTGGAATATTAGTTGGACTTGAACTCTGTCCAGCTGAATCACTTTTTTTAAGTACAAGTTTTACATGAACTGAACAACTGCTTGTATATAAATTATTGTAGGGAAGTCTAAGGCTTATTTATCGTATTCGTAACTCGAAATATGAGAGGAGATTTATGCATGAAGAACTGAACCTTCTTTCTTTTAATGCTAATGACCAATGACCAATGACTTGGTCATTGTTATTAATCTTATTAGAATGCCAATTATTTCTAATACTATATGGTTTATTTATTTGTTATTTATTACTTTATGGTTTATTTATTTCTTTACCCAGGGTATGCCCAAACAGTTTAAACTGGTTTCCAATGGGGCCCTGCATACAATAAAAAAAAATGACTACACACATGTAAAATACATTATATTACAAATACAATACAATAAAATAAAATAAAGGCAAATGGGATTAATGCATAATTGTTAAGCAACTATAATTATAAATATTGTTAAACTATTACAACTACATGTACATGTACAGTGACATCGCTAACAGGCTTTACTATGAGGTGAATTCAGTGAACACAAAAAATTGGTCATAATTATCTTGTGACATCAAGAAAATATGTGGCTATATATTTGCTGATTACGGGAGGGACGAAAAACTCGCAAAAAACCTTTTGGTAGAAATCACGGGGAAATTCCCATCCGGCTCCTTATGGCAACTAAGTTTGTTAACTCCGTAGATCAGCACAGATTTCGATTTGTATAATCAGTGAAGACAGTGAACAAAAAATGCATACTTGCAGAAATATTACCGAGTAACGTTTTACGTAGTTCAGATTTGAATGGGGTTAGAGAAGTCATGGTTCTCAACTGTATAACCAATTAAGACAATGCTGTTAAGTACGTTGTCATTGAAACATTTCGGTGCCAAAGCTACTGTACTGCATGCCCGTCGGACAAAGAGATTTTAAGAAACTGAGTGGCGTTAATAATATGGGTGCAAGGATGGAGAAATTTAATAATCTAAAAGTTCCTGTCAGTATAGGCCTAAACATTGCCCTAAAAATAGGCCCTAATTATGTATTTTGACAATCTTACGGTTACTGAAACTGGATTTATCAGGAAATCTAATCTAGAGGCCGACGGCATGCCTTATATGATTATTAATACATCATCTACACATTTAAAACAAGACATTTATCATTAAGGAAGTAAACTTATGCCATCTGTCCATTCTTACAATAATATACGACATGCTCCATTGCCCCACTAAAACTCTTTACTGCTAGAATTGTTTCAATTTCAAAATTGAATCAAGAGTTATTATAAGTTACAACTAACATCGTGGAACTATTTCTGACAAGTTAAAACAAAATGTATTCAGTTACAAAATAGTCATGTCATCAAACTGATAAAATCAGTGTAGGCCTATTAGGCAAAAAACTATATCCAGTTTGTGTTTACCACGTTTTTCGATCGCATTATTTGAAAGTTGGCAACATAAGGTTTTCAACACATATTTGGAACGTCCATTTATTGTAAAGGAAGTTAGCTTACCTTATTATTTCCGATCTGTGTGCCAATTTTGTCACAGTTTTGATCGTTTTATCAAGTCCACATTCAGTGAAAACAGTTCTATCATCGGTGCTCCATTCCAACAAAGTCTCTCTTGTGTTTAATTCTCAGTCTATATACGTACGCCAAGAAGTACTCTTTTCGTCTCCGTACATTTAACCTCCAAAGTTTTGAGTATACATGCTCTTGAACTGATAACGTGTTATTTTATTGAAACTCAACTACAAAGTTACTCATTGTACAACGTATACGAGGCTACTCCATAACTGTACGTGTCATGGCTATGGGACGTGTTGACCGTATTTCCAGTCGCAGCCTCCCGTTTATGGTTCAGTGAGCACGCACAATATAGACATTGAACTAACAGGAAAATACAATCACAATGGTGCTCGAGGCTACACACGCCCAATGCAGACATAGCCTGGTTCTGTTGACATATCGACTACGTCAGAAAGTTTTATTTAGCTCCGGCGAGAGAACTTTCTGAAGTTGGTTCGCGCCATTTTTGTTACCGGTTACGCACACGTTCGGATGGGAACCACGCACGAGTTGTTGCCACGCCTTTTGTTGTCGTGCGTAAGACCAGTAGCTGGACGAGTGCATTTCTAATAGAGGTATTCAGCACGCGTTAAAAGCTTAAAGAATTTAATTGCAAGAACAATATTAATCACAAAAGGCGGTTCAAATTTGAGGCTGCCACTAGAGAACATGATTTTAATTGTTACCCTTCATCTCACCAATTATAGTCGATTGTGAACATTTATCTCTCGCTTTGTTTCTATATTTTATTTAGGGCCTACTCCACTGATTATAAAAAGGAATGTACAACATTTGCTTATGCTGCAATTTTCAGAAACAAATGGATTTGGAGGATTAGTATTTAATAGCTAATATTGTTGAACTGAGTTGCTTCACGTTTTGGGCTTGTAGATGCTGGAAAAACCAAGAAAACCAATCATGTTCTTGTAGTCTGGTTCCCTGACCCCACTTAAGATAAAACGGAGCAATTTATAGACTTTGGGGAATTGTAAGGTCTGAAAAACAGTCTAGCATGCTTGTACCCCTTCACAGGTGTGTACGCGCATTGCAGCCACAGCAATAATTTGCGTGCATGGAGCCAGTAACCGGTTACCATACGCAAAACAATTACCGACTTGGAACCAAGTCTAAAGCCATGGTGGAACAAACTGCAAAAAAAAAAATTTAAAAAAAACTAGCGTTTTTTTTTCTTTCTATTTTCGGATCTATTGATAATAATCTTTGATATGTATACTACACATATTTTGAACAAGTAGTTTACAAAATCGTGGAGTAAAGGTGTTTTTAAGGAAAACGATTGGCATCTTTCATTTTCGCGAATACCAAACTAGAAGTTTTATAGGTTTTTTCTCTCAGTATTTTACTTGTTTGACGTGTCGATAAGTGCGAACTTTAAACAGCCATAATTTGTCAAAATTAGAATTCTCTTTCCTAAAACCTGGAGACCCTCATTTCGACCTCTGCCCACCAGTTCTGTCTCTTTTGCCAGAACGCCTCACCATATTCTTTGAAGATTATTGTCAGTGCTGCCACCAAGGACTGAAAACACGTAATGCGTCAACTTTCATACCATGTGGGTTTTTTTCGGGGGGGGAGGAGGGTGCATTGATTTTTGCATTGCATTCTGGGACGGGTATGCACGGAAGGCTTGAAAAGTGTCAAAATGTGGTGGCAGTAAAACACAACTAGGCATAATCCGCATATTGGATTATTTAGTGGCTGTGACCGACGTGACTATGATCATGTGGCCCCCGTCTTGTACTATATCCAAAACCTTACACTGGATCTGGAACAGATATTTCGCGTTTCAGACACATGCAGAAGACAGTCATCACCGCGTTTGCCCAGTGCCTCGGCCGTTGCACCCATTCTTGGATGTGTAAAGGGCAAACACATTTTTTTTAATACAAAAATCCACTTTTCTTGAAACTTTGCTTGAGACTACTAATATTATTCATTTACAGTCAAGTAAGGTATTTCATAATTATTTAATTGGAGTTTTGGAAACAATGTTGCAACCTGACGCCACTTTTTTCTTCATATAGGCCTATCATTTCAATGAAGGGCATTCATTGCAAAAATTAATGATGACAAGACATGTATGAATCTGGGACTGAGAAATATTTCCAATTTTGTTAGGAAATACTCAAAATAAATTCTTGACTCTCCATAGACTTTGTACACAATCGCGGAAGTGGCGTCAGGTTGCAACATTTTTTTCCACTACAAATATTATTCATTTACAGTCAAGTAAGGTATTTCATTTTATTTAATTGGAGTTTTTTATGTTTGCAAAATGTTATTACCTTTAAGGAAAATCCGAGCAGAAATATTGGTGCGTACTATGATAGCCTTTGTGAAACGGGACAATATTTGAATGGGCCAAGACATAATGCAGCAACAAACGGATACTAGATGTAAGAAAAGAAAAGAGTCTTACGTACCTGACACATCTTGACACCGCACCACGTGTTTTGTGGTTGTTTCTGCTGACTCCGAGTGCACTCCTTATTTTGAACTTCATGCTCCCCGAAGTTCGGCAAAGTTCGACAAAGGTTCGCCACAGTTCGGGAAAGTACTTCACCATTAATATCCAGCGTATTTCGGCGTTGCAATTGTGCACAGTTCGTTACAATTCTCAGTCGCTTTTGTGGGTGTCCTCATGGTGCTTTGTAAACTTCAATTTCTGGCGCAAAATGTAGCCCTTCCGTAGTTACAAAAATGGCGCCCTCATTTCTAGAATCGATTCTCGGTCTATCGTTCATCGATAGTCGATACTGATAATCGAAAGTAATGTTCGCGGCAAGGCCGGCTGAACACAAAATCGGGAAAGCCTGATCAGTGTTTGTCACCAAAAACTCTACTTAAGTGAAGGTACAGACAGATCGATTGATTATGAATATGTGATTGGAAGTGGTGCGAAAATGTAAGGTGAAAACTCTGTGTTTGCACTAGCGTAGCACCTTGCTAACAACAGTTTTACCCAGTTTGCCCAGTTTTCGGACAAACAGCTGTCGTAGATCTGTGACTGACTTAGCCCCATAAATGTGGCCTATTTACTGGACTGCCTCCGTAAACATAGGCCACACATCCACATGTACAAAAATCGTGTCGACGGAGCCAAATTTTGATTTTCACATTTAGGATTAGTTTGTACGTTTTTTTTTGCTTTAGAAGCATACTCACCCTCTTTATAGGCTAATCAGAAAGTGCTGCCTTTTTCAGATGTATATTTTTCGTGAAATTTCCAGATTCATGTTTACACGTTTGCGTATCAAAATTTCAACATGAAATTTCACAAAAATTAGACATCTGAAAAAGGCAGCACTTTCTGATTAGCCTATAAAGAGGGTGAGTATGCTTCTAAAGCAAAAAAACCCTACAAACTAAGCCAAAATGTGAAAATCAAAATTTGGCTCCGTCGACACGATTTTTGTACATGTGGATGTGTGGCCTATGTTTACGGAGGCAGTCCAGTAAATAGGCCACATTTATGGGGCTATGACTGACTGTGTTGTGTCAGTATTAATCCTGCATCATTAGCTGGAGTTACCCAGCCCTGAGTTTTATTATTGGGTTGTCATCTAGGGCTGGAGCGCATTTTTCTCAAAACTTGTAGTATTTGCAAAAAAAATTTGGAAAATGTTCAATTTTGTCCCCGTTACACACTAATTGCAACTGCAACTCACCCCAAACTTGCCTGGAATAACCATTACACAGGTCCTTGAAGTAAAAAACGATCCACGATGAAGATTCAGCCTACAATTGCAGTGAAAACAGGAGGAATATACGCTAACTTGACAACCTTGCTGGATTGGCCAGGACCGCTATTGGTTTGTGCACAAAAAAAATTGTGTACAATGAATGGCAGTCGATTAACAGGCACAGAGAGCGATCGCTGTCAACTACTCGTTTTAGCCGGCTGCGCTGGCTGTTGGCGCATGACGTCACGCGGAAGCGTAACACCCGATGACTGTTTCATGCAGTAGTATAAGGTTTACCACTCGCATCACAGCTTTGGTACTGGAACCGCAACCAATAGTGCATGAAACAGTCATCGGGTGTTACGCTTCCGCGTGACGTCATGTGCCAACAGCCAGCGCAGCCGGCAAAACGAGTAGTTGACAGCGATCGCTCTCTGTGCCTGTTAACCCTTACTCTCTGAGGGTAGTTTACTGCATGTCAGTTGGTTATGCCAATGCCCTCCAGCTGCAGTTTATTGGAGGATACTTTGATGTAAGCAGTGAAGGCTCCAATTGGCAGGAGTTGGAGGCCCTGGAGGGTGCCTGATACTGACCAGCTGGGGGCACTCACTTTGTTATCAGAGGACTCTCATTGTTCTCTGTGGCATGTATTGGAGTGCCTGTCCAGTTACCCTTGAAATGACATGGCAGATATTGGAGGGCCATGCAAAAAACATAGGAGATTTTCTTGAGGCACAATTGGCATGCGTTGGAGGGTCAAGTAGGGTAAGGGTTAATCGACCGCCATTCATTGTACACAATTTTTTTTGTGCACAAACCAATAGCGGTCCTGGCCAATCCAGCAAGGTTGTCAAGTTAGCGGTTATTCCTCCTGTTTTCACTGCAATTGTAGGCTGAATCTTCATCGTGGATCGTTTTTTACTTCAAGGACCTGTGTAATGGTTATTCCAGGCAAGTTTGGGGTGAGTTGCAGTTGCAATTAGTGTGTAACAGGGACAAAATTGAACATTTTCCAAATTTTTTTTGCAAATACTACAAGTTTTGAGAAAAATGCGCTCCAGCCCTAGATGACAACCCAATGATAAAACTCAGGGCTGGGTAACTCCAGCTACTGCATCATGCAGATCATGCAATGCATGCAGATATATCTGCATGCATTGCATCATCTGCATGATGCAGGGTTCATGCTAGACCTACAAACACAGAACACTGTCCACCCAGCACGACTCAGCTAAATTAGCAATAATTTAGTGTTATTTTGCACTGGAACTAAAGTGGAAGAAATGTAATGAAACTTGCGAAAGTGCAGGCTTTCAGATTGAACCAGACAAATTAGCAAGATTTATTGATTTTTTAGGATCCAGAAGAACTTTTTTGTGTTATTTATTTTCTTGCAGTGGCTATTGTTACTTACGGAAGCCGTAACGCAACTTTCAACTGATATCGTTGCGGAACTGTCTGGTTCCATAGACATAGTATTCAACTTCACAATCTTTGGCTGTATAGAACCAGAACTAAATATGGTTCTCGGACCTTATTTTTCTTTTTAAAAAAATCCTCCAAAACCACTGATTTCAAAGGGAAGAAAATGAAAAGAACAATTTGATTACAAACAAACCTAAAAGTAAAACTTCAATCTTTTCAGAAAAAAACTTAAATTGTGTAGCATGGCAGCAGTTCGAACCAACGTCCCAAGCTCAGTGAGCTCGCCTGTACCAATCAAGCTACCCAAGCATTGTGGTAGCATGGGTAGCTGTAGAAATACATTAACAGTGTGTTTTTCATGTTTTTACAATGCCATAACGATTGTATTTGGAAGTTGCGTTACGGCTGTCATTACGATAGCCACTTCGATTTTATTTCATGTATTTAGGCCTATAAAGTATCATGCCTATTTTAATTTTTATTTCGGCTAATTTGTTTTTAAATATTGTTCGAGAAGATCATTAAAAATTACCCTTTTTTTCCTCAGGTATTGACTACGGTTAGACAATGACATAACGGAAAATCTTTTTGTAAAGGACGAAGGTTTTATACCGAACTCACAATGGACAATGAAGTGCAATCATCAGCCGCAGATTCCTCTCCGGCAACAGACAAAGAGGCCAAGAAATTGTCCAAGAAAGAACGAAGACAGCTACGCTTGAAGGAACAAGGCAAGCTCGACGGAGCTAAGTCCCCAGCAGTGGGCGGGGCTAGTCAAGGACCACAGGGGGGTACATCAGCTGCACCGGAAACTCAGGGTGCGACAAAGTCTAAGGCAGAGCTCAAGGCAGCAAGACGAGCAAAACAGGTGAGATACTTCAAGGCAGCGTCCAAAACGTGGTCTGGAGCATTGAATTCGTGGTCTGCGGGTAATTTTGTGGGTTGTGGGTTCGAGTCCAGCCTGGGGTTATGGTGCGTGTGCCCTTGGGCAAGGCACTTTGTCAATTATTGCTTCTCCCCACCCAGGAGTAAATGGGTACCTGTGAGGGCAGAGATGGTTATCGTGATTGATTCAAGCTTCCTTGTGCCTAAAAAGGTAGCATCGAGCTGTATACTCCCCAGGGAGCTGAGATGGTATTTGGAATGTTTTAATTTGCCCAATGAGCAGGGGTAATAACAAGCGCTTTGATCTTATTTAAAAGCGCTATATAAGAAAAATCAACTCTGTCAAAAGAAATATCTGGTACCCAGTCGCTATTGCTACACATTTCTATAGTCATGCCACCAGACTACTGAGGGGTCAATCTCAAAAAGTAGGCATGAACCAGTCTACATTTAGGATCGTCCCAACCATAGTTAGGAATTTCTCCAACTATTGTTTGGTACTGCCGGCATAGTTGGGACAATTGTCGTAGTTGGGCGTAAGAGCTACATCTGTTGTCAGCGTTTCCCACATAGATGTAAGAAACAGTTGAAGGCCGAGACGAGAGACGGAGCTTCAGCTTTAGACCATCAACCATCAATGACCCTATCCCCTATAATTGCATGTACAATACACAGTGTGAGATCCGTTTTTATCCCCCTGGCTGTAAGCTGGAGGGGGATGTTGCGATCGGGTATTCCTTTTGTGTGTCTGTGTGAGTATGTGCATATTTGTATGTATGTCTGTCTACTCAGTCATCAATCTCAACCAAACTTGATCTGTCGTTATTGTTCATGGTATCTAGTAAAGTGATTAGACTCGGACAACATGTCATGACATCCAGAGTTACTCTACAGACCTTGGTCCGGTAGCCAATGATTTATGTCAATTTGTTTAACTCTAGTGTCGTGAAAGTTATTGTTTTGTAAGCAAAAGGCCCCTTTTTAGCTTCACAGTTGTGGACTGTATAGTGATCTAGATGTGTTCACTTTCACTTAGTCTACCTTCAGAGGCACACACAAGTGACACAACACTGCCGACTAATACGGCTGCCCACCCATTACCTTGCTAATCCCTGTTGATAGTTATGACATATTCCATTTTGGCTAGGTACATGGACACCGAAAATTGTCCTAACTATAACCGCCTGTACATATATTCAAACTGCCAGCACGCCAGGGGGATCGTGCAAGTTTTACTTTGCAGTATTTTTAAGTTGATGTGACTTTGTTCTCTGCAGGAAGCTGACCGAGAAAAGAAGAAATTGGCAGGCGGGTCCCCGGCTGTGGCAGGAGGCGGGTCAGCCAGTGTGAGTGACAAGCAGCCAAAGCCAAGATTGTCTAAATCAGTATCAGACTCTACAGGTAGGTACACTCATTAAGCAATCAGTTAACCGTAACTCCCTAGGCCTTTTTGCTAGGATGTAGTCTCAATCCTGCAAAATCCTCTAATTGGCCTCATGAAAAAATAACACCTAGCCTCAGTCCTGCAATTTCCTCCATTATTTCTGGAATATGGTCCGTAGAGGGGTGACCACTGCCTGAATCCTGCAAAATCTTGCGGCAGTGACTGTCAATATGTTGAGGCTTGGCCAATGACATCCTGGAGTAGTACGGAGGATTTCAAGCATAATCCAGACCTATATTTATGCATGGCTGAGCAAAAACAACACAAGGTGTGGCCCAAGACTTTGACAAAGTGCATCCTACGAAATCGGTAATGCACTTTTGCCATGCAACTTCAATCCTCCAAATTCTTCCACTTTGACAAAGAGGATTTTGAAGGAGTCAGGGCGGTTAGGGTTAAGGGAATAATTGGGCTGGTTAGAGAGAATAGGCCGATGTATTGAGGAGTTTTGCAACAAGGAGTCAGAAACGAATTATCATTTAAATCTGCCTAAGGATCAAGCACGGCTGGATAGCTCAGTTGGTAGAGCACAGGAACGGTAATCCAGAGGTCGCAGGTTCAAATCCCGCTAAATACCTGTGTTACCGCTGGATGTTTCCAAGTGATTTAACCCAAGTGTCTTGATCATTTATTTGTTAGCGTCCAAGAAAGAGCCCCCTCGTGTGTCGGACGACCTCCAGCAAGATGATCCCAAGGTGCAAAAGAGACGAGCCAAGAAACTAGAGAGACATCAAGTAAGTGTTTAGCATCTTAAAGACTTTGAAGAAGAAAAGACAGTGAGAGGAAATCAGTCAGCCTGTTGCTCTTTGCTCCTGTCTCCGAATCTCGGACATTCCTCAATCGTCCAAGTCTCCCACTGATAAATTTCACAGACTGAATATTCATCTGATCATGTTTATTCATGTCTCCGAATCTCGGACATTCCTCAGTCTTCCAAGTCTCCCACTGATAAATTTCACAGTCTTCCAAGTCTCCCACTGATAAATTTCACAGACTGAATATTCATCTGATCATGTTTATTCATGTCTCCAAATCTCGGACATTCCTCAATCTTCCAAGTCTCCCACGGATAACTTTCACCAATTGAATATTCATCTGATCATGTTTATTTATGTATCTGAATCTCGGGCATTCCTCTATCTCCCAAGTCTCCTACTGATACATTTCACCGACTGAATATTCATCTGATCATGTTTATTCATGTCTCCAAATCTCGGGCATTCCTCTATCTCCCAAGTCTCTCACTGATACATTTCACCTACTGATTATTCATCTGATCATGTTTATGCATGACTGCAGATCCCGCAGCGAGTCGAGCATGAGCGTAAAGTCAGCCTGTTCTCCCATCTAGACCAATATGAGCGACAGGTATCTGTTACCAGGGGACTCAGCTTCGCTAGCGGTGGGATCCATCCAGCTATCTTGAGACTGGGTTTGCAGTACGCCGAGGGGATCATATGTGGTGCTAACGCAAGGTATGTTTATTAACCCTTTCCTTGCCATGGGCGACTTTTGTCGACAAGAAGAACCCCCCTGCTGGTTCCCATTGGCGACTTTAGTCGACCAGGAAACCACACACAGAACACCCTCAACACAGATATGTTCACTACTTTTCAGAAAGGCGGCATTTTGATATGTTTGGCCGTCCATACATCAACCATATACCAGCTGAAAGAGTATGTTCGGATCGTTCTAATGGTGCAGTTTATTCATAGTGTTGCCATTACAAAAATATGAGAAAAGTGCTTCAGAAGTATTCACGCACAAATTGAGGTATGGAGTGCCATTTGGTCATGTGGTGAAATGGCTTGCAGTTTTATAAATGGAACCAGATGAACAAACAGGCATAACTTTCTTATATTTATACATATGGACTACATTTTTACATCACATACAAGAGTAAGGTTCAAGGAACAAACTTTACACACAACTCCTATGATTTAAATCACTCCTTGGCAGTGAAAATCTGGGTTGAAAAAAGCAAGTTTTGGACTTGTGGTCATTTTGTTCACGCTCTAGTGATTTCCGCATGACTGAGCAAACAATTTGGTCCTGGGGAGAGCCAAGTCAATAAACAATGTGGTCATGAAAGGGTTAAAAAGGAGCCTGAAAATGCGCCATTTTGTCCATGAGCTTCCAGACCCCTCCGTGACCTTTCTATGGGCATTTTACACGGAGTTGCTGTGTTGTTGTAGTACGAGTACTACAACACTTGTTCTGTACTGCCTTTTCGAAATGATGTGAACCAAAAAGCACTTAGGATTCAAGATGCTTTGAAGATCACGTTGCCAGAATTATGTTGCCAAATGATGGACATGTTCATTCCTTTACAACGATAATTGATTGACTCTTCATTAACAGGTGTATTGCAATGCTGCACGCCTTCAAGCAGGTCATCGCAGATTACACTACTCCTCCACAGAAGGAGTTGTCTAGAGACCTTGAAAGCAAGATTAAACCCTACATCAGGTGGGTCTCAGTACAAATCTCGATTCATCGATACCAAATAAGATTTTTGTGCAGCATTACAAAATCGAGGAGGGCACGTATCACACATTTTTGTTTGTTTTTATTTTGGTAGCTTTCTGAACGTTTGTCGACCCAAGTCAGTCAGTATGGGAAATGCCATCAAGCATCTCAAGCTACAGATCAGTCACATACCTCAAGATATGACAGACGCAAAGGTAGGTCCTGATCAACATTTCACCCACACCCCCCCCCCCCCCCCCCACCCCACGAGAAACATCCAGCTTGATAATTCTCTTCCTTACATAGCCGTTTCAAGATTTTACTTTTTCTTACAAGCAACCAGTTAGAATTTCAATATTTTTTTAATGTTGCTCTGTCTTGTGTAGGCCAAGGAGCATCTATATGAGTGCATTGACAACTACGTCAAGGAGAAGATTCTCCTAGCTGCCGTGGCAATCTCCAAAGATGCGATCAAGAAGATCAATGATGGAGATGTCATCCTGATATATACATGGTATGTGGTGTTTCAGCATCTTAGCAAAAAAATTGTGCATCTTCCAAGACCACACCCAATGCCACGCCCCTCCCCTGTAATTCCTCATACCCCACCACATCCAAGTGTCTTAAAGCCAGAGTCCATCATTTGCAGCTATCCAAAAAGTAACTGACGTAATTATTGTTGAAAACATACTTGGTTGAAAGATAGTAAGGGGACTAAACTCCCTGTGAAATTATTCTTTCTGGCATGCTGTCATTTTGAAGAAATCAGCAAAAAAACCTTTCCAACGGTGCGTCTCAAGAAGCACTTAAGAAATTTCCGTTAGTAGTTCATTTTTTTATTCGGTGAAGCGCGCGCAAGCGTTGACAAGACACACACGCGCTCGTGGTTAAGTTGCTATAATTCGTCGGATTGGTGCGCAACATCGCGTAGCTGCAATCAGCTCAGTGAGGACGTGTCTCGGACGCTGCATTCAGGCCCAATTCAAAACATGATTCAGCAACTTTTGACTTGAAATCGAGATCCTAGAATGTTGTTTTTCTCCAAATATACAGCTTAAGCTGAGCTGAAACTTCAACAGGTTCGTTGTTCAGCACCCGTCTTTAGATTTTGAGCACTTTTGTTGCTTCAAACATTACAAATGATGGACTGTTCCTTTAACCCCAGTTTATCCCCCATCCCCTTACCCCATGTTACATCACTCCTGATAGGCCTGAGACCTAATGACGTCACGCTTTGTTAACATGTGTGCTTTCCTATGTGGTAGACAGTCCCCACTTTATCTGGCGTACTGACTTTGCTCCCATAGGAAAGCGCATATGTAAACAAAGCCATTATGTCATTAGGTTTCGGGTCTATTCTCCTAGACCCAGCAATGACTTCAGCCGACTGTTAAAATCAGTTATAACAATGAAGCAGTATTGAGCTAACATTTACATTGTATGAATTTGAAATTGTTATACAATCAACTGTCTCACGTTAATCTCCCTATGAAAACATACATACCGTGCAAGTTGTTCTTTCAGTCAAAATCAATCAAGTGACCGTTTTCAACAGTTAAAGGGAAAATACAACATTTGCAAACATCAAAAAATAAAACTACCAAATCATTTTGAAATACCTTGCTGGACTGTTAGTGAATGACAGTGTAAAGCATCCTGTAAAATCATGGCACCTGGTATACTGTCATTTTCAAGAAAAGTGGTATTTTTGTATCAATTTCCAACGCTGATCGGCCGATCAGCGTTGGAAACAACTGGCTTTTTTTCAAATACTGGCCCCAATTGACCATCACACTTGTTTGCAATCGATTACAAACCTATGAACGGGTACGAGCCAGCTAGACTGGTTCCCTGACCTTACAATTCCCCAATGTATGTTAAAGGCTCTGTTTCTTCTTATATGGAGTCAGGGAACCAGTCTACAGGAAAATGATCGTTTTTCTTGGTTTTTATAGCATTTTCAAACACAAAACCTCAAAAAAGTCAGTGTAACTATATTTGCTATATATTTCCAACCCCCCAATTCCATCCATTTATGAAAAATACAGCAAAAGCAAATGATGTATATTCCCTTTAAGATCTCCAAGCCTACTTCAAACAGGATTGACTGGCTGTGACTGTTTATCTATTTTGATACAGCTATGCTTTGACTGTAGGCGATTGATAAGCCAGCTGTGCCTAGCCGTCTTGCCTGCTTTTGTCTGTTGACTGAATTTGACTAGTCACAGTGCTTGCTTGAAATATGATCTGACTGCTGGTGACTAGCTTGTGTAAAAGGCATGGCAGGGGATCAGGATTGATTTTTTGACTGTCTGTGACTGTTCAGACAGCAGGAGGGCTAAAGTAGCGTACAAAAATAGAAATCTAGACGAAAACTGAATCCACCTTCGTTTGTACTAAACAGCTCTTCCCTGATTCGTCAAGTTCTCTGCGACGCCCACAGAGCCGGCAAGAAGTTCCGCGTGGTCATCGTGGATAGTCGGCCTAAGATGGAAGGCATAGAAGCCGTGCGTCGACTCATGAAACACGGCATCAAATGCACGTACATCCTCATCAACGCCGTGTCTTACATGATGCAAGAGGTACATAGCAAACTGGTTGGAATTGGACTCTATCACATACATTTACTGTTTGTATTCCTTACACTAACACATGGAGTGTCATGGCCTAGCGGTTAAGAGCACCGGACTCATGCTCTGATGTTTCAGAGGCAACAGTGGCGTGGGTTCGAGCCTGGGTTGACACTTGTGCCCTTAAGCAAGGCACTTAACCATTATTGCTTCGTCCTTCGGATGGGACGTAAAGCCTCAGGTCCCGTGTGTTGTGTAATGCAATGCACGTACAAGAACCCAGTGACACTTATCGCTAAGAGAAGGGGTTTGCCCCTGTGTTTCTGGCCTCCTGTAGAAACTCCCACGCGAAGAACCAACCAAGAACCAAGAACTAAGAACTGATACGGCAACATATTCCTTAAGATTCATCTGTCGTACTGCCTCACTTTGGAACTCCTTGCTTTCCCCCATGATGGTAGAGTACATCATTTGCAGCTGTCCAAAAAGTAACCGAGTTATTGTTGAAAAGCATACTTGGTTTTAAGATACATGTAGTAATGACATCAAACTCACTGTGAAATTCTTCTTTCTGGCATGCTGTCATTTTGAAGAAAATAATAAGAGAAGGTCATTTCCAAAGATGCGTCTAAAGACACATGTTTTGAAATTTCCAATAGTAGTTCGTTTTTAATTTGGTGAAGCCGTGAATGGGCGCGCGCAAGCGTTGGCACGACTCGCGCGCGGGTGCAGTACCTATTATTCGTCAGTTCAGTGCGTGACATCGTGTAGCTGCAATTGGCTGAATGAGAACGTGTCTCCCGGACGCTGATTTTGGGCGCAATTCAAAACACGACACGGCAACTTTGAATTGAAACCGAGATCCCAGAGTACTGTTTTCTCGGAATATACAGCATTCACAGAGCTAAAAGTTCATCAGGTTAGTTGTTAAGTACGCGTCTTTAGATTTTGAGCACTTTTGTTGCTTCAAACAAAAAACTGCACAAATGACGAATGATGTACTCTACCTTTAAAACTCATTTTTTCATCAATTAAAAAAAAGATTGAGATACATTGAAATTGTTTCTCTAGGTATCCAAGGTGTTTCTAGGAGCCCACGCCTTATTGGCTAACGGCTATGTCATGTCAAGGGTCGGGTCGTCGGTCATCGCAACGGTCGCCAAGGCTTACAATGTGCCGGTACTAATCTGCTGCGAGACGTACAAGTTTAGTGAGCGTGTGCAGACCGACAGCTTCGTCTCCAACGAATTGGGTGAGCATCAAAGTCCACTTCGGACTGGGAATTTCTTGTTATCGTCAGATCTTTGTTTAGACTGTGCAGGCTTGCCACTTTGACAAGTGTTGCAGGTTGTTGCATTTACACGGTGAGTTTTAAAAAAAAGTGGATCCCAAACCCCCAAAAAATATATTTCATATTTAAAAAAATATGTAGCACCAAAAATAATAATGACTGGCAAGCCAATTCCATAAGCTACTTTAAGACAGAAAAATTACTGAAATTGCTCAATCCGTTCAAAGAATATCACCATTTAAATGCAATGACCCTAAAACCTGTTTCGTCCAAAAAAAAGCAATTTATTGTGTATTCTGACTGTTTGGACCAACAAAGAAAATGACATAGAATACTTGTTTCAACAACTGTCAACGACTGTAGAACACAATATCTTTATTAACAACCCTGGTTAGGCAAACAATGTGATTTATAAAATACACTTCTTTTTTTTTAAGAAGGGCCTTCAAAAGGACTTTGTTGAATATTTTTAACTTTTAAACTGAGGTTTTATCGCTAGTGACGTTTGAAGAGGACTGTGATGACGATTCTTGAAATCGCATTTTTGGACGAAAGAGTTCTAGGGTCAATGTGTTTAAACGGTAATATTCTTTGAACAGATTAAGCAATTTCAGTAATTTTTTTTCATCTAAAAGTAGCTTATGAAATTGGCTTTCCAGTCATTATTATTTTTGGTGCTACATATTTTTTTAAAATATGAACTATAACTTATGGGGTTTTTGACTCGCCATGTAGGATTTCTAGCAGAAATACCCTTAAGGGCTAGGGTTCGAGTAATCATAATAGTTTAGAGACATCCCTAACTGGTACTCATTCCTTCACAGGTGACCCAGACGACCTTGTGAAGACCGGTAAACCTACCCAGTATCTTAGCAACTGGAGAGACATCCAATCACTGACCTTGCTGAACCTCGTCTATGATGTCACACCACCTGACTTCATCTCCATGGTGATAACGGAGATCGGAATGTTGCCTTGTACGTCCGTGCCTGTTGTCCTGCGTGTCAAGAGTGTGGACAGCTAACAATTCAAGGCAAAGCAAACTGGACATTGTAATTTTATGGTATGGCATTTGCACAAGAACACTTGGAGGTGCTGTGCGATCTGTTTACTGGAATCACTATAGACAAAGGTGCTCAGATGGGCTGCTTCCCCCCGATTATAGACCCGTTTAGGCACAGAGTCACTGTTTACTCACAGTGGCCCCTATTAATGGCCGACGCATTGTGCCTGCTTATTATTCAGAGTAACCATCATGGAACAGTGTTTCTGTACAATAGTTGGCACAAAGCTTCCACCATCACTGGGGGCCACCGCGAGGGTACAGCGACTCAGTGTCCGCAAAAAGCCTCTCTACTGATGACGTCACATTTGGTTTACATGTTCTTTGACCATGCTCTACAAAGTCGCAAACAACCTCATCTCCATCCCCATACCAGACTTCTTCAAAGAACCAGAAAAACTCGCAGTAGCCAACAGCAACGCTTCATGCGTCTCAATACATCAACGGACACGTGCCGGCACAGCTTCTGGCCAAGGACACAGAGACTAGGATGCACTCCCTCAGAAAACCATTGAGCTGCTCGCTGTGGGGCAGTTCAAGGGGACCATCAATGCCAACTTACATCATGGCGAATGTCCGTTTTACTTGCACCAATCCAAATTGCACTTGTATAAAGAAAGCACAACCAGAGCACATTAAGTGCGCAATGTTGGAAGCACCAAACATCAGTCCCTCATCTAGATGCTGAATAAGCTTTGACGAGAACCGACGTAGATGTAGATGTGCTTTCTTATGGGAGCCTCGTGGGGACGATGGTTTTGTAGCCCCATAGACAAGACCACACTTAAACAAAGTGCGACGTCATCAGTACAGAGGCTTACTGGTCTAGGTGCATATCAACCTTCAAATATCATTTGTGAAATAACGACAGAAAATAGAACCAATACTCCCTCGCATCAAAATAAACCAATTCCCAACATCGTGGATTACTAGAAAGTCTACACACAGAGACAGGCAAATTGACGAACAAACGTTTAAGGACTCTCTGTTTCAGGTTCATTTGTTGTCGATTTCATACACTTTATTTCTCAGCTGATAACGGATGATTAAAAAACTCTCCCAGAAACCCACCGCATACTGCATGTACTTCAATCTGAATACTAAATCATCAAAATAAATCATCAAAGTAAATCAAACTCCACACTCCATTGTTACTGTTAATACTTTAAAGAAATTGCATTAATATAGTTGTAAAGTTCGAGGCTGCTATATTGTGCTTATACTGTTTTGTTTGAAATAAATCTGAAAATAGCTTGGGTAGGATTTGAACTGTATTATGTACGTTTGAATTCTACCTGAGTTATTACTGAGGTTGATCAATGTACATGTGTAGACACAAACAGTGCATGTAAGATCTGCAGCCATTCATACGAGTCCCCACTCTTAAGATCGATCTTAGCTAAGACGCATCCGAAGACCGATTTCACTTCACTCATCTTAAGCAAGAAGCATCAAAACTACCCAGTTGATGGCTGTTTCATGTTTGTTTTTACCGCTTGACGAAACAGTCGTTTCAGACAAAATAAATAGAACACGAACTTTCGCCAGAAAAATTACTCTACTCAATAAATTTTACACACTAGTTCTGCACAACAAAGATAGAGTCATTCTTGCTCCCCGTTTCATCACTCTAAAAAGTTGACTAGGTGTTGGCGTGTAATTAAATTTTATAAATAAGCTATTGTTTATTAAAATTACCCACGAATTCTTTTCAAATCTGCTTCTAAAGCGATCTTAAGTTAAGATCTTAAGACAAGTTCAGCCGCGTTGCTAAGGAAATTAGGACATGTTGAACGCGTCTTAAGTTTGGTGAAATCGATCTTAGGATGACTTTCGAGTTAAGACGAGTTACCCTGCCTAAGACACGTCTTAGTGTTTCGTAGAATCAGACCCTGGAGCAACACACAGCTTGGAAATGTTCATGAAAACCATGGACTATTGCAGCTCATAGACTATCCAAAGAAACCAAGATCATTAAATTGCAGAAAGTGCTAAAATCTGTACATTTATTAGAACAAGATGTCACTGGATCGAACTAAATCTAGATTATTCTGAAGACAAAGTTGTCCCGCTCTGAGTTATAAGAACATGACTTTGTCTTTGGAAGTAGCTTTCGTGAAGAGAGCCTGAATGGTTGCAAAGACGGTGTTAGGCTCGTGTGAGGCATCGACTTTCTCCAAGATGTTCTTCTTCTTGTAGTAGTCAATCAGCGGTGCCGTCTGCTTGTGGTAGGTCGCCAAGCGGGATACCAGCGTCGCTTCGTTGTCATCTGAACGCTTCATGAGTGGCTCACCGGTAACCTACAACAGGGATGAAGAAAGTGCATCAACTATAGAGCCACAAATCTCCATACACGTCGATTCACTCAAAACTTCTAGGCCTTAATCCTAATAATCTATCAAGTAGCTCAGTAGCATGAGCTCGTGTGCCGTGGTATGTGGATTGGAACCCTGGCAGGGTACACAGTACTTGTGTTCTTGGGCAAGACACTTCTCTACAATTGCCTCCAGATTGCACTGATCTTGAGCTGCTGCAGAAGAAATAGTCTTATGGCCTGGGTAATAATTGTAAAGTATATTGAGACCTTTGCTATAAAGCGCTATATAAGCACCACATTATTGTGGACCCTTGGCCATAAAAAAAAAACTGCAAATAAAACTTGCACGATCCCCCTGGCATCCTGGCAGTTTGTATACATGTACAGGCAGTTAGTAAGGACAATTATCAGTGACGGCCTTGATTGTCCACCCGGAAGGTACCAGTTCTCAGTTGAATGGGGAGTTTAGGTTGAATGGGGAGACATGGGACTCCGTGCGGCCTAATGTCGGTGAGTCTTGGTGCATTCCCCTTGCCACTGCAGCATGTAGAGTCATTAATAGTAGACCTACTACTGACATATGTTAAAGTCATTAGTAATACTGAGCTGAGCTCTCCAGAGACCTCGTAAATATCCATATTGGAAAGGATTGTTTGACGTCGGCCTTCTCTCCACAGACCACCTTTTAAGTTTGGTCGAGATTGATGACTGAACTTACAGTGAAGCCCGGTTCATACTTCACGCGAAAGCGAAAGCGAAGCGAAATTTGTGACGTCAACAATACATTTGAAGCGCGTCCACCATTGTTGACGACATGAATTTCGCTTCGCACAAGTATGAACCGGGCTTGAGCAAAATGGCAAACACACACGGACACACAAAAGGAAGACGCGATCGCAATATCCCCCTGTCTGGCTCGAAAGCCAGGGGGATAATAAATCCATATCACCAAAAAAAACAGGATTTCATTAACTACTTACGTCATCCTTCATAGGCACTTTAGGTGGGTTGAACTCCTCATGGTAACTCCGTCCGCTAGCTCTGTGAATCAGCCGACCACAGATTCGCTTGATGAGCAACGAATCATCGATGCTAAACTCCACCACCGCATCCAGCTGCTGCTTCCTGGTCTCAAGAAGGTTGTCCAGCTGTTTGCAATCCAAAACCAAACAAATGAAAACGAATAAAAACTACTGCAAACTGCTTTCTGACTTGATTGACCTGAAGTATACTAATAAAAAAAAATTGGAGGCCTGAACGTTTTGGATCCTGGCCATAGATCATGACAGGATCTGAAAGCTGAAACGTAGGCCCTCTTATTTTTTTAAATTAATTTTTTTAAACCAAAAAAAGATTGATAAATCTTTCAAAAACATCAACAGGAAATACGAGTGCGCTGCCCGAGGGTGATGGCTTCAACCCGCCTGGCTTGAGGTCGAGTGAAAATAAATCCTGCGCCTCGTTCCATTCTTGTCAAAATAATCCCGGCATGAACTGGTTAGCATGATCTGATGTTTTGGTTTAATTCCATTGGTAAACAACAGAGTTATTTAGGATCGAAAGTAGGACGGTTTTTTTGACACATAGTAGCTTCTATTTGTTTGTTACTGTTTAATAGTGTTAACAATTTTGGCCAAAATTCACAGAACCGTTTGGCTGCTAAGCAAATTTTACTGTTACACAAAACTAAGTCGGGAACCAGTCACACACAATCTACACATCACCATGTCATTTTGGCTGGTGCCCTGTGGTGGGCTTGGTGAGATTTTTCTGTGCTGAGCAAATCTGTATCTAAGCAGATTATTTTATTAAACTGGCCTCTGTTTAGACGTACCATTTCTGCTTGGACCACATTTCTTGGGAATCCATCCAGCAGGAAGCCATTAGAACACTCTGGTGTGTCCAGTTTACTGTCAATCATCTTGACTACCAGCTCATCGCTGACCAATGCCCCACTATCATAGACCTTCTTGACCTCTTGACCTAGGTCTGACCCTGATGCTATGACTGCACGCAGCATGTCGCCTGTTGCTAGATGACAGACGCAGAAACGCTCTGCAAGCTTCGGTCCCTGTAGGATTGGGAAAGGGAAGTTCATTCTGAACCCTGACATGGTACTTGTGTTCTTGGGCAAGACGCTTTACAACGATTGCCTTTCTCAGGAGCATAATGGGTACATATGCGAGGGCAGAGACCAGATTGCACTAAAAGACTGCTAAAGAAACTGATGGCTTGATTACAGCCTAATTTCCTACCTCAACCCGATGCAAATTCCATCCATTTTTAGGGAGGGGACTGCACTTTAAATGTACAGTGCTATTTGTGACCTACTGTGGCAAAATGAGGAATGTCCCCCAACCATGTTTTGAGTTATCAATGCCTGAAATTGGGTACACTAAAAAAATAATGTCAAAATCAACACTGATTTTTTCTTATTTTTGAATAGCCAAGGTATCAAAGTTTCACACTATGTATTTTTGTTGAGAAAAAAATATCCCCAAAAGTTGGAAACTGAAGAAAGATTTCCACTGCCGTTGGCGGCGCAATGCGTATTTCTTTTTTTCAAAGCCTTTTTTCTCGAAAAGACGTGGCGAAATTCGGCGGGGCACTGTTGAGACTTGAAGTTCCTGCGGCATATCTTTGGAAGAAATTAAGCTACAGAAATAAATTTGGTATCATTGGAAAGCCAATGATTTGCACTTTAACATGATGTACGTAACTTGAAAAGTCAAAGGTGGGGGTTATTCCTCATTATGATATAGCAGGTCACATTTACAGACAAAACAGGAAAACCTGGGCACACTTCCTTGTTTACTTAAACTTAAAGGGAATATACGACATTTGCTGTTGCTGTGTAATTTTCAGCAATGGATAGATTCGGGGGTTAGTATTTATAGAAAATACAATTTTGTGAATAGTAGATGCTGAAAAAACCAGGAAAAAAAATAATTTTCCTGTAGTCTGGTTCCCTGACCCCACTTACATGAAACAGAGCGATTTATAGACGTTGGGAAATTGTAAGGTCTGGGAACCGGTCTAGCTGGCTTGTGCCCATTCATAGGTAGGTATGTAATCGACTGCAAACAAAATGCACACTAACTAATTATGGAAAATTGGGGGCAGTATTTGATAAAAAGCCAGTTTTATTCCAACACTGGTCGGCCGACCAGTGTTGGAAATTGATACAAAAATACCACTTTTCTTGAAAATGACAGTATACCAGGTGCCATGATTTTACAGGATGCTTAAGACTATAATTTGTTACTTTTGTTTTTAGATGTTCGCAAATGTTGTATATTACCCAGAGATGCCACTTTTCAGGTTTTAACCTGAATTCAGTTTTTTTTCCAAAAATATGACAATTAAAAGTGCTGGATTTGGTCTGAACTATGCAGAAAACACATTCTTGAAAGGGGGTAAGGGTAGATTCAGGTTTTTAGTAGGGGGCCTAGTGTTTCAGGCTTTTTATTGATATATTGGTGGCATCTCTGGTATTACCTTTAGATGAAGGAAATGTTTTTAGCAGACACTGTGCTATGGTCAAGGTCTGGATTGATATGTTTAAAAATTGGAAATTCACCTAGAATTTTATTTTTCCTGAAGAGGCAAATAAGTTTGGAATTTGAAGATTTCCCTGACAATAACTATCCCCTATAAGAGAAATGGTTGGAGTTGGACTGATACGGCATGAGGCATATGATATGTGATTACGCTTCCCTAAATTTCCTGTAAAATTCATGACTGACCACTGAAGCACAAATTAAATTCAGTGAAGCAAATGATCCAAGCAAGTTCTAAATGTCAGACAGTAGAGATAAGAAATGTACATTGGACTAGTGTTTGAACAGTCACCGACAGAATTAAAATCAATCCTCTTCCCCTGCCATGCCTTTTACACAGGCTAGTCGCCTACAGTCAGATCATATTTCAAGCAAGCACTCTTAGTTTTACTAGTCAAATTCAATCAAAAAGATAAACAGTAGGCAACTGGTACGCACTTAGGCCAAAACAAAACTAGATCTGCTTCTGATTACATGGCATTCGAAAATAGCGTAGGTAGGTAGGGAATTTTTGTTTTATCAATTTTTTTGTGTACGATCATATGGAGGCTTCTGCGTGTAGTCAAGGGTAAAAGGTAGAAATTGATGGTTTTGGGTGTTTTTTTCTCACTTTTCCCATAAAAAAAATTAGGGTAGGGGCTGTCAAAATAGGGTAGGTAAGAAAACCCAAAGCAGAACAATTTGTTTGGCCATATCAATCACAAACAGTCACAGCCAGTCAAACCTGCTTTATGTAGGCTGGGAGCTCTTTAACTGTTGAAAACAGTCACTGGATTAATTTTAACTGCAAGGACAACTTGGCACAGGATGTACGTTTGCGTAGGAGCGCCAACATATTCCTGGCTCACATTGATATGGTTTCTGTACATGAAACAGTAGTGCATGCGCATGTATGTCAACTGTTACCACGGTAACATCCAATTATATTTATGTAAATTTACATTGTGTAACACAGTAGCCAAACCAGATGGAAAACATAAGAACAACACTATAAACACCGAACGTTACAAACAAATTAGTCCCTCAGCTCAATTTCATAATTAACACATACAGTACTACGTCACTCCGGTCTCCCCAATCACCATGGCAATGAACTCCCAATTATATTGCATTTTTAACAAATCCTATTACAGCTTTACCATAGGCAGAGCTCCGTCTTAAAGGGAATATATAACATTTGCTTTTGTTGCAATTTTCAGAAATGGATGATTTGGGGGCTAGTATTTTATAGCAAACATTGTTACACTGACTTGTTTGAAGTCTTGTGTTCGTAAATGCTAGAAAAACTAAGACAACAATCATGTTCTTGTAATCTGGTTCCCTGACTTCACTTAGGATGAAACAAAACAACTTATAGACGTCGGGGAATTGTAAAGTCAGGGAAACAGTCTAGCTGGCTTGTACCCGTTCATAGGTTTGTAATCGACTGCAAACAAAATGCGGACTAACTACTGTATGGTAATTTGGGGGCAATATTTGGAAAAAGCCAGTTTTTTCCAACGCCGACCAGCATTGGAAATTGATACAAAAATACCACGTTTCTTGAAAAATGTCAGCACAGTCACCAGGTGCCATGATTTTACAGGATGCTTTAGACTGCAATTCACTAACAGTCCAGTAAGGTATTTCATAATAATTTGTTACTTTTGTTTTTTGATGTTCGCAAATGTTGTATATATTACAATGAAGGAAATTGACAATGTACTAGGGTCAAGGTCTGGTTTGATATGTTTAAAGTTGGAAATTCACCTACAGTTGTTTGATGCTTGCAAATGTTGTGTATTCCTTTTAAATTTTCAAAATCATCATTTCTCAATGATTAAACATGCAGTATTTCTGTTAATGGTGACACTAACCTGTGCATAAATTAAACAACAAATAGATAAACAGAATTAAAAGAAATGCAAAAAAAATTAAACTACAATGTAAATACAACTTAATTAGCATATTTATTAGCATATTCATGACACTGCACCTATTCACAAGCACAAGCATTTTGATCCATAGCCCCGCCTACCTGCACGCCTTTCCCAGCCCCCGGTGGCCCCAGCAACACAACACGCATGCCTTTCTTCTCAGGAGGCGGGGCTACTTCCTCCTCCCCCTCTTCGCTTCTTTCATCCCGTACATCTCCTTTGATCGCGGCCATTGTTCAGAGAATGATTATGCTGAACCTCAGCTCTGCACTACTTCCCTACCATACACTGACTATTGTGTGTGTCCCACACTGAATACACTACTAGTCTGACAGACTGATATGACAGCTATGCTAGATATTTATAGACTGCAAAGCACGCAAGCATGAAATGTGTATGGAGAGCCTTGTGGATCAGCAGCGCTACAATTCAATTATTGAGTTTTCTATGGACAGCCTTGTGCGTCTGGTTTCTACCTCTGCTGCCAAATCATTATTGCATGTATTGTACATTTGATGTAAATTTACACCTAAAGCGCTTGCTCTGTGCAAGTTGGCACACAACTAGATTGCATGTATGTCAATGTCTTTAAAGGGAAGATACAACATTTGCAAACATCAAAAAACGAAATGATCCAATTATCACGAAATACCTTGCTGGATTGTTAGGGAATGACAGTCTAAAGCATCCTGTAAAATTGTGGCTCCTGGTGTGCTGACATTTTCTAGAAAAATTGTATTTTTCCAACGCTGGTCGGCCGACCAGCGCTGGAGAAAACTGGCTATTTTCGAAAACTACTCCATACTTCTTATATAATTTAGTTATACCACATTTTCTTTGCAATTGATTACTCACCTGTGAACGGGTACAAGCCAGCTAAATTGATACTCTGACCGTACAATTCCCCAAAGTCTATCAATTGCTCCATTTCATCTTAAGTAGGGTCAGGGAACCAGACTACAAGAATATAATTGGTTTTCTTGGTTTTTCCAGCATCTTATTGCACTTATTGCCGGTTCCATGTCAGGAACCGGTCCCAGGTTATGGGATCGGGTACCCGTAACCAACTTTACAAATAACTTACAGACTTTTCAAACAATGAAAAAGAAAAGGTTTTGAATGTCATTTGTGGGGATTTTTAAAATGAGAACCAGGCCACATGGGAAAACAAAATATATTTCACGTTTATGGTGCTCGCGAAAGTTGCAGTCTACACAGTAAAGCCACACAGGTCACTGGACATACTTGTATGCTGTATTGACGCACCGATGTATATGTAAACACATTATGGTACAGCCCTTTGTGAACAATCTGAACAGCAACTTCCGAGATTTGGTACCCGTGTTTTTTTTCCATGTCCCCATGCTACCCGTAAATGCACACCCCTAGTTCAAGGAAAGATGTGAAATTAACAAATCGTCGTGTGACAAGGAAAAGGACGTAAGCACTAAGCAGCCCAGGCAAGACAAAGCACTTTTGGAGATAATTGAGTTGAAAGGTTTTGTGCTGCCATTTCTAGATTAAAAATCACACAAGATTGAAATTTTGACTGATTACATTCGCTAATAATTTAAATAATACTGTTCATTTTTAAGTCAAAATATAACTTAATTGTGAAGTTATTCCAATGTTTACACTAACGACCTTTTACCCAGAACTTCCTAAGCCTTTAACGTACGCTTAAGCAGCCAGTGCTCATGTTAAATCCTTACGTCCTTTTGCCGGGAACAAAATTGGCTTTGCGTACCCACTTGAGTGGGACGTTAGGGCACTTCGAACATTTTTTTTTTACATTATAAATATAATTACACGCTTACAATACCTAACTAAAGCCCTAAGCAGAGTCAATTCGACTGTACCACATTTAACAAAAAAATCAACCCAAAAAAAACACCAAGAAAAGTAAAGAATAAACTAACACTTAGTAACAGAAAAAATTGAGGGTATCAATTTACAACTTACGAGAATGTTATGTATCCCCCCCCAAAAAAATAAAATTAAAAAAATAAATAGGCTTTGTATTAAACATGTTAAATGAATAAATAAATCAATCACATTTTTAAAATCAAAACTTTATTGAAAATGCTTCTTTTTTTTAATTAGGCTAAATACGTTTTTTAAGTAATATTTTAACATCGTTTTTTAATAAATATAGTAAAAGTTGACGAAACATGCATCTTATTACATGTTGATAACACGCAGTGCGAGTTATCCGCGTAGGGTAACGGGGACCGAGTTGGTACGTACCTGTGTGCCTTTGCCGGCGCCGGGCGGCCCAAGCAAAATCCCCCGTACTCCTTCGGGTTCATCCGCTGGCTTAGGGACTGGCTCAGCCTGTGGTACCGGGGCCATAACGAAGTGGAATTCCTACGACAATCGCGTCAACTACCAAGGAACAGTAGCTCAAAAGTTATAATCCTGCAATTTATGCCTTACAACAAGTTCAAAACTAATAAAAGACGATTAAACTTTCCAAGACCGATTTGCGTTGCGTGGCAGTGCAGTTTTCACGCACCAAAATTCAGAGCGTAGTCAGATGATTGGTTTTCCGTGTTAAAGGATGTTGAGTAGACTGGGTACTAGACAATTGTAAATGCCATGTGTGACACGTGACTTTTGCCCCGATACGACCGATGATTGACCTATACCGTCTCATTCAATATATCAAACATTTAATTAATTTTATTTTAGCATTTTCAACAAATATATTGAAATAAGTAAGTGATTTATATATCAAGTTAGATTACTCTATTTTTTTATCACAAAAAAATCGCTTTAAGTAAAACAAAAATAAAAAAATTATATCCTGGAATTACATCATTTTGATGAAGTCAACAACATAAAACTGAACTTTGGGAGGTGTGAACCTTAAGTTTTGTTCACTTCTTCTTTTGTCAAAGCGATAAAACCCAAAATGGGATATTTCTGAAAACAGTGACTCGTCACAGCTCTCCACAATGACATAATATATATTTGAACGGGCGAATGGTCTTTGTTTTAGAGTGAACAGTGACGCTTTTGCACTGTCGACCTTCGAAGCTGGTTCGTCTCAGTCTCACAACTTCAAGAAAGACTTGGCCACGACCCCGCCCCCAGCAAAGTTATATCGTCTGCTTATTCAAGTTATTGTTTTCTTTGTTAAACAGGAATAAATCATGCATTTCTCAATTCCTGACACACAAGATATTACCGAGGGAACCATCACTTATACCGTGAGTTGTCTTTTAATACTTTTTTGATACAAATTAATAAGAAATAAAATTGATCTTAATTATAAAAAAAAAAAAAGTCAATCAATGCATGGAATGTCAGACAAGTCGACCGTTGAGACAACTCGACTCAGGACAAGTCGACCGTTGAGACAACTCGACCGTTGAGACAAGTCGACCGTTGAGACAACTCGACTCGGGACAACTCGACCGTTGAGACAGCTAACGTGCACGGCACGTGCACGGTACGGCCACGCGGTTGACCGGAGATGCGCGCACAGGCCCGGCAAAAACGAACGATGTGCATGCACGGACAATCACGCTGCGCTATATCGGCTCTGCTCTATGCAACAAAACAAAGTCATGTGTCATAACTCCCAAACGGCGATCAGCCGCCGTCAAAATCCCTGGTACTATCCCCAAAACTAGGCCCAAAATCATGCGAGGCGATCGGCGACTTGTCTCAACGGTCGACTTGTCTTTCCATTTATCGCACATACGGTCGAGTTGTCTCAACGGTCGAGTTGTCTCAACGGTCGACTTGTCCCAAGTCGAGTTGTCTCAACGGTCGACTTGTCTGACCCCCGGTCAGACAGTCATGACACAATATTTAGGCCTGGGGGGGGGGGCCTACATGGAATTATCCACACCCTTAGGCCTTATTTAGAACTTTGCATGAGGAAAAAGTTGCAACCTAACGCCACTTTTTTCTTTGTATCATCTCAATGAAGGTCATTCATTGCAAATATGATGATAGGACATGAATCTGGGACTGAGAAATATTTCCAATGTTGTTAGGAAATACTTAGACAATTTTCCTGACTCTCCATAGACTCTGTACACAATCGCGGAAGTGGCGTCACATTGCAACATTTTTTTCCATGCATAATTTAGTCTTTATTATTTGATATTGTCTGTACCAGCATATGTCATGTTTGTTTTCATAATTTCACTTGTAACATTTTAACACATGGACCTTAAACCTTTCAAAACTTTTCCTCTTTCAATTTCGTTGATTCATTGTGTGTCAGAGTTATAATCTCCACGTGAATGGCGTCTTCCACTGCTCACTGCGTTTCTCTCAGCTGCATGACTTCAACGAGCAGATCCGGAAGGAGTACGGGACCTCCTTCCTGGGAACCCACAAATTTCCTCCCAAGAAACTGCTGCAACTGACGGCGTCACAGGTGGAAGACAGACGGCAGAAACTGGAGAAATACATTCAGCTGGGTACGTGTGAGGCTGCGTCCGAATTATTTGGCTACGGTTCCATCATGGGTGTGAAATCTCAGCTTTAAAGCTGATTTTAGCTTTTTGTGTGTGTTGGATTTCAGCTTTTTTCAGCTTTTTCCCTCACTTGCTGCGTACAAAAGTATCAGAGATTTCCAAAGTTCAGCTTTTTTACACATTTTCCAGCTGTTTTCAGCTATTTTTATCAGTGGTCACTCACACTCTTGCTGGAAGTAACACACATGTTTATGGGAAGTTTTTTAGCCGTAGCCATATAATTCGTAGTCCGAAAATTTGGGACTCTCAATACTGTGTATGAGAGTCCCAAAACTTAACCCTAACCCACCTCACTCCTCCAAAATCCTCCCGACGGTTTTGGAGGATTCTAGAGGATTGAGGATGAATGCTGATTGAATCAAATGAGGATTCTGGAGGATTGAGGATGAATGGTGATTGAAGCACATGAGGATTTTGGAGGATTGAGGATGAATGGTGACTGAAGCACATGAGGATTCTAGAGGATTGAGGATGAATGGTGACTGAAGCACATGAGGATTTTGGAGGATTGAGGATGAATGGTGATTGAATCAAATGAGGATTCTGGAGGATTGAGGATGAATGGTGATTGAAGCACATGAGGATTTTGGAGGATTGAGGATGAATGGTGATTGAAGCACAAGAGGATTTTGGAGGATTGAGGATGAATGTATTTTGAGGCAGGACTGTCTGATGATTTTGAAGGATTTGGCATTGGTTATCCTTCATTTAAACACGAATGCAAAGTTTTGGGATGAGGAGGATTTTGGAGGATTGAGGATGAATGCATTTTGAGGCAGGACTGTCTGACAATTTTGAAAAATTTAGGCGGAGTTGCAAAATTTTGGAAAATTTTGGTGGATTTTGGAGGATTGAGGATGGTTGTAAGCAACAAGGGCCTAGGGGGTTAGGGTTTGAAAACATGCAAAACAAGAAAATAGACTGGCACCTAAAACAACCAGTCCAATACAGCTGCAGTACTGCATCAATCAACCATGCCAAAAGAATTTAAGAAACATGTGGCATGAAGCGGGAACTAGTCTCAATTTACTACACATTTCTCCATAGTCAAGCCACCAGACTATTGACACTGAACGAAGAGGTCAGTCTTTTCAAATAGTTAGACCATGGTTGGACATGTACCAGTCTAGTATTTAGCCCCATTTTGAAATCACATGACTTCCCTCTCGTGTGCAAAATATTGAAGAAAAGTCTGCTTTTATTTAAAAATTGAATTGAGTCTGCAAACTTGGTTGGTGAAATACTGAGGACATGTTCTTTGCCCCAGTGGAGTTTTTGGAGAAATTTGCTGGATAAACTGTGAGCAAGGTGGGCCCGATTTAGTTTTGCACGTTTCAGAGCACTCCAGAGCCCTGTCTGTATCATTCGTACAGGGGGTGAGGCTGCATTTGACTTGCTTAGCTGTGGCTTGCATTGCACATGTGTCTATGGAAGTGGCTGTATTTACATGTTATGTTCCCAGCAAACACAACCTCGTTTTCATGGGTACGATCTTGCTGCGCCATGTTGTTTCCCATCATGCCTTGCGCGATCTTAACCCCCTGGAATTGTGTAATTTAAATGTGCCAAATATTGGCACATTTATATTAGGACTGCAGTCGATGAATCTAACATGCGACGCCATGTTTTTGTTCAAAGTTTTTTTTTTTTTAAGAATCAATCCTTTCAAACATAAGGTTTTGACATTGCCTAATTTAGCAAGGATTTGTATTAAATGTACGTACCTCTTTCCTCCCTTTACAACCGAAGATACAGTTTTTTGGGTAAAAAACGAGGCTGCCATAATCCCTATTGTACAAGCATCGCGCAATTTGAAAGAAAAATGTTCGTAGGCGATGTGACATGCACAGCGAGAGCATTAAAGGGCGTGCAGCCTTCAAAATGCGCACGCAGTACGCTCTGGATAGCCAGTCAGCGTCATTTACATGTTCATCACGGCCAGGGGTTAGTGAAGGAATGCGCACGCGCCCATGGAGTCGAGGCTGTAGCCAATATGAACTTATCATTTCTGTAAAGTTTCCACTTGGGTGACCTATGAACTTTGACCCTTCTGAATACCAGTGATAAACCAGATTGCTTTGATTTTTTCCCCTTGTAGTAAGTCAAGACCAGAAGATTGCCAACAGCGACCTCTTCAACGGCTTCCTGCTCAGCGCTCAGAAGGAAACTCGGCGAGAGACGCCAGTGGAGGCCAAACTGGACGTGTACCTGATGAACGGCCATAAGATAACTGTGAATATCATGTCAATGGACCAGACTGATGATGTCTTAGAGGTGAGTCTGAGTCCTGAGTCTTTCCATCGAGGCTCGGGCTAAGTCACTAGTTTTTTTATCCCCCGGGTTTTCAAGCAAGACAGGGGGATATTGCGATCACGTATTCCTTCTGTGTGTTCGTTTGTGTTAAATTTTGGCTAGGTTCACTGTAAGTTCAGTCATCAATCTCAACTAAACTTTATATGTGGTATTGCTCTTGGTATCTGGTAAAGTGATTAGACTCGGGTAAACAGTGCAAGTGACAGGCAGTGTATGTTAAAGTCCTTATAAATACACTAGGCCAGCTCACTGGTCCCTAGAGACACCACGGCTACTGAGCTCCTACAGGCCTTGGCTATGGATGAGTTATGTCACTGTGTTTAATAATAATAATAATAATAATAACAGGTTCTTATATAGCGCTTTTAACTAAGATCAAAGCGCTTTACATTATTATTACCCCTAATCATTGGGCCAATTAAACATTCCATATACCATCTCAGCTCCCTGGGGAGTATACAGCTCGATGCTGCCTGTTAGGCGCAAGGAAGCTAATTCAATCACAATAACCATCACTGCCCTCATAGGTACCCATTTACTCCTGGGTGGAGAGAAGCAATGAGTGACAAAGTGCCTTGCTCAAGGGCACACGCACCATGACCCGCCAGGACTCGAACCCACGACCTGCAGCTTTACCCACAGACCACGAATCAGTGCCCTTAACCACGAGGCCACAGCACTCACTAGTGTCGTGAAAGTTATTGTTTCGTAAGTAAACAGCCTCTTTATAGCTTCACGGTTGTGGACTAGCACAGCTGCCCACCCATTCTTTGCTAATTACCGTTTCTAGTTATGACACATTCCTTTTCGGTTAGGTACTCTGAAAATTGTCCTTACTAACTGCCTGTACATGTATACAAACTGCAAGGATGCCAGGGGGATCTCGCAAGTGTTACTTGCAGTATTTTTTACTCTAGATGTTCCAGTTTAAGTCTTGATAGGTCAAGTCCGAGGCTTTTTCCATAATAAAGTCACCAGAAACATGTCTTAGACATGCTCAAGACCCAGCCTGAATCTGTGGGCCAGAACTGAGTCACAACTTCGTTTCTGCCTCGGACCAAACTTGTTTCAAAAACTCTTATTAAAAATCTAACATACTTTTAATATTCTTGCACGTGTTTGTTTACTTCGCAGGCTGTTGCATCTGAGATTGGTCTCAAGGCAGACTTTGTCTACTACTTTGCTCTCTTCCTTGTCATGAAAGATGAAGACGACGAAAGAGGAACGAGTAAGTTGTTCCTTTTATCCTTTTTTCTTTAAATTATATTTTTCACGTCATCTTTATACATTCCTGAAGTTTAAAAATGAAACCTGTTTGCTAATACTTGTAATTTCAAGAGGTCTCTATAGGTTTTGTGGATATCAATAGTAGTTTTTGTATCTTTGCAGTTGTACGTCGCATGCAAGACTTTGAGTCACCTTTCATTTCTTTGAAAGCGGCTGTGGGCAAGAACAAGATTGTCCTCCGGAAAAAGTAAGTCTGTCCATCACATAGAGCTATATTAAATTACTAGAGCACTAACTCTTCATTCTTGCGCGCTGAGACACTTTGAAGCCGCTCTGGGCGCAGACATTTTGAATTTATGTGCGTGTTTGTAGAACACAATCAAAATAGAGGGATTGAATTTTAAAAGTGTACTCTACATGCAACGCGCAAGTAGAACATACGCAAACAACTTAAGCGCGTCATTACGGTTCAAAAAACGTCACGGCGAAAAGCATCTGCAGCGGAGGGACACGCACACGTTGCGCTGTTTGCATAGAGCAAAATGAAACGCTCATTTGCTGATCGTGCGTTTCGGTATTGGGCGTATCGGCTTCGATGACACACCGGTATGGAATACAAACGCAGATATGCAAATAGCCGTACAAAAGCCGTACAAAATTTCGAGTTTTCCATAGGTTTGTGCATAAACATGGATGCGCCCATCAGGCATTACTTTGTACATCGAGTTAGCGCTCTAGTAATTTAATATAGCTCTATGGTCCATCATAACCTATAAACCTGAACTCTCTCCCAGGTCCTTCAAATTCCATTGGAGGTTTGGATGATTTTTGTAGGATTGGGGAAGGTAGGCATCAGTCACTATTACAAATACTTGGAGCTTGTTGCACCTTGAAACTTGGCGGTACAAACAGTGTCCATGGGGTTCCTACACAGTGGACACAGTGTCAGCTTTTTTAGAGTTGACCCATTTTTTCAACTGCTTGATATCTTTGCTCGTACCTATTACTGCATAAAACAGGGTCAATTTGATATTTCTTGTTGCTTTTCCAGTTATTGGGATGCAACATATGACGATGATTTGATACAGGACAGTACTGGTCTACAGCTGTTGTATGTACAGGTATGCCACATTTTTTTGAAATAGTTTTGTGGATTTGTGTTCAGAGTTCAGACCCTTACATTGGACCCTTCCATTGTGTAGTTGTTTACCATATTTGTCTCTGTTGTTTAGGTGCTGAGTGCTTTCAAGGTAGTATACATTTCTTTTGCTGTAAGTTTCAGAAATGGATGGGTTTAGGGATTAGTATGTTATAGCAAATATTGCTACACTGACCTGTTTAAAAGCTTTGTGTTCATAGATGCTGGAAAAACCAAGAAAAAAAGTGTTGATCTTGTAGTCTGGATCCCTGACCCTACTTCATATGAAACAGAGCAATTTATAGACATCAGGGAATTGTCAGGTTGGGGAACCAGACTAGCATGACTTGCACGGATTTTTAACCGATTGCAAACGAAATTTGGACTAACTAAATTTGGTAAATTGGGGCCAATGTTTGAGAGAGTTAAGTTTTTTTCAACGATGGTCGGCCGACCGTCATTGGAAATTGATACAAAAATTCCACTTTTCTTGAAAATGACAGCACACCAGGTGCCATGATTTCACAGGATGCTTGAGAATATCATTCACTTACAGTCAAGTAAGGTATTTCATAATGATTTGGTAGTTTTGTTTTTTGGAGATTGCAAATGTTGTATATTCCCCTTAAATTATGCACTTATTTCGCCTTTTACTTTAGCTTGTGTTATAAATTTAAAGCAAGCCATGCATGGTCCTACAGTGTACATGTTGATAGGACAAACTAAACCAATCCATTACGGCAGCATTTTTGTAAGCTTGTTTACTGTTTGTCTGTGTTGCCTAGGTGCTAAGCGACATTGAGAGAGGATGGGTGCAAGCTGGCAAGGATCAGGTCAAGAGACTAGAGACACTGAAAGCCAAAGGCTCACGCAAAGAGGTACAAACGAAACACCTGCTTCAGGCAGGCGTTGTATTAACCCTTACCCTACTAGACCCTCCAACGCATGCCAATATGTGCCTCAAGAAAATCTCCTATGTTTTTTGCATGGCCCTCCAATATCTGCCATGTCATTTCAAGGGTAACTGGACAGGCACTCCAATACATGCCACAGAGAACAATGAGAGTCCTCTGATAACAATCAAGTGCCCCCAGCTGGTCAGTATCAGGCACCCTCCAGGGCCTCCAACTCCTGCCAATTGGAGCCTTCACTGCTACATCAAAGTATCCTCCAATAAACTGCAGCTGGAGGGCATTGGCATAACCAACTGACATGCAGTAAACTACCCTCATAGAGTAAGGGTTAAAGGGACACTGGGTCCTGCAACAGCCCAATTGGGCTACAACCATGCTTTGAACGAATGATGTTAATTGAAAAGAACATTTAAAAGTAGGATATAAACATCCACACATCTATCCTTTCAAAACTGGGCGTTTTTGTGCTATTCCTGTATTATGCGTGCGAGAACAAATTTCGGGGTCTACTTTTGCGACCCCAAAAAGTCGAGCTGTTTGTGTGCTAGTTGTGATTTCAGCTGTTAAGTGTCCGCCTGTTGTGCATTGGTGATTGGTCACCGCTGTTCCCGAGACACACAATGTGTATATCGTACACTGAGAACGACAGGAAAAAATGTATTCGTACTCCGTCGTGTCCGATGTAAACAACCGGGTTTTTCGTCTTTTCTCGGGAACGGTAATTAGACATTAGGTTGGTTTCCTTTCAACCAGATGTTTGAAATGGGATAAGTAAACAATCCAAAACATGAAATTTTCAGGGGATTTCAGGACCTAGTGCCCCTTTAACAGCACTTCAATAAAAGTTTTTTTTTTTAGATACACAAATTCTGTGCATTTTTTCCATTTACTGAGCCCTGGAGTGGTTTGAGTGACTGCAAACAGTCATTCTAATGCAGTTGCTCCTAACTGTTACAAACATCAACCTTAAGTTCTAAATTTGAAATTTTCCTTTACATTTTTAAAAAAAAATATACCACCAAGGGAAACCTATTACTTTTGGGGCCGACGGGTCAAAGGTCAAGGCCACTATCGCTAAAACAATAGAAGTCTTCCATTTTGGTTGGGTACACTGACAAGCATTCGTACTAACTGACTGTATAAAAACTGTCAGCATGCCAGGGGGATCGCGCAAGTTTCATTTGCAGTATATTTTTGGTTTAAGTATCAATTTGATTTTTGGTTCCCAGTACGTCCAGTTTGCCAGGACGTTGAAGGACTACGGTTTCATCCAGTTCAAGCCCTGCATTGTAGACTACCCGGCTCCCAACACGCCGGCGGTAATCAGTGCAGGCAACAGGGAGTTAGTCTTCAGACTGAGGCTAGAGGACGGGGCGTGTAAGGAAGGAAGTTTCAAGATAACACGCATGAGATGCTGGAGAATAACCTCGGTGAGCTTGGGCCCCTGGATTTGTTGTGTTAATCCTAGCCACCCCAATTACATCAAAATCCATCCCCCCATTTTGGTAGATTTTGGGGGACTTGGTCCAGAAGGCCTGGCGTGACTAAATATTGATGGAGTGTGATGGACTTGGTCCTAATGGCCTGAAGCAGTGCTAGGGGTATCCGATTGATTTTGCCTAGCTTCCTGTACTGCTATCGTGATAAAAGCCATGTGTAGCAAGTCCATGAATGTCAACCAGTGCGTCAGTGGTGGATTTCATTATATCATGTACAGTTTTGTATTGGACGAACAGTGATTGACGGATTTTGATGGACTTGGTCCAGTTCCTAGTAAAGAACTAGGGAGTTAGGCTTAAGCTAGCTCTAACCCTTTATGTAATTGGCATTAATAGATACCTTGGAGAGGTGATAGCTTCTGATTGGTCGAGACTCGATCACGCGGGGGTGTATTAATATGTGATTTAAAGGCCGGCTTCAAGAACAAGCGAATTAAATGGTCCCTGAACCAGCATTGATCCAGCATCATGTAAGCCAATGAGTGGCCAAATAGACAATTGTCCCACAGTAGCTTGCAACATACGCGTGTATTCCACACAGTTGCTTTGCGGGCATGCATACGCGCGCGTAAGTCTTCACACGACATGTTTGTACTGAGGATGTTAACGACGAAAGCGATTTAAGTTCTGTAAACACGTCGCCCATGGACAAATTACTTTTTCTATACCGAGCGTTTTTGTTATTCTGGACACAAGATGCGTCTAGAGACGCATTTTTGGAAATTTTCCGTTAGTAGTTCGTTTTTAATTCGGCGAAGCGGTGAATGCGTGCGAGCAAGCATTGACACGACGCACACGCGCGTGGTTGCACGACATCACGTAGCTGCAATCTGCTGAATGAGAATGTGTCCCAGACGCTGATTTCGGGCGCAATTCAAAACATGACTCGGCAACTTTTGAATTGATATCGAGATCCTAGAATATTGTGTTCTTGGAATATGCAGCATTCACTAAAACTTCACTGAGCTAAAACTTCATCAGGTTAGTTGTTAAGAACCATTCTTTATATTTTGAGCACTTTTTTTGCTTCAAACCAAAAATTACACAAATGACAAATGATATACTCTACCTTATAAACTGTTACCCTAGCCTTTTATAGTGAGGGAGTTTGCAGAGATCGATAGTGACAAAGTCAATTGTTAGAGTACGGTTCAAGGGTGGGGCTTCAAACACAAGATTAACCATTTCTGAGGAACGTGAACAAAGGAGAGAATGAGTAACGACAAAATTGCTCTTTCCTTGGATGGCTTATCTCCAGGTGAATCGAGGGGAGGACACCAAGGCGGACCCCGCCCAGCTGGAGCTAGCCTTTGAATACCTCATCGGCAGAAACAAACTGCAATGGGTCACAATGACCAGTGACCAGGCTATCCTGATCAGTCTGTGTCTGCAGGATATGGTGGACGAGTTGCTGCTGAAGAAACGAGGAGGTCGCATTAAGAGGGTAAGTGTCTGTTTGACTGGAGACCAGGGGCCGATTTCACAAAACTTGTCTTGTCTTGCGACTCATCTTAGGACTTATAACGAGTCCCGCTCTAAGATTGATCTTAGCTAAGATGCGTCCTTAGATCGATTTCACTAAGAGGAGGTCGCACTAAGCGGAGGTCGTATTAAAAGGGTAAGCGTCTGTATGACTAAAGACCAGGGGCCGATTTCAGGAAACTCGTCTCGTGACTCATCTTAGGACTGAAGTCTTAAAAAATAAAAAAGGATGCGGCCGGGAAAAAGGAAAGCGGGTGGGAACGAGAAACTGTTTTAAATTTTTACTTGGCCTAACAATTGGTTACATGGCAGATAGGTGCATTTTAACAGATATTTGGGATGTTCTGATCTCAGCCTCAGGATAGAGTCAAAGGTCCAGAGAGACAGTTTAAGGGCAGAGACGGTGGCGTCATCGTCGCATCGTCAACCTCCAGCCCAGCGCAGAGTGATCCCAACTCACCCCCACAGGTAGGATATGAACCCACTAGCAGGGGCCATTTTCACCGCGCTGCTAAGCACAAAAATTTGCTTAGCACAAAAAAAGTCTGGCTTATAAAAGCAGGTTACCAGCCAAAACTCCACGTGATTTTCATGCTAAGCAAACAATTTGCTTAGCACAAAAAAAGTCTGGCTTATAAAAGCTGGTTACCAGCCAAAACTCCACGTGGTGTAGATTAGTATTCAGCTGTTGTTTGCTTAGCATGAAAATCACATGGAGTTTTGGCTGGTAACCTGCTTTTATAAGCCAGACTTTTTTTGTGCTAAGCAAAATGTTGTGCTTAGCAGCGCCGTGAAATTGGGCCCAGGACCTTAGGCTGTATCTGATGATTATGGCTATGGCTGGCAGTAACACACATGGCTATGGATGTGGCTTCAGCTGCTTCCATAGGCATGTGTGTTGTTGCTAGCCGCAGTCAAGTCTTACAGACATAGCCATAGCTCCAATCCTTTTTGATAGTGTCATTTAGGAAGCTATTCTTATATCTAACGTGAAATTTGCGATCCATGCAAAGTTTTGGATTTGTGTGGAAGATTAAACAGTTTCGGGTCAACAGTCAATCACTTTGCAATCTTATCATTCCTTTGCATTCGTCAAGTCGGTGCATTGCAATTGCGTCTTCATGGTTTTCCGTTACATTCTTTTATCAGCCTTCATACATGCATATATAGACATAAATCCTGGCAGTCCTGAATCCTCCAATTCTGATATGATTTTTCAAACACCCTACATAATTCCTCCCAATCGTTCAGCAGTATATGCGGGCATGATCTTACCCGTACTACCATTAAACCCAGTGCTTGTCTTCCAAAGTATGATATTGTATTAGGAGTAACAGGCAGGGTGGTTTGGGGCAGTACAGGGAGTAACAGGCAAGGTGGTTTGGGGCAGTACAGGGAGTAACAGGCAGGGTGGTTTGGGGCAGTACAGGGAGTAACAGGCAGGGTGGTTTGGGGCGGTACAGGGAGTAACAGGCAGGGTGGTTTGGGACAGTGCAGGGAGTAACAGGCAGGGCGGTTCGGGGCAGTACAGGGAGTAACAGGCAGGGTGGTTTGGGGCAGTACAGGGAGTAACCAGCAGGGTGGTTTGGGACAGTGCAGGGAGTAACAGGCAGGGTGGTTTGGGGCAGTACAGGGAGTAACAGGCAGGGTGGTTTGGGGCAGTACAGGGAGTAACAGGCAGGGTGGTTTGGGGCAGTACAGGGAGTAACAGGCAGGGTGGTTTGGGACAGTACAGGGAGTAACAGGTAGGGTGGTTTGGGGTAGTACAGGGAGTAACAGGCAGGGTGGTTTGGGGCGGTACAGGGAGTAACAGGCAGGGCAGTACAGGGAGTAATAATGCTTTTAACCCTTGATTTCACTGAACAAAAATCATTTCACACACTGTATCCCATTCATGCTTTTATGTTCTTATCAATGCATCATTCCTCATCAGAGTCCAACCGACACAAGTCCATCTAAGACATCCAAAGCCAGAGGGTCCGTCAAGAAAATCTCAGTAAGTAACCATGCGTGCTAACTCAGATGTGCTTAGCACATAAACATATGCTAAGCTAAAGAGGGTAATGCCAGCCAGAATGTTAAGATGTACATAGCCTATGACTGGTGTGCCTGGCGGTTTTTTTTCAAAATGAATGCAGAATACTTTTTTGGAATTGCATCTCCTTGCGAAGCAATTTGTTTTGGTTCGATCTTTAATCTGTGAGATCTTTAACCCTAACCTTCAAAAATCCTCCAAAATCCTCTTTGCAAAATGAAGGGTTTCGCAGGATTGAGGCTGCATGGCAAAAATGTGTGGCTGATTTTGGAGGATACACTGTGTCAAGGCCTAGGGCGGGACCTTGCATTGTTTATGCTCAGCCATGCATACATTTAGGCCTAGATTATACATGAAATCCGCCGCACTGCTCCAGGATGTCACTGGCTCTGCCTAAACATATTGACAGTGATTGCTGGAGGATTTTGCAGGATTGAGGCAGTGGTCACCCCTCCAAGGACCTCATTCATGAAATAACGGAGGATTTTTGAGGACTGAAGCTGTATGCAATTTCTACATGCAGGCAGTTGGAGGATTTTGCAGGATTGAGGTTGCATCCTAGCAAAAACGCCCAGGAGAAAATTGCAGGGTTTTTTTGGTGCAGATTCTGGTTTGAGATTTTGAGATTTTACTCTCCGAAAGTACTTCATAAAAATACTGAATTGCAGATGGTTTGTCTGAAACTTGCACATTTTGTTTTCTGTCTGGATTTTTGTGGTTTCCGTGTTGAAGCTTAATTCAGTCGCTAATACTTTGGATTGTTTGTTTTGCAGGACAAGTTACAATCGGTTGCTGTTTCACCAAAGCAACACACGCCAAAGTCTGTGGTTGAGAACGACATCTTTGAAGCAGGAATCGGTGAAGATGACTTGTAGGAAGAGGCATCGAGCAATAGTAGAAAGAGGTCTGTTTAACTTGGACACAAGATGGCTTCCATGTGTATTCTTGCATGCGAGATTTTGTGTGGTAACAGTGGGTGCGTTCGAGTAGCTCACACCGATCGACTCGGGTAAAGGCAGAAGGGTTAGCCACGAACAGCTCGGCTAATCAAACGCTCAACTGCAGGCCATCACGATCCTCACGTGATGTCCGTAGCCACTAACCATAAGGTGAACACTCCTCTTAAGACCAACCCGACCAACCATATAGGCCACTCGGGTTGGGGCACACCATTTTGGAAAGTTTGCCCTGGGGGATTCAGACTTAACCGCACTTATCCTATAATTGGTTCCATAAAGGAGTGAATGTCACTCTGCCTGAGAGATTTCAAGCCTATTATTTCGTTGCTAAATTCAATCTAAAAGTATTATCATGATGATGTACCTGGAATGTTGACTTGTTTTATATGTTGAACTGTGAAAATCAGTGAATAAATGGCCGAGAACGACTTTTTACTGCTTTGCTAGCATAAACTACAATCACCAGAAAGTATAGTTCCAGATACTAGAAAGCAGTGTGGCTAACAGGTGGTAGTTCATTTAACCACAAGTCATTATCTCGCTGGGACTGTGGAGCAGGGAGGGGAGTTTTGTTTACTTAAGGGCTCCCCAGGGGCTTCCAACAGAGGTCCAAAATGGTGTGTGAAACTAGCCACTTTCTTAACCCTTACCCTACTTGACCCTCCAATGCATGCCAATTGTGCCTCAAGAAAATCTCCTATGTTTTTTGCATGGCCCTCCAATATCTGCCATGTCATTTCAAGGGTAACTGGACAGGCACTCCAATACATGCCACAGAGAACAATGAGAGTCCTCTGATAAAAAGTGAGTGCCCCCAGCTGGTAAGTATCAGGCACCCTCCAGGGCCTCCAACTCCTGCCAATTGGAGCCTTCACTGTTAAGACTTGTTATCTGCCAAATAACTGCAGCTGGAGGGCATTGGCATAACCAACTGACATGCAGTAAACTACCCTCAGAGAGTAAGGGTTAAGAGGGCCGTTTTCGTCATGCAAAACGCCCGTTTCAGACTGGGTCTTAGTTTGAGATTTACTGCTTTTCAGTCAATTGCAAAACTCAAAACAGTTGGGCTGGAATTATAGCCTGTAAAGTCGCAATGAACTCAATAAATGATTACCTTTAGACTTCAAATAAAGTTGATTTTGGGTCCGCAGTCCGGCCGCCACATTTGTCCGTTTCCTGGTATGAACAATGCGTGCGTGTGGCATATTCCCACCACTGACTCTGCTCCATGAGCAGGGTCTGTGGTGGCTGACCCGGGTGAGCCCCGAGAATGACGTCAAAGCAAATCGAATGGCACGGGGCTAACCACTGATCTCTATTAAAAGACTGGATAGCTAATAAAGGGCCGCACAATGTACGAATTTGACGCCATATTGGTGAGACCGGCTGGTGATCTACAAAGGACAAGTTGTCGTTTTTATAGACAGCATGATTTCTTTTGTAATGTCGCGGTTCACTTGACTTATATTTTGACCACCATCACTGACCAAGGTTAACTACAATTTTTCTAACGTCGTGGTTACTAAAATGCCGCAAATATAACTTTTTCGGCGTTTTGAAATAATAATCACTACGGAAATGTGTCCCTTTTAGAACATCATAATATGTGTACGTGACCAAAATGCACGTAAACTGTTGATACAACGCGCGCTTATTTACGCGTAGAACGTTCGTATTATACGCGGCCATCTTCGTGAGACCGGGGGCGAATTGGTCAATATGCAAAGTCTACTGTGTGAATGTTGTATGCATATCCGCTATCCAGTCTTTATATAGAGATCAGTGGGGCTAACCCATGTCGATCCAGGTGAGCTACACAAACGCACCCAGTGTATAGTGTACGCCATTCCATGTCCAAATTACAAACACACATTGCCACAGCTCTGTGTATGGCTGTACAAGTCTGAGGCTCTTAATTTGGACACTAAATGGTTCCATGTGCATTGTTGCATGTTGAGTGTTTACAGTGCACGCCATTTTGTGTCCAAATTTCAAACAGTCATTGCCACATTCCTGTATGGTTCTTCGAGTCTGTTTAGAAACTGGCACTGTATACTTAAAATGGTTTGAGCAATGCGTCGCATGTTGGACACAAATGCTTACCATCAAAGGAATGGAATACGGAGAGTTACAGTTGCCAAAAAAACGTTTGCTTCATGTTCAGTATTGGAAAGTAGGTCATAAAAACTTGCTGCATGTAATCATTCAATGGGCTTCTTTCTTTGTTCAAGTATTTTTGTAAGTCGAGATGTAATTCTAGAAGCTCCAAATAATCATAACAAACTTATATCGAAGTCACTTTCAGCATCGGGTGTAAGTTATTCTCATGACCATTTATGTGCATGATAAAAATATTGAACAAAACCACTTTTTTTTTGTTTTTAAAAAAGTGAGGCATTCAATCAATTACAAAAATACCCCATTCTGAGTGGGAACCAACATATAATTTCTTTTTATATATATATTTTAAATTGATTCTTTACGTATTTGCACATAAATTCTAACCTTTGCACGAAAAGTGATATTAATTGTGCCTATGGCATTCCTGTCTATTATCTTTAAACTCCACTTTGCATGGTGCAGAAAGGTGACTAAAAAGCCGAATGTTTGTCTTCGTATTAAACCCACCAAGGCCATCAATAAAAAAATTTCAGCTAAGTGTCAAATAAATATGTACATTTTTTTTATCTTTGTACTTTATCACAAAAGAAAGCTACTGAAATAATGCTCGACATGTTGCTCCTTCGAGTTCTATTCTTGGCCAGAACAAAAGTCTTCCAATTTATAAACGAAATCTCCATGTGTTTGTCTAAACTCACACAAACTCACAAATGGCATTGTAATTGTATACTGTCTGTGTTTTCACGTTGTGTTTCAGCCAAGTAGAAATGTAAAATTTCTGTCAATTTTTAAAGCTAGAGTCCATCATTTGCAGCTATCCAAAAAGTAACTGGCGTCATTATTGTTGAAAAACATTCTTGGTTGAAAGATAGTAAGGGGACTAAACTCCCTGTGAAATTATTCTTTCTGGCAAGCTGTCATTTTGAAGAAATCAACAAAAGAATGCCTTTCCAACGGTGCTTCTTAAGACGCACCGTAGGAAATTCAATTTAGTAGTTCGTTTTGTTATTCGGCGAAGCGGGCGCCAGCATTTGCACGACGCACGCGCGCGTGCGGTTGCTATAATTCGTCGGATCAGTGCACGACATCACGTAGCTGCAATCGGCTCAGTGAGAACGTGTCTCGGAGGCTGAATTCAGGCCCAATTCAAAACATGATTCAGCAACTTTTGATTTGAAATCGAGATCCTAGAATGCTGTTTTTCTCGGAATATACAGCTGAAGCTGAGCTGAAACTTCATCAGGTCAGTTGTTCAGTACCCTTCTTTAGATCTTGAGCACTTTTTAGTTTCAAACGAACAAAATGCACAATTACAAATGATGGACTATATCTTTAATGGCATTAATGTGGCAAATTAAATTATAAATGTTATTCATAAATACCTAAGACAGTTTACCCATTCCTATTGGTCGGGAGCTTGTCACGTGGCCGGTTTTAAACGGTTGATATAGACATGGCTGGCTGGTCTTAAAACACTTGTCCAGTGTCACATTAAATTGTTACTCCTATAAAATCTGGTGCCAGCACCGTTTTATTGGTTGAACGTTTATTGGTCCCCCCCCCCCCCCCTGTTGTTGCCGTCTTTTCTGGAGTCGCACCTTAATGACTTTTAATTTGCTGAAGTGGCCATAATTGTATGTTGCGAAACTTTTATTCGGGCAAATATTGATGCAGTATAAATCCCCAATGCACGATTGGAAATTCCTTCAGATGCTAAATATAAGGTTTTTAAAAAAAAAGATTATACTTTTTTTTAATATTAATACATGTATTAAGGTCAAATTTCAGTCATTTGTTCTTGTCAAGCAACGATCACAAGTATTTCATATATTTTTTGTATTCAACTGCAAAAAAACTAAAATGAAGTGATTTCAAATTACATTCAAATCCTATTTTGGTTTTCCAATTATTTCGTTTTGGAATTTATTTCCAGAATTGTGAAATCCATCGAAGTGAGACATCTTAACATTTTCTAGAAAAGCATTAAAAAGCCATGCACAATTATATCACAAGTACACTATATCAAGTATTTTTTATTTAGACATTGCACATACAATGGTTTATATTGTAAAATTTAAATAGTATATTTTGGTTTATAAAATGATTCTATTATTAAGCAGAATTGTTGCAGATATTTGTCTGACATCCAAAAAAATGAACAATTTAATCGGGAATAGGATTGAAGCAACTGTACAAACAATTTTTAATTATAACCTTGAAAAAAGGAAAAAGGTAAAGAATTTTGAGAGGCTTTAAGATTTACGAAATATTTTATATGGTGTTTTTCCTTTCTCATTTTGTTAATTCTATTCAGATCTTGATGCCTCAAAGAGTAAAATTAAAAAAATATTGCAACCTGACACCACTTTTTTCTTCATATATCGTCTCAATGAAGGTCAGTCATTGCAAAAATGATAAGACATGAATCTGGGACCGAGAAACATTTTCAATTTTGTTTAAAAAAAAAATACTTAGAAATTTTCTTGACTCTCCGTAGATTTTGTACACAACCGCTGAAGTGGCGTCAGGCTGCAACATTTCTTCCGAGTAAAATCTTACGGAATGTATACCAAGTTCATCTTCTTGGTTTATTAATCTCCACTTTTTTTCTGCAGCAATTATTTTTCCCTCCAAACCGTCAAAATCTCTCCACTTTTATACAAAGTTTTATTTTAAAGACTTCTGGTTGAAAACTATAATTATTTTCCAAGAAACATAAATTCTGATGTCCACAGGCAAACATTAGAAAGTGTATTAATTAAAACTAACTCAGTTTATTATTAATTCATGATAAAATTAAAATATTATTAAATATAGTGATTAAAACTTTGGCATTGATCTTTATTTTCCCACAAGGCACAAGGCGTTATAAATATGTATTTGCATAATCAATTTCATGACGATATAACAACAAATAGCCTATTGATGTTTAAAACATTCAAATGAACTTATAAAGCAATGTAAAATTACTATGAGATATTCGTATATGTTTATACAAATTAATTCTGCAACTTATCTTTGAAACAAAAAATGAAATTGTGCTATTTGTAATGCCATAATTATATAATTTCTCTGCAGTACATTTGGAAGAAATCTGCTTTTCAATAAATGTCAAAAAATATTTATCCAGCACTTGTCTCAATTTTTTTTTTTCCATACAAACATGCAGTGGGTTTGTGCTTTTTTCAAATAAAAATGGACCCTCGCCTGTCAATCAAACTGCGCAGTGACCAATCAGATCATGACTTTTGGTCAGGTGACCACGGTAGCTCAATCAAACTCTGTTACAAGCACTGTGAGAAATGTACACAAACCAAAAAAGGGGCGGGGCTTATGGCCAAATCTGGAATGGTCCATATTCGAATTCCCATAATGGACTCTTCTTACCTGTAGATCAAACAGTGCACATCGACCAATTGAATCAAGACTTTTGGTCAGGTGACCACGGTAGCTCAATCAAAGTCAGTCACAATGTGAAATGTACACAAACCATAAAAGGGGCGGGGCTTATGGCCAAGTCCGCAAGGGTCCATATTCGAGTTCCCACAATGGACTCTTCCTGCCTGTCAATCAAACAGTGTACATTGACCAATTAGATCATGACTTTTGGTCAGGTGACCACAGTAGCTCAATCAAACTCAGTCACAAGTACTGTGAGAAATGTACACAAACCAAAAAAGGGGCGGGGTTTATGGCCAAACCGGAAGGGTCTATATTTGAGTTCCAACAATGGACTCTTCCTGCTTAGCAAACAGTGCATCTTGACCAATTAGATCACGACTTTTGGTCAGGTGACCACAGTAGGTTAATCAAACTCAGTCACAAGTACTGTGAGAAATGTACACCAACCCAAAAAGGGGCGGGGCTTATGGCAAATCCGGAATGTTCCATATTCGAATTCCCAAATGGACTCTTCCTGCCTGTCAATCAAACACTGCACATTGACCAATGAGATCACAAATTTTGGTCAGGTGACCATAGTAGATTGCTCAAACTTGGTTGGAGCAATGTGAGAAATGTACACAAACCTAAAGGTGGCCGGGGCTTATGGCCAAATCCGGAAGGGTCCATTGTCGAATTCCAATAATGGACTCTTCCTGGCTGTCAATCATACCGCACTAACCAATTAGATCACGACTTTTGGTCAGGTGACCAGGGTGACTCAACACATTCACAGGTAGTGTGAGAAATGTACACAGATGTGGGCTTAAGACCATTGTCATGAGCCTTTGGATGCTTGTTCAACTAGGAAACCATACCTAGCGATACTCCGGTGGATACCAATATATCCCGCCGCCCTGCATGTTACCGGCATTATCAAATCTCGGCAGAAATCCTCTCTTGTGATTGGTCCATTCTGGTTGTGGTGGGGGTGCCTGTAGCCAATTGCGTTTAAGAAACCAACGACAAAGTCGAAACAATTGTGACCGTCGTCTTTGTACCTAGAGTGTGAATAAAATGAAAGGTAATATATTTAGTAAAAAATAAGCATCATGCATTTTCTTTCTTGAAGTTTTAGATTACGATCTACAAACAAACATCGTCGAAATAGAATTGAAACAGGAAAGAAAGTTGGCGAAATACACTGCTTTGAGAAAATCCTTTAAACAAAATACCATTTAGAGTTTGAATATAGTTTTGTTTGCTGTTAAAGGTAGGCCTACTATACAACATTAGCTTTTGCTGTAACTTTATAAAACGGATGGATGTGGGGGTAAGTATTTTATTGCAAATATTTTTTCCACTGACTTGTTTAAAAGTTATTTGTTCATAGACGCTGGAAAAACCAAGAAAAAAATGCTGTTCTTGTAGTCTGGTTCCCCGACCCTACTTGAGACGAAACGGCACAATTTATAGACAACAGGGAATGGTCGGTCAGGGAACCAGACCAGCTGGCTTGCACCCGTTCACGGATGTGTAAGAGATTGTAAATAAAATGTGGACCAATTAAATTTGGTCAATTGAGGGGGCAGTATTTTCCAACAATGGTCGGCCGACCATCATTGGTAATTGATACAAAAATTCTACTAATCTTGAAACGGACAGCACACCAGGTGCCATGATTTTACAGGATGCTTGAGACTGTTATTCACTTACAGACAAGTAAGGTATTTCATAATAATTTGGTACTTTCGTTTCTTGATGTTTGCAAATGTTGTATATTGCCTTCAATACTGAAATAAAGTTGTCCAAAAGTTCAAAATTTCCCTTAATATTTGTCAGATATATCCATGGATGAGTCTGAGGCTCATTTATCAGTTAGGGAAAAAAACAACGCTTTAAATTAAAAATATAAACAAAAACAAAATGTAGAAGAAAAAATTAGGAGACCGACCATTCTTTCTGCCACTCAGGTTCTGTGTCCATGCCTGCTAGTCTCCGATCCCAGCCACTCCTTAGATCTTCATCATACTCCTCCAACAGAGAAACAGTCAGACACTGCGACCAACCAAGGCATTCTCGATGTACCCCGGTCTCATCGTAGCTATACACAGTTCCTGAAGTTGAGAGGTTTGCAACCAAATAAAGTGGTAAGTCATCTTGAACAAATTTAATTCACATCAATTAATAACATCTGTTGCACAAAACGGCCTCCGTTGTGAATCTGTGTTACAAACATGTAGACAATACTGTCATTGTCAATTAATTCAAAAGACAATCCTCAACGAGGGCGCCCTTTGCATGGGGTCTATACGACATTAAATCCTACCTTTCGAAGTGGTTATTCCTGTATGCAAATTGTCATCTTGTCCGTAGGATCTGTGAAGAAGAGTTTTAGGGGGAAATGTCAGCGGAAATCTTGAGTTTGTACAGAGAATGACAAGCAACTAAAACCTTGTCTACTGCCTTTTGGGTTTTTTTCCGGGGGGGGGGGGGGGGGGGGGGTTGTCTATGTAATAGATCGTGGCAAAAGCCAGGGTCTATAATTTTTGAACAGATTCCCTGATTAATTATGCAAGACAACCGCATCTTGACCGCTAGATTTTGACCAATCAGCGGGCGCTTTCTATATCGGGTCTTCGGTCATTCACCCGTTGCGCGTCATAGACATGGATAAAAACCTGTGTCACGCACTCTGTATCATGTTACGCGATATGCGCCGGGTTGTTGATGTATCACAAAACACTGCATTCGAACTGACCAATCAAACCCTTAGTCCCGATTTGGGAATGAAATGACGTCACGATTTAGTAGAGTCGACTTTGATTGGCTGGCGCGCGGCTTGCATATATCTGCATGCTTAGACATATCAGACGTTATACAGGAGACTTAGCTCCGTGGATAACGGGTGATACTCAGACTATATAGGTGGGTGGGGGAGGGGGTCGAAATAATGTCGAAGGATCGTCATTCATGCATATACTCACTGTAAAAAATCTCCAACTGTTGGCTTGATGACAACGGAGAACGGCACCCCACACGATGACACAAACGGGGACGGATACTGAGCCACGGGGGAGGTCACACTAGAGGCGTCGACTTTCTGACCGCACAGGGGACAGTTTGCTGGCAAAGTGAAGACCAGCAGTCTGGTTACGGGGTGGCACTGATGTGCAAATGACTTGATGCTCGGAGGTCTGGTTGCCATATCAGCTGTCATTTTATACATGAAAATTGTAATTGTCACATGAAAAAAACTTATTTTTGTTGTGTGTGCAATATTATGTTCAACAGCAATACTATAAAAAAAATCATGGCCATTTAATATTTTTTTAATAATATTATTATTGGACTAGTACTAGGCCTAGTGCAGTAGTGTAGTGGCCATTGACATATTTTTTGAAAAAAATTTGCATTCTGATGCCACTTTTTTCTTCATATATCATCTCAATGAAGGTCAGTCATTGCAAAAATGATGATAAGACATGAATCTGGGACTGAGAAACATTTTCAATTTGTTTTGTTAGTAAATGTTCTTGACCCTCCTTAGCTAGACTTTGGGTAATCCTTACTTTTAGGACCCCGTTCCTCTATAGGAAGGGAAAGACTCACCAAAACAGTTGACTAAATGACACTCAAAATTGACATTCTGATACTTTTTGGCACATCTGAACAATTGGCAATGACACCTTCTTGACTTCTAAAGACTGCTTTAGCCTGCAAAAGTCACTTTGGTACTGGACAGACATCTGCAGTGTTGAACAGAACTCATAAAAAATAGAGGTGTCCTAAAAGTAAGGATTACCAGACTTTGTACACATCCGCTGAAGTAGCATCAGGTTGCAACATTCCTTCCTGGAATCTTCCCCAGGTGTATTGCATAGTATCGATAACACAAGGTGATACCGCCCCCCCCCCCCCCCCTGCCTTGGCTTGCGGCCCCACCTCCTCCCTCAGCTTTTATCCAAGTTCTCGGTAGCTGCACCTGCTGCGGGGCCCCCTAAATAAGCGCTGAACCGCAATCAGTACAACATTGGCTCGTAGTCGTACCACACAAGAAAATCTAATGAGATAACAAATCATTACACTACCTGCACAGCATGCACAGTGCATGCACAGCTAGCTGTTCCGTGAACTCGACAAAGCATGCAAAAAAACACCTACTGCTGTGTTGATATAGGGCGCCCTCTGTCAGTTGGCAGTTTCAAGTTGGCCTGTGCAGGCTGCGTAATTTTCGCGGGCTGGCTGCACACATTGACACAATGTACAAATGTACACACGTACATGTACAAAGTGAAACATTTCCGCCACACTGCATTGATTGTTGACGTACGTCAACAATCAATGCAGTGTGACGGAAATGTTTCACTTTCAGTTCCGCTTTTGTGGAATGCTTTGAACTAGGGCTTGGTACACTCAGTGTAAGTTATCTTCCGGCTTTAATCGGTTTCATAACGAAAACATGGGCGTCGCCAGTATTTTTTTCTAAAGGGGGAAAAGCACTGATGTTCCCCCAGAAATTTTCCAGCATATTCTCGATTTTATCGTTTTTTGAGGGTGGGCAGGGGCATTCCCCCCCAACTCATTAAAAAAACAATATATATATGACTTTGCACCTCTTTTTCTTTCATCTTTTTCCCTCTTTTTTTTTTGGGGGGGGGGGCACTGGGAATTAGCCTTGGCAGAGGTTTGCGCTCTCCGAGTGCTTTCTAGTTGCATAATTAACTACCGAATCTCCTCGCATCATAGAGCCTTGCTGTACAAGGGCATATTCCGTAGACTATTATGTATGTAAATGCACTGTACTTTGTAAAAACTGCGCTTAATTGAACAAATTATCCAAACAAGCAATAAATAAGAAGAGACACACGCACAACAATGAATGTATGGATACACCAATGTCTTTATCCGTTTAAGTCCATTCAGTCTACGGGTGTTATTAATGAACCAATTGAAACAATTTACAGACCAGAAGTCCACACAGCTTTGAACATTCATGCAGATTTATAGGAGTTAAGAAGGCATTCCAATGAGTTACGGTGTAATTTAATGCCAGACATGAAACGTCAATAAAAAACAAAATTATTTTATCGCTGCTTTTAGTTATACATGTACTTGAGTTTATCTACCCAGGAATACAAATTCTTGGTGTCTGATTGAGAAGTAACAATTCTGGGTTCATGTCCCGTTTATTGACACACTGAATCACATTGATTGGTCTGAAAATATTCGATTAGTCTGTCTTTTTCTAATCGAAAAACGCAACAGCATAGGGGAGGCCGAGGAACGACCGATCCACTTGGCCCCGCCCACTGCGCACGTGGGCAACAACAGTACAACACGTGCGTCATACGCACGTGCACGCGCATCAACCACGGCTGTGATTGGTCAAAGCACAATGGGGCGTGGCTTAATGGGTCGGTCACGTCTATAAAAATGCCAATCAGTTCTTATTAAATGTACACGCAATGTACTTTGACATCTCCAGAATATTCCTTGCGATAGTTTCAAACAATTTACGGCAACTTCTTGGCAACAAGATTATACATGTAGTTTGCTACAGACATGTACCAACACACACATTGGTGGGAAATCTCAGAAAAACAAGATTTTTTTTTTTTGATTCGGCAGACTTTTTTTCTTTTCAAAATTGGCACCGCAATGACCTACAAATTTCAAGACAAATTTGAAACCGCCGATAGACGTTTTTACCTTTAAATCCCGCATGAGTTCACGTTATACATGTACATGTGATTTAACGTCATATTATATTATAGCTTAATTAGGATGAATGGTACATCAAAACTACTTCTACTACGGACAGTGTTTGGTAGTAACAATGGTACATATATTCCAGACCATATAACTTCCATTTATCCAAAAAAAAAAATGAAATAAAATGAAAAAAAAAAAATGACAAAAACATTTCAGCTTTATTCAAAGTTATGCACAATTTTCTTGGCCCTTTGGTTGCAAGCCTTTCATCTGTATGATCAAGATCTTTCGATTCCCGTTTTCTGACAGCAAATTAAGAATTTAAATACAACCGATACTAACATGAACTCATCACTTAAACATCTATCACTTACAGGTACCTTAAAAAACAAAAACAAAATTTGTCTGCAAGGCAGAATGAATGAACTGTATAAAACATGTGCAGAGCTACTCTGCCCACTTTAAATGCAAATGATTAGTTTTACAATGGTTGTAGAAATTCAGAAATGTGGGGAAAACACGCTACGAATTGATCGAAGAAGTATAAAGCAGATTAAAACCTGGAAAACGGTCGGTAGGCGGAGGAAATATCTGTGCAAACTGTAGAATGTTAGAGCCAAATTGAACTGACTGATTTCAGTTTCATTGCAACTGCCTTGAATGTTCTCACACGACAACTTAGAGACAGCGATGTTGAAAGTAACAGGTCAATCGGAGAGAGCTTTCTTAACATGCATGTCGTTTAAAAAATAATTTGGGATTAGAGTTGAACCAAAAGTGACCAGTAAAGTTTCACAACCTTCTTTCGGACAGGTTTTCTTTAAAGGTAAAAGTGCGTACCAAAATTGTGCACCATGGTTTCAAGCCAAATCTTTTTCTTTCTTTTTTGTCAAATACATAAACTCGGCACAATAACTATCACATGAGCTACCATCCCGGCCGAAAAAAGTGATCGCGCTTGTATTATGGATCCAGAACCAACCGACAGAATGTAACGAAACTCAACAAAAACAAATGTCACAAAAAACACAAGGAAAACATGACACAACAGAACATGCAACCGTCAATGCAACACGGAGGGAATTCCCCAGATCGCTTTAACAGTTACACCCGTAAATTCGTTCGCTAACCACACCATATTACGTGAAGCAGCTTCATCAGGTTGGACGCAAGAAATCCCCTCAAATATCTTGACTTTAGCTCAAAACCGTTTGTAGCTGATTTTTTTCCCCCTCTCTTAGCTTTAAAATGATAGCTAGTATAATAGAAGTAGACAATTTATAACAATAGTACAATTCAGTCACTACATATCTAGCACTAGTATACATGAACACCAAGCCATTTTGAACATGAAACACTACTGTATATCTCCATATCAGTAAGAATATCATTTCAATTTGTTTATGGCTACATAGTTTAAACACATTGGTAATTTTTTTTTTCCTCAATACAATACATATGAAGCCTGTTTTACTAGACCAAGATTTTTTTTTTTTTTTTAGCGTTTTGAAAGCAAGCGTAGTATCAGTGCTCCGAAGAATTATCTTCAAGCTGGTCCTCCGAGCGACCCACACGGAAACAAACATTCCTGTGGTTGACTGTCGTCAGCAAAATGCTTTAACGTTCTTTGGTTGACATGTAGCAGGATGTTAACCATGACAAACTACACTATGAACTCATCTTAGTCGTGTTAGGCTTTTGCTTGGGTAAAATATGCACTACATACACACTACGATTTTAAATTAAGTAAATACCACCATATATGATTTTCATTCGAGCCCACGTGTTCAGGCATAAAACAGGGCACCGCGACTCTCTTTTAATTTGGTAGCAGAGTTAACTTTTAGTTGTTTAAATGTTAGGGAAAAACACACAGATCAGTGGAAATTTGAAAATTCGACGAGGAAAAGTGCCGTATTGTGATGCCGAAACAATGCGAAGAACCATGTGGAAGCAAGATGTGTTTTTTTTTCATCTCATTAACTGTTGTCTGCATGGCAGTAAAGAACCTATATTCTTGAAAAGGTTCCGGCACTATTGCCAAGTTCCAAAAATACCACTCCTGTTCTTTCAAGTTGGTTCCTGTGCCTTAACATGCGTTTCAACAAGTTCACTAGCACCCACTGGTTCCATAGATTTTTTGCTGTGATTGTTTGAGCATATGGTGCAACATAGCCCGAAATGACACGGTAATGTCAATCGCCTTTCTCGTAAACATTTAGACATTTTTACTTGAAAGGTTACACCATTACTCTTGGCATTTTAATGGTTCACCCTTAACAAATCAAGATGGTTAAAAAAAAAAACCTAAGACTATGGCTTTTTTTTTTTTATCTTTTTCAAAATCTTTTTTAGATGATCAACACAAGCTCACACCTATAGTGATACACAAGACACAGTTTCCTGGTCGAATATAGAGAAACTGACGCGGAGGGGAAAAACCAAAACAATGAAAGGAACACTTTTGCGTTTTTTTGTTGTATATTGATCATTTGTGCTTTTATAGGTAATTGGAGAATCGGAGACTACATTCTGAGCATGAGCAAAAAACATTTGTGGGCACTAACACACTACTGTTGCTTGAAACGGGAAAGTTAATCAGCTTCCACTTGGTCATCTTCGTCATTACCATCTGACGTCCACAACTGGGGAGGGAAAATTTATAAAAATATGTTAAAAATGGGAGATGTACACCCCATTACAGTGGAACGTCGCTATGACGAACATCGTGGGATCCACAAAAACTGTTCTTAATAGCGATCGTTCAGTATAGTGATTTTCACATTTTAGTGGCGCCCTCTTTGATAATTGTTATAGTGCATGTAGTTGCATTTACAAACTACGCGCGGAATTCGCAAAACGACAAATGTGTCGTTTCCGTAGCAGAACTTCACCAAGTACACCCTGGTAGTTACTAGAAGAAGACTTTGAGCACGTGTGACTACTGAGTCATGTAATTACACAGTTTTTGAGCTTACATGGTAGCTTTTTCCTAATATTCGTCGGGGGAAATAACAGCCATTTGTCTTCTGTTGACATTTCCAACAACAATGTTCGGTATGTTTTGTACACAAAAATTGGGAGCCTAAGTTGATGTTCAGTATAGCCGAATGTTCGGTATAGCGGTGTTCGGTATAGCGACGTTCCACTGTACAAGCAAGGTACTGACGGCAACCAACGGCCCTTGGGCAATGGAAGGTTTAGCAGAGGAGAATAAATGAGGCTTACAAACCCTTTTCACACTCGAGCCTCTCAACCCGGGTTGAACTCAACCCTGGGCGAACCCAGTGCCGCCCCCGGGTTGAGTTTTTTATTTTTCAACCCCGCATTCAACCCTGCATCGTTTCACACTTGTTTCATACAAATCAAGCTTATCATGCTCAGTTACTACTGTTTTGAACCCTGGCAAGACTTTCAACCCAGGTTGAAAATCTCAGCCCTGGTCTGGAGCAGGGTTGAGTTCAACCCGGGGTGAAATCAATCTCGGGGTTGAAGCAGGGTTGACGCAGGGTTGAAATTCTTCAAGTGTGAAACAATGCATGTTTTCAACCCTGCGTCAACCCCAAGATTTGTCTAGTGTGAAAAGGGCAAAGTTAATGTTAGCACCCACACTTCAAATTCCTTTGAGGTAATCTTCTGTGGAGTATGGATAACACTTCAAATCCCTGCACACTTCTTGTGTGTAGATAAGCTCAGGGCAAGCAGGCAGATTTAGTCACGCTTCACTGCTCTCCACAGTGCTGGTTTTTTTTTTGTGCAGTGACTGTGTGTGTGTGTGACAGTTACTTTAACGCTTCATGTCCCTCCATGAAATTGAGCTCTGATCCAATCAAGGTTGAAGTTATAAAGAAACACTGTTCCCAATGGAACACTGCGTTCTCCACACTTTGTGTTCCATTTGAAACACGTTGTGTTCCAAATTAAACACTGTGTTCCAAATGAAACACTCTGTGTTCCAAATGAAACACTTTAATTTCCAAATGAACCACTCCGTGTTCCACATGAAACACTGTTTTTCCAAAATGAAACACTGTGTTCCAAATGAAACACTGTGTTCCAAATGAAACACTGTGTTCCAAATGAAACACTGTGTTAAAATGAAACACTGTGTTCCAAATGAAACACTGTGTTAAAATGAAACACTGTGTTCCAAATGAGGCACTCTGTGTTCCAAATTAAACACTCTGTGTTCCAAATGAAACACTGTGTTCCAAATGAAACACTCTGTGTTCCAAATGAAACACATTGTGTTACAAATGAAACACTTTGTGTTCCAAATGAAACGCATTGTGTTACGAATGAAACACTTCTGTGTTCCAAATAAAACACCAGAGTGTTGTAAACTTTTTAACTTCCTGGTAATATGAAGAATCCAATCACACTGAGTTCTCATTAAAAAATAACCTGCGTTTCAAATGAACCACTCTCGAGTTCCCGGTACTATACGGTATTCCCAACGAAACACTCAAAATAAAACACCAGAAGTGTTTGAAATTTAGGAAACGTACCGTGAGGTTGTCTCTTAACAGCTGCATGATGAGTGTGCTGTCTTTGTAGGAATCCTCCTTTAAGGTGTCAAGTTCAGCAATCGCTAGGTCAAAGGCCTGCATCCGAAAAAGAAAAATATTGTCACGAAAATACTTAACCCAGAGCGTCGATTAATAGACCAATCAAAGTTGCCTCCTTTTTGTGATTACTGGTCTTGGCTTTCCTTTATTACTGAGACGCTCCAAAGCTCGCTCTGGAATTTCACACAATGACATGTTCAGAGCTATAGATTCAAAACGCACATGTTTGGGCGTTCAGGCAAGCAAGCGTCCCGGTAACGTCTACCAGAACCAACACCTTAATTTCGAAATCGGAATAGTGTACATGTATATCTTTTTTGCTAGACATTTTCCATAGTGTTTTGACCAACCAGCCGTGATTCATGTCCAATGTGCACAGTCTGACATGCATTAACCCTAACCCCTAGGCACTCTGGCTAGGATGCAATCTCAATCCTGCAAAACCCTTCAATTGCCACCAAGAAAAATTGGATTCAGCCTCAATCCTCCATAATCATCGGTTATTTCTTGAGTTTAGTCTGTGGAGGGTGACCACTGCCTCAAATTCCTCCAAAATCCTCTGCCAATTACTGCTATGGTGGCTTGACGAAATGCATCCTCTACTAAGAAGTGATACATCTTTGCCACTCATCCTCAATCCACTAAAATCATCCAAAACTGGCAGGAGGATTTTGGAGGATTGAGGAGGGAGTGACGCGATTCTACCGCGATAGGTTAATTGCATGTACCCTTGACATCACACATATCCTCACAAAGACATGGTTGTGTCAAAAATTATGGTAACTTTCTTTTGAGTTGAACACGCATGTCCTCTTTCTTACAAACAATGCAAACATCAAGACACCAAGATATCAAAATACTTACTTTTTTCGCGAGTTCGCACGCCGCTTTCGGATCGTTGACAATTTCGTAATAAAATACTGAGAAGTTGAGCGCCAGTCCAAGACGGATGGGGTGCGTTGGCGGCAAGCCTCCGTCACTTAAATCGGATGCTTCCTGATAGGCCTTTTTCGAGTGGTCCTTCGTGTCTGATTATGTGAAAAAAAGGGGGGAAAATTGACTACTCAAAATGATCTCCCTAACCATATCAAAACCTATCCCACCTTGGATCAATTCAAACAACTTGTTAAAACTCACCTGTTCACTTGCACAAGCGCATAGAGACTTAATTGTATTATGCGCTATATAAGAACTGTTTATTATTATTATTACTCAAATTTCAAGCACAACTATAGTAAACCTCACCAAAATGATTGCGACAGGGTGCACGACAACATTTTTTTTTAGTAAAAATGGTCGTGTGTTACAGTAATTTTTGTGCAGCAAATGCTGGGTTTTATAAAACTTGGGAGCTTAACCCTAACCACCCCAACTCCATCAAAATCCCCCCCCCCCCCCAATTTTGATGGATTTTGGGGGACTTGGTCCAGAAAGCCTGGCGTGACTCAATTTTGATGGTGTATGATGGACTTGGGCCTGAAGCAGTGCTAGGGATATCCGAATGATTTTGCCTAGCTTTCTGTACTGCTATTGCGATAAAAGTTATGTTTAGCAAGTCCATGAATGTCAACCAGCGCGTCAGCGGTGGATTCCATTATGTCATGTACAGTTTTGTATTGGACACACAGTGATTGATGGATTTTGATGGACTTGGTCTAGTTCCTAGTAAAAGACGCTACGGAGTTAATGATAATGGAATGTTCTTTACAGGGTGTATCAAAAATATTGCAAACAATATAATATCGGAATGCCAGATGTAGAATGTGTAACCAACATAGATAATATAGATATGGTTTGAAAGATCTTTCCACTTAAAAATGAGACATCAAACATCCAAATCTGATAGTTTTTGACAGAGTTTTGAGTAATTTTCCAAGAGAGGTCAAATTGACCGTGGGACCAACTTTTCAATTTGAGGCATTGGGACAAAGGTAGCCTAATTGCCTCTGTGTGGATAATTGTCTGGCCTACGAAAAAATGTGTTTAGTGAGTAAACACTTTAATAGCATGAGGTGATAGCAAGAATGTGTCAAGTATTCTGGTTTCCTGACCCCAAGTCAGATGAAACGGAGCAATGTATAGACGTCAGGAAATGTCAGCATACCGGGTGCCATGATTTTACAGGATGCTTTAGACTGTCATTCAGTAACAGTCCAGTAAGGTATTGCATAATAATTTGGTAGTTTTTCTTTTTGATGTTTGCTAATGTTGTATATTCCCTTGAACTATTTTGTCTCCAACATGAGATTTAATGCTGTCTCTACTAATGACTGCTTTGCTTTCTACACAAACACTGGTAATCCATGCAATCAACAAGACACTTGCAATGCAAAGCCATTATCCAAATCTTGGCCTCGGCTGCAACTGGCCAGTTTTGGCTTCACCACTGGCTCCAGAGTAGCCTTTAGTCAAGTCCCACGCGCTTATCCAGACACGTGACGCACCCCGGATGCTGGCACGTAAAAAGACTAGCACGAGGGGCGAAGCCACGAGGGCCTTTACCATCTCGAGGAGAGCGCTTATGTTTTTCTTTACATTTGTCTACCGATTTTGGTAGACATGCATAATGCATGACATGTTGCGAATGGGTGTGCGTCTTGTTCTTTTAGAACGCGTGTGGCGTGTGTGCTCGACGGCCCGCACGCGTGTCATCTCCTCAAAAATTGCTTGTTCGTGGTGATTGGTTCGTATATATCCGCACACATACATGATTCATATTACTTGAAAAAATGAATAATGAGTAGCTCCACGAGATGGTGAAGGCGCTCGTGGCTTCGCCACTCGCACTGGTCATTTTTGGTGCCAGAATCTGGGGAGCCACACGTCCAGGTAGACACGCGCACCTTGACTAAAGGCTAGCTCGAGACTCATTAAGAAACCATTAATTTCCAAACAGAAATAATCTGACATTTGACCTCATTTTTTAGGATTTAATGATCCTAAAGCAGATGCAGAGCATGAACCTAGAATGAGCCACAGCTACAGCCACATCCACAGCCCCCAAGTTAGTGACTAAAATCCCCCCAAGCCGAAGCTGTAGACAAAGCAAGAAAGATGACGAGGTTTGTAAAAATAACCTTCAAAATTACCTTGTTTTGCACTCTCGCTCGCGACCTCTGCTAGGTACCGGTAGTAATCGCCTTTCATTTTCAGGTAAAATACTTTACTCTCTTTTTCCATCGACTCCGACTTCAGAAGAATTGAATCTAGCAAGTGCTGCAGTCAGAAAAGGAGAAAAGCAGTGGAAAGAATTTACAAATTGAAAATTTGGACTGACATTTAATGAGCTCTTATTTTGGTCTACCATGTTTGTCCAAACCAGCCGTGCGACTGGGACGTCACAAAATAAAAGGAAATTTCAAACTTTGCAAGACGCTCTGCAGTGTTTATTTAGTTGGGTTTTTTTCGGACTAATTGTTGACTACCCTGCCACACTAAAATCCCCCTAAAATTCAATAAAAAGTACACAGTCGAAGGAGCTACAAATAAGTCCAAAGTAGGTCCCCGGAGGTGGCTACAAAGATACGGAGCGGGACTGAGGGGCGCAAGAGGACGCTGTTTTCCATTTCTAAAAAAAAATCCTCCAGGGGGATGAATCAGTAAATTCAACATAAACTGATGGGGAAGATGGAGAAAAATGTAAGTCCAAAGTAGATCCCCCAAAGTTGCTACGCAGATACGGGGTGGGATTGAGTCGAGGAGAGGCACAAGAGGGCACTATTTTGGGTAAGCAGTCAAGCGCAACTCCGTATCCGCGTAGCCAGCTATGAGGTGGGATAGATGAGTGGCGGGGTATTCTGCAATTGTGCCCTGCAGTGTTTGGTGATTTGTTCCCTTCGTTTTTGGTCGTTTTTTTTATGGCATACACAAGAAGACAACACATTGCTGTTTCGGCAATAGTTTTATTGGTATCTGGGTCGTGTAGAAGTGAATTTGGTGTTATAAATTAACGTAATTTTCAAATCAATAAAAACTCACATGATGACGTCAATTATATTTCCACATTATTATTATTTAAGATGACGTCACATGACTAATGATGACGTTATCACGACGTCACTTGTTGAGGAGCAACATTAGCTGTGGTTTTTGGTCTGCGCTTAATTTGAAGTCAATTTGATGTCAATTTTGCAATTTGGAAAAAACTTACAATTTTAAAAATAAATAAAATTCAGTTGATGTCACTATGATGTCACTTCAGATTTTGAATACTACTATCAATACCTACTCACCCACCAAGTTTCTGAACGATTGAACATTCCCTTATATGTTTCCGAAAATTGTGTTTTTGATGACGTCATGATGTCTTTGATGACATCACACGTTTCAAAATTGTGTGCATATATCTATGGCCTACTGAACCTAATACAGAAAGAATTTTGAATGCAGCATGTTTTGTTCCCGAGAGTGAGATATGAAGATGAGCTGAAAAAAAATGAAAAATTAATAAAAATCAACATGACATCATCATGACGTCACCTCAATTTTCATCTATAACACATCCCACTATGTCACACCAAGTTTAATTGAAATTGTCCGTGTAGTTCTCTAAATATAGGCCCTTGAAAAATGCATTTTTATGACGTCACATGGCACGTGATGACGTCTTGATGACAAAATTCTTTAATTTCAAGGACCATTTGTGGGTGGTGGTCTAAGTATGTGCCTAGTCTGAAGTCGATCGGATTTTAATACTTAAGTGCCAAAGTGTACTGGCGGAAGAAAAACGTGTACAATCACTATGGAGAAAAAGTCTAAAAAAAGAAGGAGAAAAAAAATCTGGAAAGAATGTTGCAACCAGACGCTGCTTTTCTCTTCATATATCATCTCAATGAAGGTCAGTCATTGCAAAAATGATGACAAGACATGAATCTGGGACTGAGAAACATTTCCAATTTTGTTAGGAAATACTTAAAAACTTTTCTTGACTCTCCAATACACAACTGCTGAATTGGCATCAGGTTGCATCATTTTTTCAAAAAATCTTAACGAAAACAAGAGCTGTTTCGGCTGCTACTGAGACAGCTAACAAGCCTGCAACTTCGAATTTAGTAGAAAAAACGAGGAAATTCCAAACCACACAATACTTTGTAGGCCTACAGTGTTTTTGGTAATGGCACTCATGAGAAATAAAAAACAAGGAAATTAGCGGATCCAAGGAATAGTTGCATGCCTGTAAAAAGAAATCAGGTGATCCAAGAAAACGGTAGGCCTACATTTTATTTTACAACTGTCTATTCCTTCCTCCATGACCAATATAGGCCTAAATTAATAACAACTTTTTAAATACACTTTTAAAATTTTTAAAATCATAAATAGGGGGCCTTGGCCTATTTCAACTACTAACTAGGTTCTAGTTGAAGGCAGAATTTTTACATTTTGGGATTTATAAAAGTGGTCATGATGGAAATGTGAAGTTTGGATGGTTTCAAAATTAGTTGTCATGTTTGTCTCAGCTGATGGTGATCAGATCTGTGGTGATATTGATGGTTGACATGGTTGAATGAATTAAATCAACATGACATGAACACCTGAACACTTTGCCATGTTTGACACAAAAATGAGTGAGAAAGAGTGCTGTGTTCATGGTGTTTGACAGGAAGTGAGTTGGTCAGGCAATAAACACTGTCACTGTTCGTGTTTACATCACTATGTGAGTTGAACGGCATAACAGCAACCCGAATCCCCACCCAGCATGTGTGGCCCGGGCCGGGTGGGTGTGTACGCGGTTGACTGTCAAAGACAACTCACCAGGACATCGTTACAAATCTCGTTTAATTCGCCCTCGATCTTTTCACGGTACTCCTTTGCCATTTGTTGCTTCCTGTCACTGCCCTCGGACTTCTGCTCGATACTGCTGATGACCCTCCAGGACGAACGCCGAGCACCGACGACATTCTTGTAAGCAACAGACAGCAGATTCCGTTCCTCGTTGGATAGACCGGTCGGATTGGGCGACTTTATATCTAAAGTTTCTGTCACACTTTTCATGGCTGCCGCCATGTCATCGTACCGCTCTGCCTGCTCGGCAAGCTTCGCACGCTGTACCAGCTGCTCCTTTTTACTTTCTCCGTCACTAGACATCGTGAAAATGACTGAAAAACAGACAAATTACGGAGGAAAGGATACGATCACTACAAGTCTACAAACTCATTCAATTTCTCCGAAAAGGGACGATCAGTTCCTGATCACAAAATGGCGGCTACTACTACAGTCCAGCCCACTAACACTGAAATAAGCAGCAATATTCATCCGCTTAAATCATCCTACACTTCTAATCGAAATTGACACCACCACATAATGTCATTAAAAAAGAAATCGCTGTATACAGTTCATGAATGCATTTTAAAATGCTACAAAAATTCGAAAGAGGTAATTCTGTTTAAATAAGGCATTATTTTTTGACCGGTTCACGACTCGGGCGACCCTTGCTAAAATACACGTTAGACTAGACCGGCATATCACACACCGTGCCCTTTACGTGCACTAGCTGAATGCACGTACAGTGCTACTACTCCATTAGGCCAATATGCCTTTTCTTGTGTGAAGGGTTTCCAGCGGTGAATCACACGGGTTTAGAACGTCACTGTTACCAGGGACACCATTGGTCAGAGTCCTCATTGACTCGAAATGAGATCATCGCAAAAAAATTCCGGGGACTTTTCTATATATGCAGCAGAACGAGTATAATTATTGTACTGAGAGTGCGCGGACATAATTAATGAAAAACCTGCAAGTTTCAACCACATCTTATTATCCATGTGTGTGGGTAGGTGGCACATGAGCAGTGATTCATAGTCTATATAATCCCTCGACATGTTGCACAAGATCAAAAGGCGATGGGGGATTTGGACGAAAGCGCGCCACTTGAAGAATCATTTAGTTTCGAAATAACTAGAGTGCACGTGGAGATCCCACTACACTAATGATGTAGGCGATGAATGGGCGTGACCTCCCCTGGGGAAAGGGGGTGGTTACTTGCTAGCTACTACATGTACGTGCACTATGCCTGCATGGATATCATTTAATTTGCATTTTTAAATTTTATCTGATGACTTTTACCACTAATATCGGATGACTTTTACCACTAATATCGGATGACTTTTACCACTAATATCCCCATCCGTTCAGGCTTTGTGGTTCTATCAACCTATAGATGGGAAACATGATTTGAAAGATTTTTCTTTATTTCCATTTAAAAAAAATCACAAATTGAAATTTGAATGGACAAACTTTTATTTGATTGTGTATTTTATTAAAGCAATACCTACTCTATAAATAGATACTAATATTTAGTTCGAACAAGCGATCTTAGTACGTAGACTCGATGACGTGAAAGGTATTGTAGCTAGGCTGCTATCATGGCACGAATTAGTGGTCAGTATAGCAAGTATATGCAAGAAGAGGTGCCAACTATGGTGGCAGCGGTGGGATAAGGCACACACACACACACAAATATCACCAGAGAAACATGACCAAGACAGCGCTCAGATGCCGGCTTCAGGTCTTTCGAACAATCATTCCCCAGTTAAAAGAAGGAAGCATTACGTCACGACACTACCACCAATAACGTCTTGAGCCGCGCACTAGTGTGAACTTTATTTTTAAAAAATGCACATTATGATAAATGTTTGGAAAACCTATCAATAAAACATTCTCTATGTTTCGTGAGTGAACTCTCGGTACAAAAAGGAGAGTAACCAACCTGCCGCTTGCGAACTGGTTTGTTAATCAGAATTTCCTCCTTTTTTTCGACCCTTCATCAGACCGTTAAGCCAGTCTAGTTTTCTCGCGTCTGAAGTTGGGCATGTTCTTTACTTGGGACGCTTCGTAAAGTTCGTAATACAGTCGGGTACCATTTATCGGGCTGTGATTGTGTATGTATCAACATCATTAAATAAGCACGTTGGTATATGTGTGGTTCCTAGACGTATAACTCACATGGCGAAGACGACTGCAACATCTGCAACGCAAAAGACGTGAAGTTTATTTTCTTTTTGACAGTCACTTTATCTTATACCAGCAATGCCGAAATCGAAAAGAGACAAGAAAAGTAATTGCCTTACTCTTTTTCAATATTGTCACTTTTATTTCATGTCAGTCATGTAGACAAAATTGCTTTTTTTAGCATGCTGAGTGTAGCCCCATAAATGTGGCATATTTACTGGACTGCCTCCGTACGGTAAACATAGGCCACACATCCCCATGTACAAAAACGTGTCGCACTTTGCCAAATTTTGATTTTCACATTTAGGCTTAGTTTTTAGGATTTTTTTGCTTTAGAAGCATACTCACCCTCTTTATAGGCTAGTCAGAAAGTGCTGCCTTTTTCAGATGTCTAATTTTTGTGAAATTTCATGTTGAACTTATTTTGATACGCAAACGTGTAAAAATGAATCTGGAAATTTCACGAAAAATATACATCTGAAAAAGGCAGCACTTTCTGATTAGCCTATAAAGAGGGTGAGTATGCTTCTAAAGCAAAAAAATCCTACAAACTAAGCCTAAATGCGAAAATCAAAATTTGGCAAAGTGCAACACGTTTTTGTACATGTGGATGTGTGGCCTATGTTTACGGAGGCAGTCCAGTAAATAGGCCACATTTATGGGGCTAGCTGAGTGATGAGTTATTTTTTGATAGTGGATATTTTGCCGGAGGTAATGACGGCAAACTAACGATTACTAATGGTTTGCCGGCGGCAATCCATATCAACAGAGGGCGCTGTACTCTTTAAAATAGGGCTGAATTATAAGATGTATTAAATTCCCATCAAAAGTTGTGTAGCACGTTTGGTGTAATGGTTAAGCAAAGGCTCTAGTGAGCGGGATGACTCGCGTTCGATTCCGACCGCACCACATTTTAAAGTTTTTTTTTCTCATCCCCAAATAAATAAGAATATTCTTCTTTTATTATTTTAACATGTCTCAAACATTTTTTGCAGAGTATTACATTTTCTTTTTCAGATTTGTGGCTCTGGAGGATTTTTTTTAAAAGGGAAATAATGTCCGAAATTATAAAATGGTCTGAATCCCATCTTGTGAATACGAGGTAACAACAATAATTTTGGCATGGAGCCAGACTAAAACTTGTCACCGGAAAATGTTGAAGTACAAAAAAACAGTAACTGCGCATGTTCAGTGCATATCCGGCAAACTAACGTTTACTAAAGGTTTGCCGTCTCCGGCAAAATATACACTGCCTTATTTTTTTAGGCAATACAAACAAATGCACAGCGCGCGATGCATGCTTGCTGTGCACATGCAGTGCACATGGTGCATGAATATGATTTTTGGCCACATTTGTAACTAATATAGACTATTTGATTGTTTTGTGTGGTTTTTTTTGTACACAGTATCATTAACAAACACTCGGAAGAAGGGGCTAGAATTGAAACAAAACCTTATCGAGGAGGTAAGTATATTATGAAGTGTTCACGCAGGCGCTTTTTAAAAGTAAAAAAAATGCTGTTTATAAATTGAATGAAAGGGAGGACATACTTGTTCGGGGAAAAATTATTATTGTACGGTTTATTTTGATATAGCCTGCATGTAGGATTGATTCACAATATGTTTGTACAATTCATGACAGGTCCGAGCGAGTGTTGATAGATATGCCAGAATCTTCATCTTCTCAGTGGAAAACATGCGAAACAGTAAAATTAAAGATGTCAGGAATATGTGGAAACACAGTCGGTAAGTCAATCACAGCGTAGAGCTTTACGATCAGAGTTTGGTATTTTATCTGCAAATTGGTATTGTAGTCAGGTCTATCATAAGTCCAGTCACAAGTAAATCACGGGTCCTCCCAAGTCCGATCACAAGTTCTGGAGATGAACAATTAACAGAGGAATGCCTTTGTACCAGTGTATTTGAATTGGGACTGGACGACTTATGATTGACTTGTGAGGACTTTTGATTGACTTGTGAGGACATTTGTGATAGACTTGTGAGGACATTTGATTGACTTGTGAGGACTTTTGATTGACTTGTGAGGACTTGTGATTGACTTGTGAGGACTTGTGATAGACTTGTGAGGACTTGTAAGGACTCTTGATAGACTTGTGAGGACTTGTGATTGACTTGTGAGGACTTGTGATGGACTTGTGAGGACTTGTGATAGACTTGTGAGGACTTGTGATTGACTTGTAAGGACTTTTGATGGACTCAGCTACAACACTGGTGCACAACGAGCTCCTGAAAAGATTGGGTATTGTGGTCATTTGTTATGTATTATGCTTTAAATGATAGTATATAAAATGTACCACATGTATTTTTGTTGTGTTTTGCAGGTTTTTCTATGGAAAGAACAAAGTGATTGCTGTGGCCCTTGGTAAGGACAGGGCGGGCGAGTACCGCGAAGGTCTACACATGATCAGCAGCAAACTGAAAGGCAACGTGGGGTTACTGTTTACCAATGAAACCAAGGAGGCAGTCATTGAGTAAGGCTACGTCCAAATTACTTGGCTGCGGCTTGCGATTGCACATGCACCTATGGAACCGGCTGAGGCCACTAGCCATGGACGTGTATTGCTACTGAGGGTTATGCATTTGATGTATAAACAACAGTTTTTAATTTTTGTACAGACTACAGTTTTCACATCTTGTTCTTGTTTTGTAGGTGGTTTGATGAGTACGTGGAGCCAGATTTTGCCCGATCAGGAAATGTCGCCCGATCAACGGTGGTTCTGGATGAGGGACCCCTGACGCAATTCACCCACTCAATGGAACCGCATCTAAGACAACTAGGACTTCCAACATTACTCAAGAAAGGTCAGTCAGGAAGTGTTTTCAAGTTGAGCTACTTGTGATGGATCACAAGCATGTCTCAAAGACAACACAAGCATGTCACAAGCATGTCACAAGCACATAACAAGCACACCACAAGCACAACACAAGCACATCACAAGCACAACACAACACAAGCACGCCACAAGCACATCACAAGCATGCCACAAGCACATCACAAGCACAACACAAGCATGTCACAAGCGTGTCACAAGCACATAACAAGCACAACACAAGCAGATCACAAGCACAACACAAGCATTCCACATGCACATCACAAGCACAGCACAAGCACAGCACAAGCACAACACAAGCACAACATAAGCATGTCACAAGCACATAACAAGCATGCCACAAGCACATCACAAGCACAACACAAGCACATCACAAGCACAGCACAAGTACAACACAAGCACAACACAAGCATTTCACAAGCACATCACAAGCATGCTATGGTTTTAATTTCAGGAAACTTTACTCTGAAAAATTTATAACGACAGTACCCAAGTCAAACGACAAATGGCTGATCGTGTTACCCTGGAATTGTAATTTATTTTGTCTTAATTATTTCAGGTGTCGTTTTGCTGGTCGGTGAACACACCGTATGCAAAGAAGGTGAACCGCTTACCCCAGAGCAAGCGAGGATACTGGTTAGTATATAATAATTGACTTCTTAAACCTCTTAATCACCCCAATTCACCCAAATACCTCTGTTTATGTTTATATTCTAGAATTTAGACCGAGTTTATTTGAGTATGATGAGATTAGTGTGTATTTTTCTCACCAAAATAAAACCTGAATATAAAATATCTTTGATTTTGTAGAAACTTCTCGGCAACGCGATGGTCGACTTCAAGATCGACCTTCTGGCAATGTGGTCTAACAATGGGACATTTGAAGATTTGAAAACCTCAGAAGTCACAGATGCGAGGAGTTACCGGACAACACAAGAAACAGAAGAGCGAAGCGACGGGGAGCAAGAAGTAGAAGGAAAGGAGGAGGAAGAAGATGATGAGGAAGAGGAATAAAAACAATTTACCTTGGACTCACCATTTACAACATCAACAGTAAATGGTTTACCATGAGTTCCATGACTGACTTGACCATCGTGGAAAAAAAATCGGCAGAGTTACAGCAATCAACACTAAACAATTCATTTTGAACTCCTCACTCACTTGACTCATGGAAATACTAATGGGTATATGTTATAACCATCAGCAGTAATGGTTTACCATGAGCTAATGACTGACTTAAATTATTGTCATGGAAAAAGTAATTAGTTGGTTTTATAACCATAACTACGAACAGTAAACGGTTTACCATGAGCTCATATCTGACATGACTGTCATGGCAATAGTTATTGGTTGATATAACCAGGTCCATCAATAAACGGTTAACCATGAGCTCATGCATGATTTGATTGTCATGGAAATAGTAAGTAGTTGTAATAACCAGAACTATCAACAGTAAACGGTTTACCATGAGCTCTTGACTGACTTGTCCGTCATGGAAATAGTTAATATTTGTTGATTGGCATAAGCAGAGCCATCAACAGCGGTTTACCATGGGCTCATGCACAGTTTGATTGTCATGGAAATAGGAAATAGTAAGTACATGTAGTTGATGTAACCAGAACTGTCGACAGTAAACAGTTTACCGCGAGCTCATGACTGACTTGCCTGTCTTGGAAATAGTAATTGGTTGATATTATAACCAGATCTACCAAAAGTAAACGGTTTACTTTGAGCTCATGACTAACTTGACTGTCATGGAAATAGTTATTGGTTGGTTTAACCAGAACCATCAACAGTAAATGGTTTACCATGAGCTCATGACGGACTTGATTATGATGAGAATCGTAATCGGTTGATATTCCAGCCATCAGCAGTAAACATAAAAGATTCAGATTATCTCAACAGTCGTCAATACACTTGCCACACTAGGACTACTCTCTCGATCTTCTGAACTCTAAACCTCCGGTACCATTTGAAATCCACCAGGGTGTCTTGAAGTATTTTCCAGTTTTGAGGCAGGTAAACCCCAGACTTTACATGGGTTGGATGGAGCTCAAATGTTTAGTTACATACAGGGTGGTGCAAAAAGAAGGAAACCCACTTTTGACAGCAATTTTCTTGGTATTAAAATATTGATCTTTAAACAGAAAATACGAAACAATTATTGCAAATGCATATTTTGTCTCTGAGATACGGTAGTTAAAAATTTCATGTGCCAAACCTGTTTGTCCACGGACTGCTTTATTCCACCCGCAGAGCTCCGGAGCTTGATTTGAAGACGACAAACACTACACTAGACTTACACGTGGACAGCAGTGATTTGGGTGACTTTTATTATTAGCATAATAGCACTATTCTTGTGTTTTTGTAAATACATTTTTTCACCATGTAGGGCCTAGGTTGAAGAGCTATACTTCACTACATTATAAGAAAACAGTTCAAATGAGTCAAGTAAGTAGGTAAAATTCCTGTCAAAAGTGGGTTTCCTTCTTTTTGCGCCACTTTGTAGCATGATTTTATGCACAGTGGAGGATTATTATCAATATGTAATGCTGAAGAACTGTTAATCTGTATCTTTATGTATCGATTATGGGGTTTATGGTTAATCGTATGGGTGAAACTCTTTGGGCCATGTATTAAAATCCGATTTTCACGTTTTGGGCAGCACCTGGTCTAAAAACAATCCAGTATATTCCGTTTTAAGTATTGTAAATGAAAGACAAATAAATACAACCGAAAAAGACAACTGTTGCGATTTTGTTTGTCGATTCACCTTTTATTTGTATCGCAAGACGCGTACATACATGTGTTTGGACTTTTTTACACGCCTGTAGTATTTGGGCCGTCGTCATTGCAAAGCAAACATACATAGTTTTTAAAGTATGCGTTAATGAGCGAGTTGTATAATTTTACACTGTAAACAGCGGAAAACCAACTGACACTGCCAAAAAGAAGTGAAATTTCGTTCCTTTGAGGCGTACATGTACAATGGTATATGTCATTTGGCAAAAAAAACCATTGGCATCTACGATCGATAGGTCTATCGTTTTGCATGTAAGAGCAAGAAAACTGACTTATAAACTCAACAACAGAGGGCCCCGGCCTCAGTGTGGAAGCAGTTGATATATACCGGCCACGCCTGAGGGTCAAGATGATTTATAGCCACTGCAAGGCTGTTGCTGACGTTTGTTACTAACTAACCAACCAACGAACCAACTAACAGAGAGACACGTGCCAATTGTTGAGCTGCTGTTCCGCAGATAAAAAGGTCTGTATGTTTTTAATCAGGCTAGCCAAAATAAAACAAAATGTGTTGCCCCTCCCCCTCCTGGCCCACCACCACCGATCCCCCCCCCCCCCCCCCCCCCCCCGGCCGGATCTTTGAATACACCCGAACCAGTGTGTACAAAATGCTTAACTCGAAAATATCAAACAGTCGTCAACTCGGCATCTCTGATTTTTTTTTTTGGGGGGGGGTTAAAACACTCAGATCTCAGTGACGTATGATCATATGATGGGTGGACAATCTTTGGCGGGAAGAGAAGTTTCAAGTCACGAATTTGAGTATGACAGTAGAGCCAGTCTATTTCTGAACATTGCGCAACAAGCTGCGTGCGTTTTGTTTTTTAAACTACATGTACAGGGAACCAGCCAAAAGTTGAATTCGATTCAATATTTAAATAGTGGAGACCTGCTAAAAGAACCACGAGTTCATTCGTAGTTGGGCACATGACCGAAATTTGTCAGGAACCGATTTACACCCCATGGAGATATACATACCTCCCCCCGTGGCGAAACAAAATATACAATTACTTCAAATTCAAAGATTTAATTTATTCTTTACAGACACATAGTACAAATTCAATTGATATAAAACAGCAAATTCTTGCTTTAAATATATATGTTTGATTGTGGTGTTGAGCACAGGACAGTTTCATTATTTATGACGAACATGACGTCACGCGTAGTGATATCGATTTAAAATGCATAAAAGGAAGCAATGCCGTGTTCTTTTCCTCTACCATTTTTACGCGGAGCGTTGTGTGTGCAGAACTCGTTCACACAACCTTTAAAAAAACGTTCCTTTGGAACACAAAAATACAAAAAAAAATTCAAAAAGTGAAAAATAAAACTTAAAAAAAAATACGTTCAACTGACTGCTTATTGCTACAGACGAGGAAACTACGAGATTTACATACTCCCCAGAATCTACGGCGAAACGTAAGTCACATCTGGAAAGTTTCGACATGATCATTCAATGATTGACACGCCTAGCCGGTCATGCCGGTAGCGATTGTATTTAATTCCAGGAACTTTTGTGAACATGTCGCAATCGGCCTAAGCTAACGTTTAGTTTCCTTCTTCCATGGTCAATGTAGCTTCTGTTTTGTCTCATTTGAGCACGATTAATGGGGATTCTTCTTTTCAAAATGTGATTTAGCGTGAAATAAAGAGTTTCGTGTGGAGTGATTTTTAATATCCCTCCTTTTTCTGCAGTGAGAGCATTTTCAGAGTGGCAGTCACATTATTGGCAGTCATTGGCATTGAGTGACACTGCACTGCCAGTGTGCCACTTCCAGCGTGTCCAGTGTTGGGTGTAGTGTAGGTTATGACGTGTTGTATTCAAATTACATTTTCATCTTGTAATTCTTAAACCTATTATTATTAATATTGTGGGTAGGCCTACACGTGTACTAGCTGGAGTTACCCAGCCCTGAGTTTTATCATTGGGTTGTCATCTAGGGCTGGAGCGCATTTTTCTCAAAACTTGTAGTATTTGCAAAAAAAATTTGGAAAATGTTCAATTTTGTCCCCGTTACACACTAATTGCAACTGCAACTCACCCCAAACTTGCCTGGAATAACCATTACACAGGTCCTTGAAGTAAAAAACGATCCACGATGAAGATTCAGCCTACAATTGCAGTGAAAACAGGAGGAATAACCGCTAACTTGACAACCTTGCTGGATTGGCCAGGACCGCTATTGGTTTGTGCACAAAAAAAATTGTGTACAATGAATGGCGGTCGATTAACAGGCACAGAGAGCGATCGCTGTCAACTACTCGTTTTGCCGGCTGCGCTGGCCGTTGGCGCATGACGTCACGCGGAAGCGTAACACCCGATGACTGTTTCATGCACTATTGGTTGCGGTTCCAGTACCAAAGCTGTGATGCGAGTGGTAAACCTTATACTAGTGCATGAAACAGTCATCGGGTGTTACGCTTCCGTGATAATCTAACCCCATGTGACCAATTTACTGGACTAGGCCTACCTCCGTTATTTATGAAGATAGTCCAGTAAATTGGCCACATTTATGGGGCTATCGATTATCCAGAACTGTCACACTGACTACTGTATAATCTAATTTTATACCGAATAAAATTGGCAATGAATCCTGCCTTCCATCTCAACATTTTCCCAAAATCTGTCCGTTTTGGGTACACATTTGAATTGTTCATGACCACTGACTCGAATTAAGAATAAGAAATCATTTGGAGAGAAAACTGGGAAAAAAACTGGAAGAAAACTAACTGGAATTTGGAAAGAAACATGACCAAAAAAGGACTAAAACCATGTTGATCGCAAGTGCCTTAACTGGAAATGATTGTCTTTTATCAATATTGTAACTAAAGTGATTCTACTCAATGGCAAATATGCAATTTTGTGGAATCTAGGACTACTTGTGATTTGCATTGAAAATATACATGATATTATAAACTGACATTGACGGAACTGAGTGAAAACATCAACGTAGGCCTATTTCAGTACTTGATTAAAACTGGGCATTGCTCTTCAAGTATTAAAGGGCAAATACAACATTTGCAAACATCAAGAAATGAAACTACCAAATTATTTTGAAATACCTTGCTGGACTGTTAGTGAATGACAGTCTAAAGCATCCTGTAAACTCATGGCACCTGGTATACTGTCATTTTCAGAGAAATTGGGTATTTTTGTATCAATTTCCAACGTTGGTCGGCCGACCAGCGTTGGAAAAAACTGGCTTTTTTTTCAAATACTGGCCCCAATTGACTATCGCATTTGTTTGCAATCGATTACACACTTATGAACGGGTACAAGCCAGCTAGACTGGTTCCCTGACCTTACAATTCCCCAATGTCTATAAACTGCTCCATTTCCTCTTGAATGGAGTAAGGGAACCAGACTACAGGAAATTGATTGTTTTTCTTGGTTTTTGTAGCATCTGCGAACCCAAAACCTAAAAAAAGTCAGTGTAACAATATTTGCTATATATTACCAACCCCCAAAATCCATCCATTTCTGAAAATTACAGCAAAAGCAAATGATGTATATTCCCTTTATGATCTACACTTTTTTTCCCTGAACATCCTTTTTACTGATCAATAATTCTTTCCTTTCAGCCAATACCTTGAATAAAAATGAATACTGCTACTGGTGCCAACTATCCCATGGGTTCCCTGTACGTCGGTGACCTGCATCCCGACGTGACCGAGTCCATGCTGTTTGAGAAGTTCTCCTCGGCCGGACCCATCTTGTCCATCCGTGTGTGTCGTGACATGATCACTCGTCGATCCTTGGGATACGCCTATGTCAACTTCCAACAGCCTGCCGACGGTACAGTGAAGTTAATTAACCCTAGCAGAACTCAACCCATCAAACCCCAACGGCATGTTTTGTTGGAATCTGTCGGGATGGGTACAGTACCCCTAAACTGACTTTTAACTGACCTAAACTGTCTTTTACATTGGGTTGGCACACCTCCAGGAAAAAAAGTCAGAAATATGTGTGCAGTTTCCCATATGGTGTTGAAATTTGCCAGGATTGGTATGGTTCCTAGTAAAAAAGGCTAGGGAGTTACGGTTAACCCAAACTTCCAAGGCATTTTTGCTACGATGTAACCTCAATCCTGCAATATCCTCCAACTGCCTCCGTGTAAAAATTGCTGCAGCCTCAATCCTCCAAAAATATCTGTTATTTCTTGAATGTGGTCCTTGGAGGGGTGACCGCTGCCTCAATCCTGCAAAATCCTCCAGCAATCACTGTCAATATGTTGAGGCAGAGCCAGTGACATCCTGGAGCAGTGCGAAGGATTTCAAGCGTAATCTAGGCCTAAATTTACGCACGGCTGAGCATAAACAACACATGGTCTGGCCTAAGATGTAAACACAGTGTATCCTTCAAAATCAGCCACACGTTTTTGCCATGTAGCCTCAATCCTGCAAAGTCCCCCATTTTGCAAAGATTATTATGAAGAATTTGGGACGGTTAGAGTTAAAGATGGGGCTTGCTATTATTACAACTTTAGACATGACCATCTGAAATTTCATTCGCTGTCTCTCTGAACCAAAGATTACGACAATTGAGCACGCTTGTTGCATCCTTTTTTTTATTTACAGCTGAGCGCGCTCTTGACACGATGAACTACGACACATTGAAGGGCAAACCAATCCGTATCATGTGGTCCCAGCGCGACCCGTCCCTGCGCCGCTCCGGCGTCGGCAACGTCTTCATCAAGAACTTGGACAAATCCATTGACAACAAGGCCATGTACGACACCTTCTCTGCCTTCGGAAATATCCTGTCTTGCAAGGTAGGCCAGTTTCATACTCGCAAAAACGCACAAGCACTGTGAGAAATGTACACAAACCAAACCAAAGATGGGCGGGGCTTATGCCCAAATTTGGAAGGGTCCATTGTGATGCCATACAGTGTACCAGAGAGAAGGGCCCATGCAATCTAATTTCCTTTAACCCTAACCCCCTAGACCTTTTTGCTGGGAACCATCCTCAATCCTCCAAATTTTTTTAATTTTTCAAAATTTTCAGAAAATTTTCAGACAGTCCTGCCTCAAAATGCATTCATCCTCAATCCTTCAAAATCCTTCTGATCCAAAAATGTTCAAATGAAGGGTACCCAGCCCCTCAATCCTTCAAAATCGTCAGACAGTCCTGCCTCAAAATACCATTCAGCCTCAATCCTCCAAAATCCTTTTCTGAACCAATACCATTCAGCCTTAATCCTCAAATGCTTTTCAGAAAAAATACCATTCAGCCTCAATCCTCCAAAATCCTTATTTAAAAAAAATACCATTCAGCCTCAATCCTCCAAAATCCTCCGAAACCACAATGAGGATTTTGGAGGATTGAGGAGGGTTAGGGTTAATACAGTCCCTGAAAATGCACATTTGTGTCCCATTGAACCTAATTTTCAATATATCAGAAGCTGGGTGCTATATTTGCCTTTTTTTTTTTGAAAATCGAAACTTTTTGCAAAAATAATCCCGTCCCGGAGTGGTTCATAAGTGTTGGTGTGATTTGCTTGTTTTAGGTTGCCTTGGGCGAGGACGGCTCCAAAGGCTACGGCTTCGTGCATTTTGAGACTGAAGACTCCGCACTGAAAGCCATCGGCAAAGTCTCTGGCATGTTGCTGAACGGCAGGAAAGTGTAAGTTGACAAAGCAGACTGACCTTTTTTTAACCCTAAATGTTCAAACCCTGTTGTCGGACATTAACCCTAGCCTCCTGAACTCCATCAAAACCCATCCCCCCCCCCCCCCCCCCCCCCATTTTGGTGGATTTTGGGGGACTTGGTCCTGCAGGCAAGGTTCGACTGAATATTGATGGAGTATGATGGACAAAATTGCAACAGTGGATTCTGTTGCATTGTGCAGTGAACCCAGTGCATACCAGCCTTGGCACCAAGCAGTGACCCTGCTAAATGCAACCAAATGCAACAGTGGATCCTGCTGTATTGTATTGCCTTGGCGCGATTAGCAGTTACCCTGCTAAATGCAACAAGATGCAACAAGCATGGGGACTCGAGTTGCCTGCTAAATGCAACAGTATGCAACAACTTGTTACTTTTGTTGGTTTCTGTTGCATTTAGCAGGGTAACATCAAGGAGTGAATACATGAACAGTGTGGTACATTGTCATACAAGTGCCAATGGTTAATACAAAAGTCAATTTTGTTCTTGTTTTCTATATTTGACAGGTACGTAGGACGATTCAAGTCCAAGAAAGAGCGTATGGCCCACCTCGGTGACCAGCGCAAGAAATTCACCAACGTGTACCTCAAGAACTTTGGCGACGAACTGGACGAGGACAAGATTAAAACCATGTGTGAAAAGTTCGGCCCGGTGACGTCAGTGAAAGTGATGGCTGATCCGACAGGACGCAGCAAGGGCTTCGGATTCGTCAGCTATGAAGATCACGGTGCAGCAGGAAAGGTGAGCGGTCGACCAACCGGACGCAATCTTATCAATAAGGCCTGTTTGTTTCATTCCAGATCCTGATCGAGATCATGTGATCCAGGGCCGTGCGAAAACGAATTCTTTAGGGCGCCCTCTGCATATGAACACATGAGACCAATTTCGTCTGCATCAGATTTTGTAGCAAGCAAGGCTATTTTTATGATAGCTATCCATAATTTGCAGAAAATGAACATCAGTCATGTTACCCCAACCCCCTAGGCCTGTTTTGCTAGGAACCATCCTCAATCCTCGAAATCCTCCAACATCTACATCCTCACCACTTGTTACCAAAACTACAGGGTGAGTAAAAAAAAACACCGAAACCCAAATGTCGGGACCATTGTTTTAGTGAAGTTCTGCATGTAGCACTTTCAAAATCTGGGATAAGAAAGCCCAATTCATAAGCTTTCTTTTAGTACAAGAATCATTCAAATCACTCGTGTACTTTCGAAGTTACGGAATTTTAAACACAACCACCATTTTATAGTTCTGTCCACAGATAAACAGATCTTTCAGCAAAACGAAAACAAATCACAATAGGGATGTGTGTGAATTGTTTCGTTTTCCTGAAAGAATGCACACCTTTTTTTGTGATCCGTGGGCAGAACTTTAAAACGGTGGTTGTGTTTAAAATTCCGCAACTCCAAAAGTACATGAGCGATTTGAATGATTCTTGTTCTAAAAGAAAGCTTATGACTTGAGCTTTCATATCCTAGATTGTGAAAGTGCTACATGCAGAACTTCACTAAAACAGAAGTCCAACATTTGGGTTTCACTTTTTTTTACTCGCCCTGTACATCCTCACCACTTGTTATTAAAAGGTATCGTGGAGAGGTGGTTAGGTTGGGTCCTGATCCTTGCATGGCTTGGGCATGAGGCCTATCGTCAAATGTTCACCGCAGTCTGCAAGGAAACGAAATGGGGAGATCTGTTAGGTAGTCTCTGGATCTCACGTTCCTGGTATTAACCCTAATGTTCCTGAATCCATCAAAATCCACACCCCTGTTTCGGCGGACTCAGGATACCTCCATATTGAAAAAGTAGGGGGACTTTGATGGATTCAGGACATGAAGCCTAGCGGTACTGCAGGATTTTAATGGATTCAGGATACCTCCATATTGAGCAGTTGGGGGACTTTAATGGATTCAGGATCTCAACAGATTTTCTTCCCGGCTAACTGGTGGATTCTGATGGACTCACTGGCCACCAGCATTTTTTTGCACGGCAAAATTGATGGATTTTGGCGGATTTAGGATACTTTCTAGTAAAAAGGCCCAAGGGGATAGGGTTAAGGATCCATTTTAATCAGAGTATGTTTCTAATAAGCTCCATTGTTGATCATCTTTTTTTCCAGTTTGTGGAGGAAATCAACGGCCAGGTCGTCAACGGAAGGACCTTGTTTGCTGGACGTGCCCAGAAAAAGAGCGAACGACAGCAAGAGCTCAAGGCTCGTTTTGAAGCGTTCAAGCAGGTTGGTTTCATGTGTACAGTAAGGCTGTATCGAGTGTGACCAGCTCCATCGAAATGAGAACAGTTTCCACAATCAGATCCTACACTTCGGGGCATTGATAGAATTTTGTCACTGATACAACAAGAGTAAGCGAATTGCTTGATTGTTACCCATTTATCGTTTGATACTCATGACCTTCCTATGTAAACATACATTTTGTGCCATGTTGTCCTTGCAGTCAAAATCAATCAAGTGACTGTTTTCAGCTGTTAAGAGCTCCCAGCCTACATAAAGCAGGATTGACTGGCTGTGACTGTTTACGTACCTTGATACAGCTATGCTTTGACTGTAGGTGATTGATAAGCCAGCTGTGCTTACCACTTGCCTGTTTTTATCTGTTGACTGAATATGACTGGTCACAGTGCTTGCTTGAAATATGATCTGAGTGTTGGTGACTAGCCTGTGTAAAAGGCACAGCGGGGGAAGAGGATTGATGTTTTGACTGTCTGTGACTGTTCAGGTAGCAGGAGGGTTAATGTTGTAGTTGTGATACTTGTAACCGATCGCAAGACCATCACAAGTCATAGACACGTGAATTAATTTGTGAAGTACTTGTGACTGGACTTGTGATCGTCACAAGTACCCTAACTACAACACTGATGCTCACTCTTACGACTGTTTGTGACATAGGAGCGTAGCAGCCGTTACCAAGGCGTCAACCTGTACATCAAGAACCTGGACGACGAGTTTGACGACGAGAGACTTCGCAAGGAGTTCACCAAGTTTGGCTCCATCACTAGCGCCAAGGTAAGAGCAGCTGGTCATGTTAACGTTCAGTGAATCTTTGGTGTTTACCTGAAGAACCTGATATCACTAAATAAAAGATCAACTCAAAGCTTTCCTGTGCCCAATTTCACGGCGCTGCTAAGCACGCGATTTTCTGCTAACCGAGCCTTCGTCTATTTCATGGAGACCGTAAGCATAATTACAGCAAAAGGCACGCTTACTTTCGGAGGAAAAATTTGCTTAACTTAGTGACGTAACAATAGAAATCTCCATGCACACCCGACCGTTAGCACGTCCATGCCGTGAAATAGTGCTTAAGGTTAGCAAATTTGTCTGCTATGCTAAGCACAACTTTTCTGCTAACTGTTAAGCAGCACCGTGCAACAAGGTCGTATCTTGACATCCATTGACTTTGTGTGTACATCCGGGTTATTTTGAGTTGAGATACGACCTTTTGATATTCTGAAACTCGCATTTCACATACGGCCAATTTTAGGAGATACAGCCTTGTTGCACGGACATGACGACATGAAAACAAAGCGTGACGTCATCAGTACAGACGTTTATTACAAACGGGCTGAGTTCGTCCTGGTATTTTTTGGCGTCACGTTCCTCAATTGTCTTTGTTTTGTTAGGTCATGATGGATGAGACAAACACCAGCAAAGGTTTTGGCTTCGTTTGTTTCTCGTCTCCCGAGGAGGCCACCAAGGCCGTGACGGAGATGAACGGCCGCATCATCGTGGCCAAGCCGCTGTACGTCGCCCTGGCGCAACGCAAGGAGGAACGCAAGGCACAGCTGTCCAACCAGATGATGCAACGTGTCTCCAGCGGCATTCGTGTGGTCAGTATTTAAATCATTAACCCATAATAATTATAATAATAATAATGATCTTTTACAAACATAATTATGCGCGTGATGTATTCACTTCGGTACTCCGGTATATTTTGGCGGATTCAGGATTTTTTCTAGTAAAAGTGCTCAAGGGGTTAGGGTTAAAATATTGACACTTTAATTTTGGCACAGTCGTGTGACAAAATGTTTGGATGTTTCTTTTGGCAAGACATTGTTCACAGGTGACATGGGCTGTTCTCTCATATCCAATTTCTGCCAACTGTTGAGTAAATTTTACCTACCTAATGCTTTGAGGTTAGACGTTAGTAGAATGCCATCGTCTGGTGGTAATTGTGTTTGACTCATGTACGGTGGTGCGTGGGTACAAACCCTGCCAGAAACATGGTGTGTGTGCCTTTGGGCAAGACACTTGACTACAATTGCCTCGCTCCACCCAGGAGTATGAATGGGTACCTGTGAGGGTTGAGGACCGATTGAGCGCTGATATCGACTGCCGCGTGGTCTCGTGGCCTGATGAAAGGGGGAATAAATGTAAAGCGCTTTGAGATTGTTGATACGATGGAAAGCGCTACATAAGCATTACAAATTTCATTATTAGGAACAGTACATGAGGTTGTCTCAGAGTTATCCTGAAAATTGCCTTGTGTGTGTAAGTCTGATAAGGTTCAGGTGGAGACCATCAAGTTCATCGGTTATATTTGACCGTGTCATTTCTGGTTGATTCCAACAGCCTCCCCAGCAAGTGGGTCAGGTGTTCCCCAACTACGGCAATTACTACACCCCGACCATCCCGCCGACCCAGCGGAGCATGTACACCGCCGGCCAGGTCGCCCACGTCCGCAACCCGCGCTGGCCGGCGCCTCAAGCCCGTCCCGGTGCCCCGTCGTTCCAGACCATGCCTGCTGGGGGTAGGCACCAGTTTGCCGGGAACCCGCGTGCTGCCGCCGCCGGGGCCACGCCCACGCGTCCTGTTCATCCTCGAGTGCCACTGCAGCCGGCTCCGTCTGCTCAACAACGCGTCACTGCCAGTAAGTTGATAGATATTGAAAGATGCTGTAATACTGCTAGTTTTGATAATCAAAATTGGCCCTAAACTTTATGTACCATTATATGTTCTATTCTCTGGCAGTCTAAGGGTTTACATTAACCTTAACCCCCATCGGGTATTCTTTAGGTACCCTGCTAAATGCAACAATATCCAACTCAACTCAAATGAGAACCCTGCTAAATGCAACAATCTGCAACAGTGGAATCTGTTGCATTGTGCAGTGAACTCAGAGAATACCAGCCTTGGCACTAATCAGTTACCCTGCTAAATGCAACCAACTGCAACAGTGGAATCCGTTGCATTGTGCAGTGAAGCCAGTGCATACCAGCCTTGGCACTAATCAGTTACCCTGCTAAATACAACCAACTGCAACAGTGGAATCCGTTGCATTGTGCAGTGAAGCCAGTGCATACCAGCCTTGGCACCAAGCAGTTACCCTGCTAAATGCAACCAACTGCAACAGTGGAATCCGTTGCATTGTGCAGTGAAGCCAGTGCATACCAGCCTTGGCACCAAGCAGTTACCCTGTTAAATGCAACCAACTGCAACAGTGGAATCCCTTGCATTGTGCAGTGAAGCCAGTGCATACCAGCCTTGGCACTAATCAGTTACCCTGCTAAATGCAACCAAATGCAACATTGGATTCTGTTGTATTGCCTTGGCACTATGAGCAGCTACCATGCTAAATGCAACAAAGCACAAGGACTTGAGTTGCCTGCTAAATGCAACAGTATGCAACAACTTTTTACCTTTGTTGCTTTAACCCTAACCTCCTAAGGGCTCTTTGGGGATCAAGGACCACATACCACAGAATACTACATGTGTTGTGCACACTTGTATGGCAAGAAATGCATACTACAGGATACTACTCAGTAGTATTTGGTAGCTTTAGGTGAGGTTAGGGTTAAAATATTTGAATGACATAAAACACGCAAGTTCACATCTGTAATCTTACTTTAGTTGTAAAGTTGCGGTGTTTTAATGTCAGAAGTAACTTTTGTAGGCAGCGGAGGTTCATAGTTCTCATCTTTTTAGCAGGCTAAAGCCCTTGACAGTTAAAAATACTTACTGCAAAACCTTCCATTGGCCATAACATCAATTACTGCTTGCAAATTTGATGTGACACGCTTTGCGTACAGCTTAGTTGCAGCTGGCATGGGTAAACTTGATTGACAAGTTTCAAATATTCAAATATTCGGTCAAATAAAGTTTCGAAGAATCAAAAACTTAATTATTAGGCGAAGTAAAAAAAAAACATGTTTCTCGTCCCCGCCCACTTCCTTTTTGGAGGCCGCCTGGATTTTTTTATTATTTTTTATTTTTGAAAAATGCAGTAAAAAAACACCGAATAAGTCCACAAATTCATCGGAAAATAAAGTGTAGACCGATACAAGTCTAAATGACACTGTAAATATGTTCAGTTCTCTTGTCCAACTTATCTTTCATTTTAAAAGTGTCTTTGAACAGTGGAAACACCAACAATTGCAGGAAATTTTTGAATGGCGGCCATCTTGAAAAAAATAAAAAGCCCCGCTTCCTCCTTTTTTTCGAAAACCCAGACGAGAAACATGGGTTTTTTTTTATTCGGCCTTAGAAAAATTTGACAGCCCTGTTACAAAAGTTGAACCTGTGTTTGGTTGGATCTTGTAGATATCGCAGCCCAGAACCCTCAAGCGATGCGTATCGGCGCTAACATGCCCGTCCCAGCTGGTGTCCAGCCGAGAGCCATGAAGTACGTCCCAGCAGCTGCAGGTGCTCGCAACCCTCAGCTGGTCCCAGCCATGCCTAATGCCGCTCAACAGGTAAGCAAGATAATTAAACGTGGGGGGAGCTAATGTCCTTACTAGCAGCAGAAGCTGAATTGTTAAGGACACAGCTACAACGTGGTTGAGCCGAAGGCATGTAACGGCACCTTAGGCAGCTGCCATTAAACTCGTATCTTAAAGCTACAGTCCATCATTTCCAGCTATCCAAAAAGTAACTGCCGAATTATTGGGGACTAAACTCCCTGTGAAATTATTCTTTCTGACAAGCTGTCATTTTGAAGAAATCGGCGAAAGAAGGCCTTTCCAATGGTGCGTCTAAAGACGCACCGTTGGAAATTTCCGTTTCTTTTTTTTTTATTCGGCAAAGCGCTCGTGACGCACACGCGTGCCCATTTGCTATAATTCGTCGGATCGGTAAACGACATCGCGTAGCTGCAATCGGCTCAGTGAGAACGTGTCTCAGACGCTGAATTCAGGCCCAATTGAAAACATGATTCAGCAACTTTTTATTTGAAATCACGATCCTAGAATGCTGTTTTTCTCGGAATATACAGCTGAAGCCGAGCAGAAACTTCATTCGGTTAGTTGTGCAGCACCCTTCTTTAGATTTTGAGCGCGTTTGTTGCTTCAGACCAACAAAATGCACAAATTACAAATGATGGACTGTACCTTTAACCACAGAGCACATACAGATCGAAAGTGTTGATTTTGGTTGAGAGAGGTAAGCCGGAGGATAAAGCCTCATGGCACAGGAGAGAATCAACGAACAACTCTACTCACTTTCACTCGGGAGGTAACACACCGAGTATACAGTGTTTATACATCGGTGAAGGGCAATACCTAATTTGATTTACATCACCCGACGCAAAATTCCATTTTATGAACAACTCTACCCACTTATGACCCGAGCTGAGAATCAAACCCGCGCTACAGCGGTGAGAGGCAAGCACTTTATGCACTGTACCACCCATGCCACCCATGCTGTGATTGTGAAGAAAAGTAAAAAAAAAAAAAAAAGTTGTCTGTGTTTTCTCCCACCTCTTCAACTGAACGTTTCTTCAGTATTTTCCTTTTGCAGGTTTTCTGAAAATTTGTGAGCTAAGATCCCTGGGCGCTTTTGAGGAATCCGTGGTTTCATTACCAGAAATAAAACAACAGTGAACAAAAATAATTCGTTAGTCTTTTTGTTTGGTCACTCTCAGGCCGTGCCCCAACAGGCCATCGAGGTGTCCGGCCAGGAGCCTCTGACCCCCAGCATGTTGGCCTCCGCCACCCCGCAGCAACAGAAGCAGATGTTGGGAGAGCGTCTCTTCCCCTTGATCCAACGCAGCCACGGCGAGCTGGCCGGTAAGATCACCGGTATGCTGCTGGAGATAGACAACTCGGAGTTGCTGCATATGCTGGAGTCCTACGAACTCCTCAAAGCCAAGGTGAGAACTATTTGCCATATTTTAGACACATCCAGAGGAACCAAATATTCCAGTTCTCCTCTTGTTAACATCATGCGTTCCTTGCGAACCGGGCAGACTGAGTATACGCTTCAGTTTATGGGCCACATGCAAAAGTACCCCCTCAACAGTTCACAAAGGGAGAGTTCGTGGAGACCACTGGGGGACATTTGGGCGATTCACAATGCAGTGCGCCACCAAGAGTTTGCCATAGAGAGTTAATTTTCCCAGTGCGTTGTGGGAGATGGTCGACAAATTCGCAGCGCGGGACATTTGAAATTGTTCGTTTTTCCAGTCGGTAGTTTTTTAAGCATATGATTCGAGTATTTGTTTGCCCTTTTCTTTTCATCAATATGGTGTTTTTTTGTAAGGCAGCAGAACGCTATGCCCCAGTTTATAACATATAAGCTCAAGTTGTCTGCTGACACTCATTCAAATGGGCCGTATTTTGTCGACCGTAAACTTGAATAAAAATGGACTCTCCATGGCAAACTCTTGGTGACGCACTGCATTGTGAATCATCCGAATTGCCGATGGCACCCGACGCTCATGTGAAGATGTTATGAGTTCTCGCTCGAACCTGTACGCACAGGAGAATGCCTAAACATTTAGGGAATCCTTAAAAGGGCGAGAATCCTCAATCCTTAATTGAACGAGAATCCTTAAATGGGCGCGAGTCCTTAAATGGGCGAAAATCCTTAAATGGCAAAGAATCCTTAAATGGGCGAGAGTCCTTAAACGGGTGAGAATCCTTAAACTGACGAGAATCCTCAAGTGGGCGAGAACCCTTAAATGGACGAGAATCCTTAAATGGGTGAGAATCCTTAAGTGGGTAAGAATCCTTAAATGGGCGAGAATCCTTAAATAGACCAGAATCCTTAAATGGGCACTTTGATAGGTTTGATATTTTGTATTTCCAGGTGGATGAAGCTGTGAACGTTCTGAAGGCCCACCAGGCTAAGGAAGGACCCGCCAAGCAAACCATTGCTCAACAGCAGTAAAGACGGGCAGGAAGTCCAGGTACCAGACATCGGGCAGTTTCCCGTCGTCTGTAGCACTAATAAAAGCAGCCAAGAAAACTCCAATATAAAAACACAAAAAAATACACAAAAAAATTGTAAAATGAATGGGAAAATATGAGAGAAAGACAGTTAAGGACAAAAAATAATAGGTCATGTTGTGAACACTTTATATTAAAGCAGCGAAAGGAGGAACAAAACTTTTTTAAAAATCTGAGAAAAAAAAATACATAAAAACAGCAAAATGAAAATTAAGCGGATGGGATAATGGTTGGGAGTTTGTCATCAAGCGTTCTACGCAGAAAGTAAAAGACCAAAAAAAATAGGTACGAACTGAAACCAATTGAAGCTAAAGTATGCCATTGTAAATGGCGTTTATCATAAAAGGAAAAATACAAATAAAAAAAAGGAAAAGATAAAAAATGACAAAAACTTTTAAAAAAAAAAATCTGCAAACTTCAGAATTCAAAACTTCCCATGTCTTTTGTTTTCATGTTTAGCGTTGATCATTTAGCTTAGTTAGGCTTATTCGTTTATTGTACAATTTTAAAATTAGATAAAATGTCCTTGTTTTCAATTCTTTTTATGTTTAATGTGTATCGGTTCTGGGTACGTATTTCTGCTTAGGTCAAATGCTACATGCATGTAGATACCTCGCTTTTCAATCCAGTGGCCAAAAAAAAAACATCATTTACACATTACAAAATCTGGACTCGCCAACTTGGGGCACCATTGTTTCGGCCAAAACACTTTGGCAAAATTGCTTCAAAATAACAAACTGGCGTTTCAAGCGTTGTGCTCCAAGATTCATGCATATCACAGACGTGTTTTTAACAAGCATCAACTTCTACTCAAAAAACCTTCTATTTAATTTCTCATTTTAGTTTGTTCTGTTCCGTGTTTTTCAGTTTAAAAACCCCACAATTTGATCCATAACAGCTACGTCGATGCTACAGCATAGCTTACCAAAATTGAGTCCCAACTTAAAAAATGTTTAGTTTTAATTATTCCCGCTGTTGTTTGTGTTTTGTTTCTGATTATGGTGTAGTTTTAATTTCCGAAAAAAGCTTGTCAATAAAAAAATAAGTTTTGAGTTCAATTTCTTGGTTTTTGGATCGTGTTTTGATTTTGTATTCTTGATGCCATTGGTTAGTCTGAGTATCACCTGTTATCCACGGAGCCAATCTCCTGTATAACGTCTGATATGTCTAGACATGCAGCTATATGCAAGCTGCGCGCCAGCCAATCAGAGTCGACTTTACTAAATCTTGACGTCATTTCATTCCGAAATCGGGACTAAATGGTTGATTGGTCAATTCGAATGCAGTGTTTTGTAATACAACAGCCGGGCGCATATCGCGTAACATGATGCAGAGCGCGTGACACATTTTTTTGTATCCAGTGTCTATGACGCGCAACGGGTGAATGACTGTAGACCCAATATAGAAAGCGCTCACTGATTGGTCAAAATCTAGGAGGTCAAGAGGCGGGGTCTTGCCTAATTAATTCGCCCTGGTCTATTACATAGACTACCCATTGGTAAGAGAGAGTTTTACATAGTTCACATGGTCAATATTTATGGCAAGTTAATTTTTTCAAGATTTCTGGCATTCCATTCATCACAAACTTTGGCAATGACAAACCTTTATAAAACTTAAATACGCTCAAATTATAATTTGCATGTTGCAAAACACTTAAAGTTGGCATATACGTGCCTTTTGGGTGTGGCACCTTGAAAAATCGATTTTCAAATTGATTTGATAATTTCTGGCTTTACATTAGTTATATGAGCTTTCCCCACGAGAAGTAATTCATTAATTTCAACTTTCGATTTAAGAGCAGGAATATTTATAGCATTTCGCTCAAAACTTAGTGAACTGGGGTGCCCCATTTAAAATCAACTGTTTAAAACTGCATATAGGCCTGCAAAAACTAATAAGCAAATTTATTTGTTACAGGACGTTATATTCCTGTTATATATAATATTCGGGAAAGAAAATTGAAATTTTGAAAAAGCAGGTACAGTCGAGTCTCGTTATAACAAACTCGTGCGGACCTAGCCAAATTGTTTGTTATATCAGAATTTTGTATTAAGAGGAACATCAGTCCCATTCATTGTGCATTTAAATGCACAGTTGGGACCAAGGCTTTATGTTTGTTATAACCAGAATTTTGTATTAACAGAGTTTGTACTAACGAGAGTCGACTGTATATACCAACATGTACAATATTTTATTCCAAATAAGAATTCTTTTGGCATTTTACATAGACTACACACCACGAGTTGTAAAGACTTACAAACTAAAAGCTTTTCAAACGGTTCCACAACGAAATGAATCTGTATGTTAATATTTACATAATGCCTTAAATTGAGAACATGCAGTAAAATGTGAACATGATACTTAAATTTTCCATGTTAAAAAAACCCAAGAAACTTGGGAGTATATTTAATTCACCAATGTAATAAAAATATGAGTTTGGCACTCCATACTACATTGCAGCTATTAATAGTTTGACACATTCTGCACTCCATACAACTATCGTTTCCCATGCTGTATTTCTCGCTCTTTGGTAGTCTCCTGCACAAGATGATACATAAAGCTGTAGAAAAAAAGCAGATTATCGTACTGTCCCGAGTACACATCCTTCAAGACGAGCTTGTGAAAGTCGACCATGAAGTAGTAGATGGCTTCGATGGTAGCTAGGTAGGTCTGCGGCTTGCGATACTGCTTTCTCCAAAATGTCGTCAGCCTGTCTTCCAGAATGACGCTTTTTATTCCTGAGACAAAAAAAGGGATAAATACGGTAAAATTTAAAATACTGGACTCGATGAAATCGTAATCGGCACCACGAACTGATACTCACACACTAGTGGATGTCTTTCGTGAAAACTGCGTAATCAACAATTTTGGTTTCACGAACTGACACCCGGGTGTGCGCATGCACATCGGACACTGAAGTGTAACGGAACAGTTTTCGTTTTCACGAACTGACACGCAAGCATGTTGCGGCAATACCATTCGGAGAAAAACGCTTTGAAAAATTTGGCACGAATTTAATCCATCTGTATACTTGCACAAAAATTTAATTGAAAACCTTTTTTTACTGGTGAAATTAAGATTAGTGTCAGTTCATGAAAATGTAGGGAGTGCAGCATGCAGTGCCGCACTGTGGCGTGTCAGTTCGTGAAAACGATTAATGACACGGCTCTGTAAAATACGCGTGTGTGCCAGGCACTCGCGCGCAACCGAGAGTCAGTTCGTGGTGTCTGTGATGAAATACAGACCCCACTATTTGATTTTACGTAGGCCAAGTGTCCGGGGAAAAAAAAAACGTGTCTACATTTCAGCACGGATGGGCAAGTGCCCTTTTCAAAAAAATGTTACCCCCCAATAAAAATGACCGTGCTACGCCACTGTCATTTGTTGTATTGCGCATGCCTCAGAGAGTAGAATTTGAACAGCGACAATTCAGATATGAGACGAAAGCAGTCAAAGAGATCCGATTTCAGAGGAGTCAAAATATTATATGACACCAATAAGCCAGTTCCGTATCTCAATGCAGTAGTCGATGTCAAAGGTCATTCTGGATAAAATCACCGACGTGATGATATGCGATGTTACGTGGACGCCAATTCTGCTTGTAAAAAATAACACGCAAGCGTCGTGCGCCCTTCGCCGTGCGCGTTCATGCGCCTTCGATGAGCGTTCAATCATCCCGAACGGCCCATGACCCATATCATTGTGAGCGTGCGCAGTTAAAATACAACTGGCTTATTTGTAAAGGCCCAAATATTTGCAATATTTCATGGCATTGTCTCATGCACAATATTTGAAACTGAAATCAAAAAGCTTCAGGAAACTAAATCTCTACTGAAGCAGCTACTGGTGTTTGACATGAGGGACTCTTCACATGTACCTGCTAATCTTTCATCTTTGCTAAAAACTCCAGTCTGATTCCAAGTGCAGTCGATGAAAATTACTCTCTCAAACGGCACTGTCTTAGACAATTCTTCGATCTTAGCCCCCTCTTCGATCTTGGCCCCCTCTTCGATCTTGGCCCCCTCTTTGATCTTAGCCCCTTCTTCGATCTTAGCCCCATGTTGTCCACAATGAGCTTCGTCCCTCTCATTAGTTTCTGCATCTCCGCCCAGATGTTCAGGCAAGGTGTTCTCGCATTTTTGGTGGCAGCGGTGGGATTTGTTGTCTTCGTCAGGCGCTACCGAATGAACCAATCCTTTTCCAGGATCAACTAGGGTTTGATTTTTGGCCGGAGAATGATTCGTCTCATCAGCTGAACGTTCAGATAAGATCGTTGGCCGAGTTAGATTGCCTTCGTCTTGCTGACAAGAGCAGCGTGGGGCATCCGACACTTCATGGACCACATCCGTTTGAGAACTAACAGTTGTTGTTTCGGATCTTTTAGGTTCCAACTGGCAACTCTGTGTTCTGGGTTCACTGCTTCCTAGGTGGGTGTTACTGTTGTGTGAGGGCAGGTGTAGCTGAGGTTCGTCTTGCCTATTCCCGCTGTGCTCATCAGGTGATATTCTGAGTTGTTCCATCAACTGCTCAAGAGATATAGCCTCCTTGCACGGGAAGACAAGGAGCAACTGAAAATAAAAACACAAAACGTACCACCATAAATGGTTAAAACGTAGTGTCTTGACAACCCCCCCCCCCCCCTCCCTAAAGGACATGCTCCCTTGATGGGTCATGGTGTCCATCTTCCAATAAACACAGCTCCAAATGCAAAGTAAGTTGGTAAAGTCTGTCACAAGCCAATGTGGCTTATCAGGCCGGCATTTATCTCCGGTTTCAGTAGCATGAAACGACTGAGAATATTTCTATTCCCCACGGATGGGATGCTAGTCCATCGCAGGTTACTCCCCAGCTAATGCTGGTACCCATCTATACTCCTGGGTGGAGAGAGGCAAGTAGGGATGAAGTGGCTTTAACAAGGACACGCAGCCGGATTCGAACCCCTGACCCTCTGATCATGAGTCACAAATGCTTACCACTAGTCCACACTCCCCTGGGTGGAGAGAGGCAAGTGGGGTGAAGTGGCTTGCCCAAGGACACAACATATGGCCAGCAGCTGGATTCGAACCCCTGACCCCTTGATCATGAGTCACGAATCCAATCCACTAGGCCGCACTCCCCCCGACGTAAAAGATTGCTGAATTCGTGACAGTCTGCCACATGAATTCCAACTATTCTGTAGCTTACAAGAAAATGTTTCGGATAGTCAACATCGTTGAGATTCATATTAATAAAAACATAACTGTACCTTTTCTTTCTTGTCATATTGCGGAATATTTGGGTACGTGTAGATGGTCACATGATCTGGGGCCAGGATGCGAGCGTGGACCGCCGTACTCTTGCCATCCAACTCCAAAGCGTGCTTAATGATGTCAACCTTCAGTGGGAGCTGTAATTATAGAAAAAGAAAAACAGTGTCAGTCCTTCTGATATGAGGCGTGCGATCGCATCCCCACGCAATCGCACGCCTAAAAGCTTCCTTTTAAAAATTTAATTGAGACTTCAAACTTGGTTGGTGGAATACTGGACACCTTGTCTTCGACACGTGGAAGTTTTAGAGAATTTCGTCTGCTAAAAGTGGGAGTAAAGTTGGCCTGCATTTGTTTTGCACATTTTTCTGCAGACAGGGCTCTGGAGTGCTCTGAAACGTGCACAACGAAATCAGGCCCACTTTACTCTGTCTTTAGCCAGTAAATTTCTCCAAAAATTCCACTGGGCAAAGAAAAGGTCCTCAGTATTTCACCAACCAAATTTTTAAAGAAGTCTTTTCTTCAATATTTTGCACATGAGAGGGAAGTCAAGTGATTTCTAAATGAGGCTCAAGACTAGACTGGTACATGTCCATCCATGGTCCAACTATTCCAAAAGACTGACCTCTTCATTCAGTGTCATTAGTCTGGTGGCTTGACTATGGAGAAATGTGTGGTCAATTGAGACTAGTCCCCGGTTCCTGCCACATGTTTCTAAGGCTGCATCCGAATCAACTGCCTAGAGCTAGGTCTAGGTCTGCGCCCATTGAAAATACGCGGGGACGCGCTGACAATAGACGTAGCCGTAGCTCTGGAAGCCCGTTTCGGACACGGCCTTAAATTCTTTGGGCTGAGTTGATTGATGCAGTACTGAAGCAGTGTTGGACTGGTTGTTTCAGGTGCCAGTCTATTTTCTTGTATGGCATGTTTTCAATACCTTAAGTTTTGGGACTCTCATACACAGTATAAACCTCTGTTCTAATGATGTCATTCTTTGTTTACATGTGCACTTTCCTATAGGGCCAGTGGGGGTCCAGGGTCCACTGAGCACCATAGGAAAGCACACACGTAAACAAAGTGTGACGTCATTAGTACAGAGGCTTATATTGACAGTCCCAAATTTTCAGACACGTTTTTCTGCACTCAGTATCCCTGTCTTGAGCTGATGTACCTTCACCGTTTGAAATTTTCCAGCGATCGCTTCCATGGGGATGCGACACTGGTAGCAGAAGTACTTCCTGGAGGAGCCGCAGTCCGGACACCTGGCTCTGGCTGTGGCTCTGTGCAGCGGTTCATGGGAGTCTATCTTCAATCCTTCGAAGGGATTCGCACTGGAAACATCCATTGCTTGGTCCGTCCTGAATGTCCAATGCAAACCACCACTGAACGCCTACAAGATGCTGTGTCGTGACTTTACTGAAAAAAAATTTACATTGAGAGATTAGTCACTTTGATATCTGAATTCAATAATTATCGGCAAGGCTTCTCAGTAATAAGCATGATAAGGCTGTAGATCTTTTTCTTTTTTCAACACGCAGTCTTGCAGTTGGGCCCTAACAGTTATTAACCTACCACGGTAGAATCGCGTCAACGTAGCTCGTGAAATAGGCCTACTTCCCAAATTAGAAGGCAACTTTCGGCTAACGGAAAGGTGCCTTTCCGCTAACGGAAAGGTGCCTTCTAATTCTAGAAGTACATTATAGTATTAAATTAATTGTACTGTTCCATGCCACGCGTGTTTAACAGCTTTGCCGGTACGGTGAGTTTCTATGGCTTTGTGACACTGATGCACACATGCGTCTAATTTGCATATTAGATCACGCCCCACTGCATTGCATAATTCGCGGGGTACAACTATAGAATGAAGGGCCACTTTACTCTACATCCGCGCCTCCGTACGGCTGCGTGGAGGCGTGGAGGCGTGGAGCCGACCTACCTCCGAAAATCGATCGTGGAGTCGTACCGTGGAGCCGCAGTCGATATCTCCGAGAATTGCGCCCTCTATCGGTGCGCGTCTCTGCGACTCCACGACTCCGCGCCTCCGCCACTCCAGACAGTGCCCCGTCGCTCTCCTCCCTTCCTAATTTGCGACCTCATTTAAAATGGACTCTGCGACTCCCCGACTCCGCGCCTCCGCCACTCCAGACAGTGCCCCGTCGCCCTCCTCCCTTCCTAATTTGCGAGCCCATTTAAAATGGACTCTGCGACTCCCCGACTCCGCGCCTCCGCCACTGGAGACAGTGCCCCGTCGCCCTCCTCCCTTCCTATAATTTGCGAGCCCATTTAAAATGGATATGGATGCTTCGTTCTCAAAAAAATTCCGCCGAGAATTGCGCCCTCTATCGGCGCGAGTCTCTGCGACTCCGCGACTCCGCGCCTCCGCCACCCCAGTGCCCCGCGTCTCCGCGACTAGACTCTGCGACTCCCAGACTCCGCGCCTCCGCCACTCCGATCCGTACCGTGCCCCCCAACACATTTACAAGTACGCCCTCCCTTCCGATCCTTCATGAGAAGCTTAAAAGACAAGTGCATTCGCTGTACTTAGCACTTTTTGCAGGTTTGCATATATCTATTACTCCTATCCATCCACGCCTCCAAGCAAATTAAAAACCTTGCTCCGGCGTGGCCCTGCATTCTATAGTTGCTCCGCCAAGTTTGTGCACTGATCATGCAGTTAATTTATTTCTACATCCCTCAACGAAACACCCATCATCATGGCCCAGAAACTATGAATAGCTTTACCGGCTAATTTATAACGAGTTTATTAAACTGTTTAATAATTCATCGCATGCTTACAAAAGATCAATTCCGGCCCCAATCACGTAGCCGACACGTGCGTAAATAAACAGCAGATCTCTCGATGCCGATCGACAACTGTGATGATGAACAGCGCCCTCAAGAGTTGACTATCAAATCGACGTTACAAATTTTACAGGCGGCGCTTTCACCAAAACATGTCAACACGTGCGACCATAAAAAAAAAACATTTTAAAATACTTGACGAAAAGGCAAGATATGTAAGTTTTACTTTCAAAAGCTTGAAGAAAATACAATAGCCAATTTGTCTAACCGAAGTAGAGGCGTTCTTAAACTGCAAAAAATCTTCTTTTGCAATTGAAATTCGAATGGCAATTTTGTGCTGTGGGCCTGTGTATTGTCAATGTGTTTGCGGAATGCACAGCCGTTTTTCCATACATGTAAACTTGTGCGAGATTTGACCTCATTGAGGTCATGTTGTGCAATTGTGCTACTGATGACATCATACGCATAGGGTATATCACAATATATTCCACTTGGCCTGTACCTTTAATTTAAATATATTGAAGTGTTCTTGACATCTTGCAAACTGGTAAAAGGGATTAATTTGTAGATTTGTAGGCTTGAAATATTAAGACACAATTGCAATTGAATTAATATCTGTAATTGTGTATTGGGGGGGGGGGGGGAGGGGGGGGGCAAAACTGTATGTCCCTGCCCTTTTCGAGTTTACTCTGCCCTAGTTTCAAGTCCATTTTGTTGTGCTGTCTAGATGATTGCTGAGCTGAGGTCAACACTGAATAATATAAATCTTCGGCGCATTTGGTACAGGCATGTTTATAGCTCCATGGTACAGGCAGGCATACATTTGAGGTAGGTGTCAATCTTCATTAAACTATCTACTGCATAGGTTGACTATCAAACCCCCCATCACGGATCCAAGGGGGAAGGGGGGGGGGGCAACGGTTATGTCGCAAAAAAAGCAGCCACCACTCACAAAACTCACCAAAAGCAACACATATAGTACCCCCCATGCTTTCATATTAAATGTGGGGCAGAAGAAATTTTTCAGACCCACTTTTTCGGGGAACAAAACAATATGTTGGCCTCCCCCCCTCCCAGTTGTGTTGTAGATCCAGCCTAGCTTGTCACTGCCTCCCCCTTCCCCAGATTCCACTTGTTCCACCCCCTTCAATCCCCCCCACACACTCACCCCTCCCCTTTTCGAACATGCCCCCCCCCCCACCACCCACCCATCAATCTCCCCCATCTCATTTGTCGAACACAAATTTACCCTCTCGCCACTTTAACCTTCCCTAGGAAAAAACTGTCCTGATCTGTTAGTCAGCCCCTCACAAATTTGCTCAATTGGTCTGAATAATTTGCTGATGAGTCACTCACCGCTGATAGCGATTATCATATGACTGGATCTGACTGTGGAGGTTTGGTTGCGCATACTAAGTAGATGATTTGAATAATAATACCGTATACGCCACCAACAGTGATGCATGCTGGATGTCGACATTATTCTCTGCGGTCGGCCTTTGTGGAATGAAATTGTAATGACTGTCATAAAGGATATTACCTTAAAGGGAATGTACAACATTTGCTTTTGCTGCAATTTTTCAGCAATAAATAGATTTGGAGGATTAGTATGTTAGGCCTATAGAAAAAAATTGTTAAAATGACTTGCTTCACATTTTGGGCTTGTAGATGCTGGGTAAACCAAGAAAACCTATCATGTTCTTGTAGTCTGGCTCCCTGACCCCTGATGAAACAGAGCAATTAATACACTTTGGAGAATTGTAAGGTCAGAGAATCAGTCTAGCAGGCTTGTACCCATTCACAGGTGTGACATCAGTTGCAAAGAAAAGTCATAATAACTCAATATGAAAGATTAGGATTTAGGAACAGTTTTTGTAAAAAAGCCAGTTTTCTCCAACGCTGGTTGGCTGACCAGCATTGTAAAAATACACTTTTTCTTAAAAATATCAGCACACCAGGAGCCACGATTTTACAGGATGCTTTAGACTGTCACTCCCTAACAATCCAAGGTATTTTGTGATAATTTGATCATTTCGTGTTTTGATGTTTGCAAATGGTGTATCTTCCCTTTAATATAATTGGAAATATATGCAGCTAGCCTGTTAGGTGGTTTTACACACGCAAGAACCTTGGCTTTTGATTAAGAGAATCTCATTTGTACATTGTTACCAGCCTGTACAGGCTTTATGGCTTCTATGAATACTGTGAAAACCTATTTTTTATGTACAGTGTTTCTCTTTTGACGTCATTCATCTATTCATAAAGTTTCACAAGTGAAACATTATTGGGAAGATATAATGATAAAACCATTCAAACAAAACATCAGGCAAGCATTATATATTTTTAGAAGAAACAAAAGTGACCCCCACCCCACTATCCCTGATAAAAAATGTAACAAAGTCGGTATTTATTTCATTGGTATTGACAACAACGAAGTGACAGGACAATTTTTGAAACTTAATATTAAGCTTTTATTCAGAATTTCATTGCACACTTTAGTTTGAAATATTATCAAAGTTTGGAAAAAGGCTTTCTGAGTCTGCTGACACAAGGTTATCATCAAGATGACAGCATCTGAATCTCAATGAAACAGAAATGGCCGAATTTAATAATGGTTTAATACACATAAGCCTGCGCTAGACCAGTGACTTGCCATGACACTGGGTCTAGATGTGACATTAAAACCTGTCCCTCTTACATCTGGCATCAATGATTTGGTTTCTGATGCACTCCTTAATGCAATTATGGTCCATGAGAGATACTGACTATAAGCGCGCAACTACCTGCCCAACAAAATAAAGAAATTGTTGGAAGTAATTCTTGATGATGCTTTAATGGCAAATTACAAAGTACGTGTATCAAGGCAACAGGGACAGGAACATTGTCACAATTTGGACCCTAAATGTATACATAGAGCAAGGAACAGATAGCACTAGAAAGCACTCAGAGAGCGCAAACCTCCGCCAAGGCCAAACAATTTCCCGCCATATTGTCAGTACACCCAAAAGAAATACTCGCATAAATGGTCAAGAATCTTAATTACAAAAATCCTGGATCCAGACCCAGATCCGGATCACTTCCAAAATTTAACAGATTTGTACTTGTACCAAGGACCACCCCTAATTTTTTTTTCATGCAAATCCATCCGTAACTTTTTGATTTATCTTGTTAACAGACAACCAACCAACCAACCAACCAACCAACCAACCAACCCATTAACCAAATCCGATGAAAATGTAACCTCTTTGGCGGAGGTAATGTGCACCTGCTTAAAAATGTGAATTAGCCATAAGACAGTGTGCAATTGCATTCAAGACCATTCAAGCGATCCAACCTCTCTGCAAATATGTAATATTATTACATGAATTAGATTTTAAGCATAACATTAATGTGTAATGGGGAATTTGATCAGCGCTAGTTGATCCTTGTATATAATATGGAGCCATAATCCAACATAAATTTGTCTTATATTAGGATTCAAACCAACCATATTGGGAGCACCCATTATAGGCCATCGTTATTCATTTCTGGGTTTATGAAATTATGAAATTAAGGATTTCCTAAAAAGTGCCCAAATTTGTCAATTGCTGTTTGACATGTTTACCACTTGTGAATGAAGACACTTGCATATATGCAAGTTTACAACTGCCCTATAGATAACGCAACAAATATCGAATTATGTATTTTAGAAAGATTCTGGTGACCACCGTTATTTCAATACCTATTACTAATTTCTGGTAGCGACAGAGAATTCCTAAAAAGCATTATGTAGCTTACAAACTGTGGAGAGAAGACAATGAAGAAATGTTCAGTCTTTATAAGTGGGAAGAAACTTTTTAAAATCTTAATTTCCGGAGAAAACTCACATAATCAAGAAAAGGCCTGAAACCCATTCCACT